AACACACTGTGACAAGAACTCTTATGATCTGTTTGAAAAATAAATCACGAGAACATTGTTTCGATGAAAACATTACGAACAAATAAACGGAGTAAAAAAAGCTCTGAACAAAACGGCGCAGTCACACTTGCACCGCTCAGCGGAAGAAATAGTGATAGAGATTTCTGATAACATTCACTAACAAAAACAAATCATTTGCAGTTGGACGGATCTTGGCTATCTAACAAAGGATCTAAAAGCTGTTTCATTTAAAGGTGGTAGACGAATATTATGGACTAATAATTCCCTGTTCAATATAAGAAGCAAGGATATCATCTGAATGACCGAAAAATGGTTGTCGTTTAATCGGCTAATTTTGGAAGTCAACCTCATTTTGACCTTCGGTCGAAAAACAATATTGAATATTGAGTAAGATGAAGCTAAACATCACACACGCCCTACGCATGACTACTCCTAGATTGAAAAAATAAGTCAATTTTGCGTGAGTACTAAAACGTTCTTAAGACAACTTTACTCAACCCCAGTCCACCTCATGGTTAGACCACTACCAGACTGAGCGATCGTTTTTTGCATTCTTGTTGTTGCAGTCAGACAGTCTATAAAACAATCGAACATTTTCCTTGCAACGACGTTAAAATGCTTTTCGTTTGCAGGCAAGAAACTAGCTCCTCGTCGGTCGTCGCCGTCCCTTCGGGATGCCAGTCTCGACTCGTCGCTTCAGTTTGCCCTCCATTAATTTTTATAAAAACGCTCACTGAACCTGTTAAAGTGGTTTCTTGCGTCGAATTCCGATCAAATTATAGTGTTTCGACGTTAATTACAGTTTTTGTGCCTGCTTTATAAAAGTACTCAGGAAAGGTAGTAACCACAAATGCAAAAATAGTTATTCCGCTCACTTTTTAGATTCGACCACATCTAATTGAGTGTCCTTCTGCAAAATATAGAGTTTCTTGATAAACATCTGGCGCAATGCCTTTTTTGCACTCGACCAGTTTCTAAATCGTGGGCGGACATTCCTTTGTAAATGATTGTAGAGACAAACTGAACATACAACCAATTTACTATTAGTGACCGTATTTTTAGAAAGCCAACATAAAAAAATGGATCTCATTGACTGAATAAAGGCAACACTACAAGTCAATGTCCCCAAAAATCTGAGAAAAACATTTGTGGGTGGCAGAAAAATCTGGAATCAATCCTATTCTTGATCCTAACCTTTTGAAAAAAACTACTGCGTTGAACCTTAGTCATTACTTATAAAGACATACATTCTGAAAACAGTGTTTCAAGCCATTTAGAAAGATAGTCAAATTCAAACGTCGCTTTCCTTAACACCTTTCAGTGAGCTTGCTTTCTGCACCTCTCGTCGGTTGGTCACTAAGACAGAAACGAAAGTTTTGAGGTAATAGGGCTAACACTAGACCCCCAATTCCGAATCGTCTACGGAGAGCCAGTTTCTGAGACCCTCGATTTTATTGCTTCTTTGGCCCACCAATAGGATCCTGAGGCCTGTGTGGCTCACATTCGAACTCCCCACCCCGAAATACCTACGTGGAGGTATTTTCCAGAAAACTAAATTTCTATTGGTTCCATTGTGACCAATCAGACACCAGAGAAACAGACGAATTTTCGTTGTGAAGACTCATCCTTTCAGGATTGAGAATATCAACGCTTTCTCAAAAAAACATTTCCTGCGTCCGGAAAACTAAACCCAGATTTTCTGAAATCTGACTTCAGATTCGGATTCCCCGACCGCAATAACCTTACGAAAATTTATATGAAAAGACGGTTTAGCTCAAAACGAAGGAGAGTTCGTATGATGTTTCTTTGACCTGCCTCAAACAGACAGACAAACGCATTTGTTTTCATATGACCGTTCCTACAGTCGAGGGAACTACTATATCTCCTATATCTCCTATATCTCCTATATCTCTTTATCTCTATATATGTTAGGTTTGGTTCCCTAGTACTTAATCGAGTCTCCGGGGATATTCTCTGAACGTATCGTATGCGAAAAAGAATGGAGGAAGGGAACTTAAAAGAAATAACGCAATTAAAGGAGAGGAGACAGAGGAAAGGTGATAAGTGGACATGCTCTAAGCAAGGAAGACGATTGTCAAAGATAGATAAAAGGAAATAAACCGCTCTTAGCAACAAAAATTTATTTGGGAGCCAATTTTATACATATTCGTGGCCAACATGCAAAGTGTGGATAAGGCTCATTGCCTTTTCAAATGACATTAGAGCGAAAAAGTGCACAGCGATAAGTGAGGAGGATTTCCCACAAATGCCATTTGCCTGATCCCAGTTCGACACAATTCCCTTAACAAGCTTCCACACGCTGCTCTGACACTGTTCGGGTAACTTTTGTGGCACCGTTCTTGCGCATAACTTCTTTAACTTTAATTCATTATGAATGAAGCCACTAATAGTTCCGTATGACATCCCGAAATCAAACGCAATGTACCTGATACTAATTTATGGATTCTCTTCAATCAGCATCTGAACCTTTTCGATATTTTGATCGCTAATTGCAGCTACTGGACGACCAATTCTCGGATCATCGTCCAATGAGGTTCTTCCGTGCTTAAAGCGATGAACCGATTCAGCAACTGTGCTGTAAGATACATGGCATCCACCCCAAGCATGAGTTAACCCCTCATGAATTTCTTTTCCTGTAAGGCCGTGTTCGAACCTTGTCAAAATGTAGTACCTAATTTGCGTTTTCTCCATGTTAAATGCATCTCATTGGAAAAATCAAGTTCAACCCAACTGATCTGGAATAAAATGAATTTATTTTGCATCAATCGATAAAAGAGACATAGCACTACCGAAATGTGCAAGAGAAATTTTCCTATTGGATTTCATGGTAGGATTAGGGGTATGACAGTTCAGTTTTAGTTCAGTTCAAAAGAACTGTTCAGACAGTTCACAGGATCTGATCTGAACTGTTCGAACAGATCAGATCAGATCTAAAGATCTGTTCGACCAGTTCTTTTGGTCTGATCTGAACTGTTCGAGCAGATCAGTTCAGATCCTTGGAACTGTTTGAACAGATCTTTAGATCTGATCTGAACTGTTCAAACAGATCAGATCAGATCAAAAGAACTGCTCGGGCAGATCAGATATAAAGAACTCCGATGTGTACGTTTATAAGAAGTTTTTTTCATCCATTATTTTCATCCGAATCTTTATTTTATTGCAATATAGTTTCTCGTCAAAACTACAGTCCGCAATGGCGACACAATCTGCCGCAACACCAGAAGATGTGGACGACAAAATGACAGTCGACAATGAAGATGACTTCGAAAATGCATCGGTCATTGCTAAATCCAATGCCTTAGCGACTGATGGAGCAACATGTGAGTCAGCTCGCTCTCGTGAAGTAGATAATCAAGATCATTTCTGTGTGCAAATGGTATTGAAGCGCAAAGACTACATCAAAATTGTTTGTATTTCGGATACACACAACGGACATAACAAGGCTAATTTTGATCGTAGAATGAAACGAATGCAAGGGGATATTCTTATTCATGCGGGAGACTTCGGTGAAGATGGCTCCAAAACTGAAGTAAACAATGCATTTCGATGGCTGTGCTCATTGGATAATTTCAAGCATAAAATCTTTATTTCTGGTAATATGGATGGCATTGGTTTGGAAAAGCGAAACCTTGGTAAGAAAAATCAAAAAGATCGAGAATTTTACTCCAAGAAAAACAATGTAACCTATTTGGAAAATGACCATTGTGTAGTAGAAGGTTTGAAAATCTATGGATGCCCCTATACACCAAAATTTGTTGGTGGATTTCAATATCAACGTCAATCAAGCGATGCTAGAATATTATGGAAAAATATTCCAGAAGATTGTGATATTTTGGTTTCTCATGGACCTCCTGCCGGTATCCTGGATAAGAGCTCTAGAGGTATGTTATTGTGGCTTCTGTTAAAATTATGGTAACTATACATAGAAAATAGAAAGAGAAAAGAAGTAGTTATTATTTTCAAGTGTAAGAGGATTCATTAAATACAATATTATACGTTCACGTTAGTTTCAGTGATTACTATCGATAGAAATACTTATGTTTCAATAAAGTTGTCTTTTCTCATAACAAGGTTCACATGTCGGTTGTGCTGATTTACGAGACGCAATCTCGCTTAGACCATCATTAAAAGCTGTTGTGTTTGGCCATGTTCATCATTCGTATGGCTTTCGTCAGATAAACAAAACCTGGTTTATCAATGCCGCACAATACAATGGTATTTATAGCGATGATAATGAAAATACGCCAATTGAAATTTTTGTTCTACGCGATGACAATACAATTCATCATGTGATTCGTTCGTGATTTTTGATTTAGACATTTTGAGATAAATATTCAAGATTATACATCAATTATTGTTTTGATCTATAAAGAACATCTGTGTAGATGTTTTTTCTTCAAAAAAACGACAGTTATACACAGTTCATAGCTTTAATAATATCGAGAATATTATCAATATTAGGGCTATGACAGTTCTCAGATCTAAGTTCAGATCAAATGAGCGAAAGAACTGTTCAAACAGATTAGATCAGATCTAAAGATCTGCTCGACCAGTTCTTTTGATCTGATCTGAACTGTTCGAACAGTTAAGATCAGATCATGTGAACTGTCTGAACAGTTCTTTTGAACGGAACTAGAACTGAACTGTCATACCCCTAGCTATTACAATCAAAGAAAACAAAAAGTCTTTTGAAAGTCGTTCATCATACGTTAGCATTTAGAGTCAATTCAACAGCAATATTCTAATCTAGAAAATGATCGGTTCTCTTAATTGAGCTGTTGTTTTTCATTTTGACGTAGAGTTATTAGATCTTAGAAACATTACTAAACCATGTTGACCATGAAAATAGTGTATGTTCATGGGTTGTTTCTATTTAGGCCGATTGTAGCAAGATCGATTTTCTCACCCGAAAATTTATGCAGATAAACAAGTCTATTAGACTACTTTGTATAAAATATTGCAGTAATTTTGAACTAATGAAGAAGTTGTTCGAACTGATTCGCCAATTTTGGCTCTATATATTTTGTCTACAAGTTGTGCACTATTTTATACTAAGAAAATTCCAAGATGAAACGAGCCTATGCTGTAAGTAAAAACGTTTTACTGTTGAAAGATATTATGAATTGATAGAAATTTGACATGCGCTCTGATTATTTAACCGTTCCATAATAATAATGCACATCGCTATGGTATCTGTCTATTTCTTTTAGCGAACTAAAGTAAATAAAAAAAAGAGTTAGTGAAATACATTAGTTACAGAAATATGAAAGATTGTGCCTTCGTAGAAAACTTAACTTTCGCTAATTCAATTTTTTAAGCTAATACAAAGTTAACATTCTTTATTTTGAAGAATACAAATCGACAGAAAATTAATTGTGAATATTTTCCAATATTTTAGTATGTACAGGAAACTATCCATCAAACAGCATCGTTTCGTCAAGTTTCAAATAGACATGAATGTGGTCAATATTGAAGATTCTACTGTCATTAGTGTTTGTGCTCGATTGATGCATATTTAATACCAAGAAAAAAAGCATATATCAGACACATGAAGAAGCCAAATATTTGTACAATGAGCATTGAGGTAAATCGAATATCGTAGAGAATATCAATTGGTCGGCATGCCAATGTATTAACTAGTTGATTGAAAATCGAGACAAAAGCTAGGCAAATAATTATTTTTCGACACCAGCAAACCCACGGATAATGTTTTACAATTCTATCATGAGAAGCATATGAATATAAATATTGAGCTAATAAATTGGATAATATAGAGCCAATATACAGTAACATGATTATTAAATTCATCGACGTGTAACTGTGAATATTTTCGGGAGAAATCAATGACGACGATGAACATCGCGCTGTAAACATATAATCGGACAACAATTAAATGAAGTTATCTATCACCACTTCTTAAGAGAGCATTCATGAGAGAATGAAGGATCACCTCACCATGAGACACTGGTCAAAATTAAAAATTTTCGTTTTTCATGTGTGTTCGAAAGGTCATAGTGTAAAACTACCAAACCTAAATTTTTAGCTTTGGTAGTTTTACACTGGTCTTGTAAACGCACGCAAGAAAAGAAAAATGTAAATTTTACCATTGCCTTGGTTCCTCGTGGACGCTTTCTTAGGATAAATCGAAAATTTTCATCAATAGATGAAATATCTAGTTTTGACTGTTGTCCTGCTCCTTATGGAAGATTCAGTTTGAAAATAGATCTTCTGTCTACTTTTCTATATATTCTTCTTTTCATAAAGACTAGTCAAAACTACTTACAAACTGTAGCTTGTTCGATAAGGCGATAAATCTTCGACGAGTCACTACTATTATATAATGATGACTTCATGAATTGACTTGAATAGTTATTGACAACAGGTAATGGGAAAAATAAATAAGCAGATGATATTAAGATTAATATATGTATTTTCCGCAATACATTAGTCCAAGCAAACCCACGATTAAGCTTTGGTCTCAACCTATAAAGAAATAAGTATATAATAGAATCTCTATATCAATAAAAAAAATCAATGTAGAAATCTGTTCAGTTTTTTTTTCAGTGGCGTTTAAAGGCGAACATACTTGAAGTGACTATGAAAACTATGCATAATAAACTGTGATTTTTGTTGATATCGTTGTTGTTGAATAGAAAGTGATATAGTTGTTGCCAAATTTATTTAACTAAAACAATAAATAGTCATAGAATGCACATTTTCTTCAAGGATTATACAGAAAAGAGTGTTCTTTATTCTTCTAAGAAAGAAATTTGTAGATCAGGAATACACGAAAAATTCTGGTAATTGTGTCTTTGGGCGAAAGTTAAAATGTCGAGAACAAAAATAGGGTGAAGATGAGAATGTAAAATTGAGAGAGAAGTACATTTCTATTTCCATACTGTATCTTTTGTAACATTTCTCCCTTACAGAATTTGCTGCATTTTCACTTCCGACATTTCTACTTTTGACCAAGGTCAAGATAATCTAAATTCTAGCGCACTATACACATTTTCATTAGGCTTCAATTTTATAGATTAATCTTTTAATTTGGTAGATATTCATCAAATTTGCAACAATTTTGATCGTCAACAATGCTTTATTGGATTTTCAACAACCAAATAAACAACAATAAATATACTAGTACTTGATAAAGATATCAGTTTTAAACTGAATCGGCAGAATCAAAGACAGTGTGCGTCACGTTAGTCCCGAACCCGGCCGAGAACAGTTCTAAGTTCGAAAAAACTTCGATCGGGTTGCTTCTAGTAGCCAGAGAGGTGCGTAGGTTGCTCAAGTCAGTGGATTAAGAAACGGAAAAAAAAGTATTTCATGTATTTCGGGCAACTTTGTAATTTAGATTAAATCACTCCTTTTAAAATTCTTAAAATCGTTCTGCTTCTTTGAAAAGTTTTAATTAAAAATTATGAAAATAAATACGACACAATAAAAGAGCCGACACTTTTCTTTTGTTGAAAGGACTTTAGAAATTTCCATTTAGAATATAAAAGTTCGGTCCGACTGGATCCGAAAAGTTTTGACCTGACAAATTGTGGTCGAAGAACAATCAATATGAAAGATATGTTCTATTAGGCGAATGCTATTCAAGAGAAGCTTCACTGTCGAATATTGAAAAAATTTGATAAAGTATTTTTATCAGTTTTTTCCTTTATACTACTTTCACATAAGGAAGCTTGACTACAATGAAAGAATCAAACTACTACCGAGTGTCTTCATCAACTTATGATAATTATAAATGATTTCGATTAGACTACATCAAAAGTAATTAAAAAGCGAATGGCACAGAAATATTTGCTTTATTCAGATCGCAAAATCAATATTCGGCGATAAAAGGAGATCACCGAACAATGAACGTATTACTTACTTTTGATGAGATATAAATGAATTAGTACCTGTCTCTGCCCCCTTTCTGTTATATCGATGAAAACATCGATTTGCGTCTCTACTCATATAGACGTCGGTTCTTGTGCACGATACATCCACCACTTCACACGTATACACGTAATTCACTCACACGTGGCAGTGTGGGTGCGTGTATTGCGTAAAAGCACTCAGTGTTTCTAATGGAAATCTAAAATAAAATGTACAGTACACGCTGTTTTAAATAAGCAAAGTGTACATTTACACTTTGTTTTCATAAACAAAATGTGCTTTGTTGAACTTTTATAGGATGACAAGAAATGTAAAAAAATATCGTTATATCTTATTGAGAAAGTAATAGAAATCAATAATAAATAAACAAATAGAGAACAAGGGAAAAAACAATCTGTATGTAATTCATCTAGAAAGACACACCACACACCAGTGCAACATTAGAATAGCACATAAGCATAAGAACCTCAATTTACTGTTTTTCAAATCCTAGATAAACACAAGATCTATAAAAACTATTACGGTCCTCTTCATCATCATCATGAACATCAGTATAATTTGAAGAAAGCTAAATTGAATATTGTAATTTTCAATTTTCATTTTTTTTCTGCAGTTATGACATTAGTACCGGGAACGAAATGACATTAATCTGAAAATGAAAAAAACAACAAAGTCAGACAAAGTATTCTATTCAACGAATAGTAGAGAAAATAGACCACTGTTTACTTATCGTTTAATCATAATTTTTGAACTAAAAATACATTTTAAACCTTTCTACAAAGTGTACATTGTGCACGCTACTTTTTAAAACAAAATGTACAGCAGCGTGTATTTTCGCAGCAGCAAATGTTTGTACATTTTGCTTGTGCTGTGTACATTTGCCATTAGAAACACTGGAAGCACCTATGAGTTGAGAGGATAGGAGACAACGAAAGATGTATATTTGCATGTTAGCAAATAGGAACGAAGCGCTGATCTATTCATCAAATCAGCGGCATACTAATGCACTTGGTGTCATTATACTTCTTCATGCTTTTTCTAAGGCTCAGATTAACATCACTTGTTGCTAGATCAGAGAAAGATTTTCTGATTGAGACAAATTTTTCAACATTAGAATATTTCCGAATAAAAGTCGGTATTGTAGATCTATGTTTCATCTGCTCAGATTGTTTCGATTATTTTCTACACATAAATATTTATTTAAAAAAAATAAAACCTCAATTTGATGGAGAATAATTTTCTGTGTTGATTACTATTTGTGTTACAGTATATCCATTGCAAAAAAAAACTAGAGGGCGCCACGTACAGTACCCTTGAGATTGATTCGCTGAAGCATATGTTTTGTTCTGTCAAGCACATGCCATGAGTATGAGTAATGCACAAGCAGATAACAGAGCGATCATCAGGTCGCATTCATTATCAATCATATTTTGGTCTTTCAGTACTTAACAACATAGGTGCTGTTATAACAGAGGAGAAATTAAATTAAAATAAAGCAAGCGAGTTTGTCCTGTAATTGCTAAGGTTTCTTTTCTTAAACATAACTTTTTTCAGAAAAACGTTCATGAAAAATTAGTTTTTATACATTTATATAATCATATTCATTTTTTTCCAGATAATCACATATAAAGAATGCGCAGTTCTTGCGGTAGATCGTGTCGATATATGTTATTTTAATCTGAAAGAAGTCACTTAACTTTATTTTAACTCTCAAGTTTGTTTTTCAATTTAATTTTGCCTCGTTTTATATACGAGCTATTGGTACTTTATTGAAAAAGTTGGTCGTATACGATATCATTCTTACACCAAGATATAATTCAAACACTCACAGTCAAACAATTATTAAAATCATTGGGTATATTTTTTTGTGTATTTGACTTTCTTTTTTATACCATTCAATAGAACGAATAAAATTCTACAGAGTTATATATAATTCATTTGATTACCATTTGAGCTAAGATACCTAAAGTGTGTGCATTATATTTAGTGTATGAAAAGAGTACTTTTTGCAATAGTTTTGATTAAATTTCACGATATTAATTCAAATTTCTAGTCAGACTAATGCTATATTTGAAATCAACATGAAAGTCTGAGTCGATCTACATATTGTTATAAATTCGATTAGTCAAACCAATATTTAATACACCCCTGTCTTGTAAAATTAACATTAGGGATTTTTTCTTCTTAATTGTGTCTCTAATAAGTATCTGGCCGTAAAGGATTTGTAATATTAATAATACTTATTATCTTTGTTTTTTTTATTCTGATCATATTACAGCACAAAAAAATCTGTTGAAGTTAACGATAGTACAACATGATTATTAGTTAGTTTGCAATTCTTTAGCAAATCAACTGTTATCAGATTTCTTTACAGATAGATTACGGCAGCGGCTTCTAACACTTATTTTTCAAAATATAATTATAAGTGCCACTATCTAGTTGGACGTCGGATTTAAGAAACAAATCTCGCGATTGAGAGGGGAACAGTTGATACTGCTTTTTTAAATATATTAGAGTGATTTATTTACTATGAGAATACAAATCTGATAAGTCTACAATGAAAAACAGGTGCTAGTTATGTGCCAGTTTTGGGAAGAGGCGTCAGGTGGAAAATTTTGAACTCAAATCGTTGAATAATTTTTCAGATTCCAAGTCGGATCCGAGTTATAAAAAAAAGCCTTTTTTCGTATTTGAACTCGAAATTGCAATGCATACAATAAAATTGCCTTATTTGAATCTTAAAATAGCCACGAAGATGCCGAATGTTTTTATGCATTATTTCTATTCGATGACTAGCGCATCCTTTTTATTATCTTTGTTAGATGGGAGCCGGTTACTTGCTCGCAGGACATTTGCTCGTCAATGGGATGATCGTCTAATTATCAGTGATAGAATTTAGAGAACTAATTAAGCTGTGTTAATAGACGATAGATAAGCATTATTTAGTGGATATGGGGATGGGGCTGAGTACGATGGTGTGAGTGAGGTATTGAGTTGGAGCAAGAAGGAAACGTGATTTGTGAGCTAGGATGAGTTTGAAAAAAATGAAAAGTTGTCGCAAATAAGTAGAAATTGTTGAAAATCACAGAGTAGCTCTGACAGTCACCCGAACTCATCATAACTCACTAAAACTCAATTGGTTTTTGATGATTTTTCACTGATTTAGCGATGACTTAGAGGCACTTTAAATTAATTTCCTCCCCTTGAGTTGGGGTGAAAACAATATCCATTCGGATATCATTAGTGCTATGCCTGATAGTCAGCTATCCAAGCGAAAAAAACAATCCTTAGCCACATTGAGGTAATATTTTCTTTAAAGCCCACATAAGGATATAAAGGATAAATTGAACTACATTGTACGCTTATTATCAATATAGATTATCACTTCTCTTGTATTTTGTTAATAATTACTGTTATAATTAATAAATATTTTCATGTCTTATTTACATATTTACTTCTAAATATTTTTGTGAGCAACTGTCCACACGAGTAAATATCCTAGCGAGCATGTATCCACGCAAGCAACTAACCCAAACCCTTGTTAAGTCCATGAAGTCCAAGATTTGTAGGTCTTGCTTCGATAGGAGTCGAACTCGGGTCGGATCTGATGAATTCAACTCAATCAAGATTGTCTTTTAGAGTAGGCCTATGACAGCTCACAGTTCTATGAACTGGTTCTTTTTTCAAGAACTGGTAACAACGACCAGTTCTTTTTTCGCAATTGGTACCACTGACGTGTTTCCTTTCAAAAGAACTGTGTGACTGATATCAATTCCAGCTCTTGGCCCATGAACTGTCACAAACCTATATTAGAGTCACTCTCACGCTTGTTATTGATCGTGACTCTGATCATTCTGAAAGATGCTAAATAAATTAAAAGTTTTTTTTTATGATAATCGCTCTTTTTAGTTATGTAAACATGGCAACTATTTTTTCATTTCCTATTCGACAACAACAACAACTTTCATCGACCATGCGCATTGGAGCAGACGCGTTGTATGCTCATTTTTGGTAAGTTTCATTTAAAACCTAACAGTGAAAAGGTAGCACGACAAGAGAAACTATTTATCTCTATATTATTTTATTAATGACTTTGATAGCTGTTAAAGGTGTGTGGGTGTGGGTGTGAGTATACACTGTAAATGTTTTTGAATTTCTATTTTGTAGGAAATCGACTTTAAATAAGCTAAAGCATTTTCAAACTTTTAGAAAATGCTTGATTTTCTAAATAATAGAAATTCAATTTGATTTCCTGCAGAAAATCAAAACTTGAACATCAATATTTATTTTTAAGAAAATAGAAATTCGTCGTTGAATTCGTATGGGCTTTCCTAGAATATCTTTCATTATACTCTATAATGTATTTTCTAGTTTACAGTGTAGGTTTTTGTGGGTCCCAGATTTCTGCGCCATTTCAAATGATAGAAAGTTCGGGTTGGTTTTAACATGCAGCTAAGACCTGGCGCTGCAACTTAACAGATCTCGATTTTTCAACTTTCCATTGGTTTGTTTTAGAAAAACTTTTCCGAAAAAATACGGAAAATTCATGTAGTGCAGGCCAGGCACGATTCATTTTCAGTAAACATTAAAGGGTAAATAAAAAATCGGGACCTGTTAAGGTGCATCGCCAGATGTTAGCTACATCTTAAAACCATTCGGGACTTTCTATCGTTTGAAATGGCGGAGAAATATGGGACGCACGGAAGCGTCCAATCAGCAACCGAATTGTTGAGAAAAATACGCTATTTTCCCCAGTGAGGAATCAGAAGAGTGTATCTAGTATCCTGGAATCTCATCATAAAATGAATAAACTGTAGTGCATTCGAAACTAATGTTACGATCGGATTGTTCCCATCCAATCGTAAGACGAAGAGGAGATACCCTTTCTAGTAAAGTGGTTAATACGTCTGCCCGGTAAGCAGGAGATGCATGGTTGAATTCCATGTGAAGAGGGATTGTCTTTTTCTCCGTTCTGTTGTCATACCATCACGATGCTACTAAGGTTATCATACGAGCGATAACAACTAAAACTTTGCTCTATCTAATGAGCTATAAATCATAAAATCGATCAGGTTGACCAAAACTGACTTTTTCTGATGTGTGTGAGGGGGCGGGGGGGGGGGTTAATCTGCCAAATCTCATTTTTGTAACTAATGCGGAGAATTTTCTCTATTAATGATAATAAACTGTGAAATGATTTCATTAATCAGATAAAATTGATATTTTAGTTTTTCTTTTGTTTTCAGGTTGAGACCAAGTATTAATCGTATCTTTCATTGGTCGAACAAGTTACGAAAAATGTACTCATTTATTTTGTTTGTATGCATTACCTCGGTCTTTTGGTTACCAATAATGAATGCAGATCCAAGAGATATAACTGAATTTATATTGGCTGGCAATAACAATTCTTTGACAGAGTCTCAGTTAAGAAACTGGGCTTTTGCCAGTAAGTAGTTTCGTTTATTTTGTGAGGAAGAAATTCCTGCAAAAACGAAAAAAACTCGAATAATGTTTTTTAGCAAATTATCTTTCATGCAGAATAGATCACCAGTTTAGAAGATCAAACTAAGAAATCGTTCGTTGATCCAATAAACTAAAGAGATCCTTGGGATTTCCGGAACTTTTGGAGAACTCGTTGAAGCTTTCAGCATAGGTAGATCACGAAGAGTAAATCAAAATTCACCTGACACAAGAATTTCAAGAGCTTCCTTCGAAGTGTACCGGAGTTGCAAAAGCTGAAAGTCACTCCCTAAATCGTCCCGTTTTCTCAGCCGCAACATATTAAACCCCTCCCCAGAATAAAAGGCCATGGGCTTATACAGTGTCTCAGCACATCGTTATTTTTTTGGTGGCCTTCTATTGAGGGTCAATTTTTGTCTAATTATTAATTTAAAAAATTAAAAATTAATTAATAATCTTAATTATTTGTTTTTAGACTTTTTGACTGAAAAAACTAGCATTTTTTTGAAAAAACTGTACTATTTACGATAGGACAGTAAAGATTTCGCAAAAAAACACTGAAAAATCGGTTATTTTGCCATAAATATTTATTAAAAATTCTACATTTTTCTACTAATATATTGCAAAATATTTTAAATTCCAAAAAATAGTATCTTAACTATATGCAAAACTTGACCTATGGTATAAAACATGCACTTGTATTTATTGAAATCGTGTCAGCACTGCTTTATTTTTATTTCTTTATAGTATATGAATTTTTTTTGTGTCCACTGCCTTTGGGAGCAAGATGAATATGTAATTAGATTTTACTCATATAAATAAAGTTTACATGTATATCTTGTTTTAAATTTTTATTAACACCATTGGTCACAATCAGGGAAATCGTTTTTCAGTCACGAACACGTTCACAAATTTTTTTCTTCAATCCAGGACACGCAGAACACTACTTCTTTCTCCTCCCCTCATTTTTCAGATATGTCTGCTAAAATATCTCACTTACTTATCTGCCAAATTTTTCTAGCAGTTGTCAATTTCTGGCAAATATTGCAGCCAGATAGTGGATTCTGCTAGATCTGATATATCTTGTAAAACCGTCCGTGACTTCTGTCAGATAGTGTGTAGTTTCTGGTGAAACTTAAAAAAACACTACGCTAGCATCAAAACTGCAGATAATCTTTGTAAAATGAGCCATCTACAGTGGCAAACTGAATTATCTTTCTCTGAAAATAAGCTACAAACATCTGGGATCTTTACAATTGTGTCAAAAATTCTGAGAAGCCTTTGTTGCCTGACTGTGAAAACGCTACAGCTTTCTGGAGACCTGTCTGCAAAAGCGCTTCATTTTGCGACAAATTATCTTTAATTACATACTAGTTAGTGACTTTTATCAGGGTCCATGTTTGTCGTGAAAATGGATTCCAAACAAGAAGGTTTCATTATAGCTTTTACATAGAAAGATGTTTTCTACTACATTTGATGCAAATAATACGTTACATCTCGCCAAAAATGTCATCTAGGATGAAGTAGAGAGTACAAACAAAATTCTCTGTAAGCTGAAACAATGCATGTACAATGTTTTTTGACGTAAAAGTGTGGAATTTTTTTGCATTTAAGATATTTTGCTTTCCGAAGAAAATGAATATCGCTGAGAACGATGAAAATTTTCTCCATATTAAGAAAGGGGAGTGACCATCGACGTCCGTCGCCATACTTCTATGCCTCAGCCGCAGCCCCTTTTCCGGTAATTTTATTTTGTAACTGCTTGTGAGAAAATTTTTGAATACTGTATGCGAAAAAAGCTCAGCCCTTATCTCATCCAAAACTTTCGAGAGCCATGGTTTCAGTTTCCTGCTAGATATTTTAGGTTTATATATAATAAGTGTACTAAAAACCAGCGAATATTCTCGTTTATATGGTATTTGACGGAGAACACTTCTAGACTAAACTAACGATGAAAAACTATAAATCTAAAGGCATTGATTTTCAGGTTATGAAACAGGGAAGGAGCAGGTCACCTTAAGCACTTCAATTAAGCATTTAGGAGCCATGAGAAATTCTTTTTTCTAAATATTTTCCTTCTATCTCTTTACAGAACGTTGTACATTTTCATCATCAGTTAGTATTTACAATATGAAAAGTTACGGATACATGCAATTCGTAGTGTTACTACTCTGTGTGTGCTCCAACGTATTTCTTTTGGGGTCACAATGGTTATATGAAGCTATTTATCATGATCAACTTATAAAATCTCGCCAATGGTGCTCCTGGTGTCGCAATATACTCATATGTCTTGTTAGTGCATCGATATGCAATCAATTGGCCAGTGTATTGGGATGCCGACCAATTGAAATTCTCTATGATATTCGACCTATGTTAATGTTTATCGTGCAAATCATTAGCTTTTCTGTTTGTCTTCTGTTTGCTTTTTTTCTCGGTGTTAAATACTCATTAGTCACCCGTAAAAATTAATTGTACAAGTCTATTCAACATCGGTCGTAATAAAATACATTAGAGACATTTATAAAAAAAAGAGAATATTTCTGTATTTTTCTTGATATTTCTCAATCTATACATGCTTAAAATTGCTAAATAAACTATTCTAATAATATTTATTGATGATTTCATTATTGCTAGAACACCTTATACATACGTATGTCCGAACTGAAACTATTAGCTTGTTTCATTTGATGGCCAATGAACTATAATGTACTCTATAGATTTTAGCGAAACTGGTGACATTGGTTAAGAGAGGCTGGCCATGCATTTCACGATGACTTTTAGTCTGATGTTCTAAATATTTTAGTAGAAAAAAGTTAGACGACATATGTCAACAGATGTGTGGTGTGCTTTGGAATTGTATATTGCCATTCAATGATGGTGAACAACGGTTATTTTGATATTCGCCACAATTTCAAATCATTTTATCAATAAATATTCAACATACTGAATATTCGATTTAAAAACACGGACAACTTTTATTTAACTCAAGTTGAATTAACCGCGAACTCTTCTTTTATTAAAATTGTTCTACTCTACAGATCATAATAAGAAGACAATCGATAAAGGATTGCATCAGAATATCAAGATTGTATATACCGATTTTTATTGAAATCAAATTTTCTTCAGAAATTGATGATCAAGAAGTTGACCAATTATGAATGAATGAAAGAAATTATTCATTTAAAATATTGTTTTGTTCAAATGAATTGCTTTGCTCTATATAAAAGAAAATCCATATACTTACTAATACTGCATATGATTTAGAATATATTCTTAAAGTAATTATTGGTAATAATTGTCAATATTTAAAATCAAATCAACGTGTTATTTTAATGGAACCGAGATCAAGGAACTTATCTTTTACAATGATATCTTCATGTAACTCAATATAATGAACAAGTTGATGGAGTTATACTTGATTCTGTATTGCCAATTCATATAACAAGATTATGTTTTTGTTTTCTTTCGAAAATCTTAACATGTCGATATTTATTTATATCATTTTCTAGAAACAAGTTCAATACATTTTAATTAAATTATACATTCGAATAAAACAAAACCGGGATCAACCTATAATATCGGACTTAATTGAAAATTAAAATGATTCTAAATTTGAGTGCGTCGCATTTGTATAAGTTCTACGCACGTTTTAAGTAGTTTTTTTCTTTTGGATCGAAGAACCTATGAATAATTTTATTATAGACTCTTCAGATAATATTTTTATTTAGATATTTTCTTCACATATATTAAATAGAATAGAATTAGAGTTTTGTTAATTTTTGTTCTTATATGATGAACTAAATTAATATATTTAATAACAGAAAATAATATCTTCATCGTTCTTTCGCTTTTAATTCAGCTAATAAATTCTTTAAAGTAAAACTTACTTGGAATGTTAATTAATGCTTTAGATTGATGTCGTTCATTAGTATTTTATGATAAAGATCTTTTAATAGATTAATTTATCAAATCACAAACAAAGAAAAAAAAGATTTATTTGATGTAATTTAGTTCTCAAATGAATAAGTGATTAGAGATAAATCTGGATAAGATAAAAGATTTTTCAATGGAATAAGAAGAACCATCTTTTGTCCATATCTTTTATATAAAACAATAGTTTATTTTACCTTGGAAAAATAGAAATATTTTAAATAAATTCATAATTAGATTGCTGAGATCAAATTTGTTGTCATTTGTTCTCTTCTTAATCACACATTAGCTTCAACTAAATTAAAAAATAAAATAATGAAAATTTGCACAGCTTTAGTTGTAGTTATTTAGTTGGACACCCAATGAATCTGATTAATAAAAATGCAATGCGTCATTTCTTTCACTACATGTCCATTTATGTAATATACATGTATATATATATATATATATATCTTTTGCATCATTTGTGATAAAACTTTATTTAAAAAATAACAATAAAAGTTTTCTTAGCTTATAAAAATTGACGTTCTATCTCATCATGATGATTTGCCCAAGTTAATGTCAGATATATGAATACGACTGCACTAAGAATAAAATTGAGCACGTTGACCCATATTGGACCAATAAAAGTATCAAGATGCTTCAGTGATATGAGACCAGACAGCACTGCAATGACGATTATAAATAAAAATTGGAGGGAAATATCACGAAATCTCCATGTTATTGGTCTCCAAATATAATTAACAAAGCCGATGCATGCGATCATTATGACATTTAAGTTATACGAAATATCACAAAATTTTCGATTATCAGTAAATGGAATACAAACGAATAACGATAAGCATATCAGCATAGGTATAAAAACACATAATAATAATGAAATCATTCTAGTTACAACAAAATGACAGTCAGCACTGGATATCATAATAAGTTTAATCTATATTTTTTTGTTTGTGTGTGTTTAGAATAAAGCAGTATTTATTTATAATAAAAAAAAGTTTTGTTAATTTAAAGAGGATAAACAAACCCATGTCATCGAAATCGCGAGACTTTTAGCGATTAATCGTGAAATTGAAGAAAATCGCAGATTAATCGCGATTCAACTTAAAAAATCGACAATTAATTGCGATTAATTGACGATCTTGTTAAGTCTGAACAAAAATCGTCAAGAAATCGCGAGCTACCGGCAATTATTTACATAAGTAGCAAGCCCGGCGATTAATCGCGATTAATCGCTAATCTGCATAATATTGCCGATAAATCGCGATATTTAAAACTAAATGTTTGATGGCCTCCAGATAAAATTATTTGTTTTATTTTATTCAGACAAACAAATATATTTTTCTGTTCATTTGCAGAGTTATTGCTGAATTTCGTTTATTACGAGTAGACAAAAACGGCGGATTGCCCAGTGAAAAATAATCATGGAGAAAAACGGTATCGAACGCATTCGTCAAAAACCAGAAAGCTAGCTTGTCCATGCACAACACGTTCTATAGTTTGATGAATGCGTTCACTACCGGCAAGAATACGTTCATCATCTGAGAGAACGCATTCTCTATCGTTTAGCACTATTATGGATTGTTATTTTTCTGGCTTAAAATCGTTCTTCATCAGATAGAAAACGTTCCGAGCCGTTCCATTCAGTATTGGAATGGTTCTCCTTTCGTTCTAATTGGGAACGATTGGGATCAAGTTCCATCCAAACGATATCGCTTTCTTTGACGTTCCGCAGTGGAATGTCTAAGAATGGACTCTTCGAACTGAAGAACATGTTCTAGGCAATTAAGCATCATTCTTAGAGAGACAAGAAAGCGTTTTCTTTCGTTCATTAAATTTCTAAACACTTTCTCGTGAGTTCAAAAATAAATTTTGTAAAAATTGAATGCGTTCGAGCACGTTTCATTGACTCGTGAAATCATTTTTCACGCCGAGAAAGAATACTGATCAGATTAGATTGTATTCTAATGTTCTCTAATCAGCTAATATTTTTCTTCCAATGTACTAGAATAAAAATGACCACCATAATTCTGTATTGTGTTTTATGAGTGTGTATTCTGGAGGCTGTGGTTTTAACTACCAAAGTCAAAATATTTTTATTTTCAATACATTAGCAAAATCAAATTAAACATATAGATATTACGAAGAAATATGACATGTTAAGACGAATTTTAAGAAGATTCAGATTGATTTGACAAACGAATGAACATAAATTTTTCTTTTCGACGAAGAAAAAATACTTTTTCAATAATTTGTGTTGATGATATCTGTATTGGAATTGTGAAATTTATCTTTCCAATAGCTGTGTTGGAATTTTCAACTGTAATTTCATTAACCACTAGAGAATCACAGATTTCATTTTCTAGTTTATATATTTGAACAAACAATTGTTTTTCTGGTTGTTCACAAACAATGAATTTATCAATAATGGCAAATTTTAATTTATCTGTGTTTCTCTCACGAAATATAATAGCGGTATCGAATTTTGATTGTTTCCAATGACAGGATGAGTATTGTATATTTTCATAAACACAACGATAATACACTTGAAAACTTTTATTTAAATAGATCTTTTGTAAATAACGTTTTTCGCCTTGTTTTAATTTAACCGGCTTCGTTGTTGTAAATGTACCCGTTAAATATGGCTTACGATAGCCTTTTCGAGTTAACTTTAACATATATTCATACAATGGCGACTCATGGCTATCTTCTAATGCCACATAAGAAGACTGTCGTAACATCTCCATGTTATTGAATATTTCTCGATCCTGTTTTCGACTGCCATGGATTGTTGATGTGATTGCTCCTGCATAAGTACAGACAAATATATATTTTTTTCTCAAACCATAGAGTAGTTGTTAATAATAGAAGCAAACTTACCCAGTATCGACTCATAATTAAATGTTGAATAACATTGCAAAGGGCCGTAGTCACGAACAGTCTCGGCACAATGGACAATGGAATGGATTGTGTTGACGCAATGGCGTTCACCATAAAAAAAATCGAATTGTTTTACGTGTTCTTTTAATAACAAGTCCATTGTTACTAAATCTTTTTTTTCGATCTCACGATTTTCCCCAATATGCAGCGCAAAAACAAGTAGTTTAAGATGATCATAATATTTATTTGGTAAAATATCTTGGAAAATGGGATAGAAAATCAACAGCATGGAACGATATTCACTTGCTTTGTATTTATTGTGAACTTTTAAATCTCTTGGTATACGAACACTTGTTGACGGCGAGCAAAATGATTTTAAAATTTCATTGATATCTGATATTTTTGATTCAATGGTCCACGGTTTTTCTTTTGTACACCATTTACGATCGAACCAAAGTGATAATAATTTTTTCTACGCAAGTAGAAAAAAAGAAACCATTTATTTTACTGAGAAACGGAGGAATAAGAGAAGATTTTATTTACCATAGCTCCACCGTAAACTGTATGTAAGCTATCTGACATAAAGCCTTGCCCTTGATCGAAAAAGGCTAAGTCTGCTAAGAGACACGGTCCCAAATAACCTCTCTGTATATCTGGTTCTATATATACTCCCGATGCAAATTGTTGAGTTTGAATTAATCGCATAATCGTTCGATAGCGCTCGGCTGAACGAAGCTCTGGCATAGGTTGATCTTCTTCGATCACAAAGACACGAATACGATGTGTTTCTTTACACGTTTTTTTCTCATTTAATGTTGTACCTGATGCTTTCGATTTTTTTCGGATATTAGAGGATTTAATAATGTAGTTTTTCCTGATAATGAAAGAAGCAAGTAATAGATAATATACTCTTCGACGATTCAAAATGTTGATTTTATACCTTTTATCTCGCAACGCGAACAACCATATGCAGCAGTAGGTTCGGCTATATTCTGCAACAACGCTGTTGCAGGTTTATCATTTGTTGATCCAAGTAGATGAACACAATACAATTCAAATTTATTATTCAATGATTTGATATAACAACCTTTTGGACTCTCAAGTTCTTTCAATTCTTTAACAATAGGATTGATCATTATTCTCATAATTTGCCGTGATGGTTTCTTGAAACAACTATTTATGCCACCAATAATAACATTGTGTAATGAAAACCTCTCTGATTTATTAATTTCATTGATGGTTAGTGTTATAAGCCATAGACTTTTTTCTGTTGATGTACCGATTTGTACACCATCCGTCGATAGTGTAAGTGTAATATAATGACAATCAGGTATATTGATTTTAGACAAAAAATCATGATAAATTCGTCCATCTTTAACATCTGTTAAAATAGAAGATGATGATGATGCTGTTGATAATGATGAAGTCGTTTGAAAGTTTATTTTAGTTTCTCGCTGAAGAATTTGTTCTATTTGCCTTCGTATATTGAAATATGTATATGTGTATGGTTTTAATTTAAATCCAATATTCTCAGAACAATCAATATTCGAACATTTATCAGTTGATTGAGCAATCATTTCACACAACTGACAAACAACAATCGTAGATGATCGGGGTGGCAATGATGTAGATAATGTTAATTGCTTCTTATCATCAATTATCTTTAATAATTTTCGAATTTCGAAAAGAGATTTTGGAATTTTGGTTTTTGCATCGGGTATAATAGCATATAACAGAGAAATTAAGTCTTCTAATAAAGCATTAGAACACTTGTGACGTTTCTTTAACAAACACAAACAAGTCGCTATATCAGTTTTAGAGTATTGTCGTGAGCTAAGAAAAATGAGAAGGTAACAAAACATCAGTCAATTGAGACGAAGAATGAATTGAAAATTAAAATATACTTCAGCTTCCATTTTTCTTCGTTTAAGCCTTTGTTCAAGTTTTTATCAGTATCCTCATCATCATTTAAGTCATCATCAAGTTCATAAATCGATGAGCTGTCACTCTCATAACAAAAGGCATATGGCTCATCAAAGCCCATGCTGGTTTGCTCATTGCTCTCATAACTGTACTCGATAGAATAATTGTCTTCGCAATGTTCTTTGTTAGCATCCATATAATCGTTAGTTTTTAAAACTTGTTCAGAATCATTTGAGTTTGTTGTTACAGCAAGATGCTGTATTGTTGGTAAAATAATCTTTAAATCGTTTTCTTTTCCAGATCTTAAACACAAATATCAATTGTTCAGAAATAATAAAATCTATAAAGCAATACTAACGTTTCTTTTATGTCATTATAATGTGTGTGTCTTTGTTGTTTAGTAGCTGCATAATACGTTCTATTGTATTGACGTCGTATTACTTTTTTCTCTACAATACCAACTCTTTTTAATGTTTTTTTAATATTATGATATACCATTGATCTAAGACAAAGTAGACAAACTAATAATGAATAGCAATCTATAGCGTAATTAGTTTAGCTGTGTTGTGATTTTAAAACCAATTATTCCAACAAGCTTTCTTTATTTTATTTCATTTCATTTTCAAACGAAGAAACTACTGTGTACTAAGAGAGAAATCAAAGAAAAATATGTACATTAACATATTTCATAGAAAAAATACAATATAAATTACATATAGTATATGAAAACTGTACTGACAGCTGTTCGACATCAAACACACAAAATAAAAGATAGGGAAGAAAAATATTGACCATAGCATGATACCGACTTGTGAAACGTAACATTAATTTCTTGAAAATATTAATTATACTATTTTATCGCATCTGATGGTTGATTTTAGCAGATCAATTAAATCAGTGACGAATCAAAGAAAGAAAAGTCAATCTTTAGGAGAAAAGAACAAATATTCACAATGTAGTTCGTAAGCATGGACGAAAGAAAGTGTTTCACAAAAATAAAATAAAAAGGAAGACCTAAAATAAAAAAAGAAGAAAACGATCATTTTATACATCGGTTCGATTTGTTAAACAATAAACAAGCTGAGAAAAAAGAACAAGAAATTATTAAAACTGTTTATCGTCAACATAAATAACACCATCGCCACTACTGTTTGTATCGTCATCTTTTTTTGATGGTGCTTTGCTACTTGTTGAACTTAATTGTTTAGCTGATGGTTTCGATTTATCAGGGTTACGAAATTTCCATGAATCTTTTCTCATCATATTTGCTAAAGATTCACGTACATAATCATCATTAAATTTATGACTAACACCAAAGAACTCACGAACAAATCCTAAATAGAAACACGAAATATACGCTATGAAAATAATGAAAGAGTATAAGTTCTATACTCAGAATGAAAATTCGTGATGTAAAAATATCTAAAAAGAATGAATGCATCCTGATGAAATACTTACTGCATATTTTAAAAATAATGTTCTCATCAATATTATGCCAACAATGTTCTTCTCGAATAACTACAGCATAATCTATACAGTTTTTTTATATTTGACGTGCTGTACTAATACGGTCAGTACCAGATAATTCCAAACATAAATCTAATGTATCTCGTTCAATATTAAGTCCAATTGCTATTGCATCTAAATCTACTTGATTTCGAATTTCTGTTTTATGAATCGACTCATACAAATAATCAACCCAGTTGATGACGATTTCGTCAGTTGGAATAACTACAATAAACGAGCAAAGTAAATAAGATAAATATTCAGAAAAATGTTTTTGCTGACTTACATATAGAATATTCAGCATTTTTCTCTACTTCTAATTTAAATTTTTTTATTTGCTCGGCTTGCTTACTAATTTCATCATCTTTGGAATTTACTAATGATTGAAGACGCTTTATTTCTTTAAGTGCATCACTAGCAGCCATCTTTTTTTACAGTGGTTGTTGATGGAACTACAGCTCGTAAAGTAAGTTGATTTGTTAAAACATTGACTTTCGCTCTTTTCAATGGAGCTAAGCCGGGTGTTACTGATGATGAATCTTGCGCAGTAGTGTATCCAGTGGCATGAATCATATTACCATGCATTGATGTCTCATTGATTACAATCGTAGAACATTCCGATGGTGATGAATTCGAGGTTGCTGTTTTTAATGTGTCAAGAGGAGATAAAGTAGGCATTAATGATGGAAAATCAACATCTTGACTAAGATCTGATTGAACTAATGATGATGATAATGATCGGACAAAAGAACTTTCAACTGAGATTGATGATTTAGATACCGATCCATGCTGATTATTATAGTTTTTTTCAAATGAATCCACTTGGTATTGTTGGTCTTGTGAACTATTCGTTAAATTCATACTTGTTTGGTTATTCAGTTCCGCTAGAACGTCATCATGTGAACCTAATGAAAATAACAAGAAAAATGAAAAAAATCAAGACGAAAAAGTATTAACACGGAAATCTTACTCACAATCAGAATTGTACCTTGTTTCTGACCTCGTCCATTACCATCACGATAGGAAACATTACGTCCAGATGACAACGATTTCATTCTTGCTGCATCGGACAAACAACTTATTGGAATAATAACTAATTTTTGAGTGGATAGTTCACGTAACAATACATGTGTTGCTTCAGATGAGCGATGTCGAGCAACAATAACTTTCGTAGATGATGAGGTTGAATCAACAACTTTGCCTGCTTTTCCAACACGATTACTTGCCATCGTCTATTGATTTCTCCTGACTTTTAATGAAAATAATTAAATCTAAAAAAAATACAGTTATTCGACTATATCGTCAAAATCAAGAAAGATATATGTAAAATTCAATACTGAAACATATAAATAATACTTCTATATTGATATCAACAACATCAACATAATAAGCGCCGTCGCTATTTTAAACCGGGAGCGAATGAGATTCAAAGGAATGAACGCGCAGAGCAAAAGCGGACCGTCCGAGGATAATTCATACAACCGATAGAGTGAAAGATAGATTTTATAATTAGCAGTATTAATTTATTTCTACTCTACAAACAAATAATAGTTCATTATTTAAATTCATAAAATAGAAATAAAATAAAATCATAATTTATTAGTAATTTAGCTTCAATATTATTATGATGGAGACTTTTCGCTTCTGCTGATTTTACAGATACGAGTATTTTATTTGAATTCATTATTCTTTTTATTTTATAAATGCAAACATTTTATTCGAGTTGAACATTCTTTTTGTTTTATATCGACAAGCATTTTATTTGAATTCATTATTGTTTTTATAACGGAATAATCGAGATATGTCATACTGTATAGTCATAATCGTCTGTATTTCAGAAATAAAAACAAGTGTTATAAGTAAAAGAGAAAATGAAAATAATCTTTTAGACCATTTTTTTTCTAAGTCTGATGTGCTGTTTAATTTATATAGAGTTTTCACTTGATCATGTATATGGTAAAGTAGTCTAGTGGGTAATATAGTAGAAGTTCAAGCGAAGAGTTCCACGTTCGAATCCAAAAGTAAGCACAAAAAGAGTAAATATCGAAACAAAAAGTAACGTATAACGTATGATATAGAAGCAGACAAATCAGACCGAGCAGTTTCAAGAAGAACACAATAAAGAAAGAGTTCTAGTCCTCCCTCGAATTCGTTTTTGTTCATTCCTTTTTAGGAATGGTTCAGAACACGTTCATTGAAAAATGGAATGCATTATTCATCATTATAAATAGGAGCCATCGATAACGCTTTCTATAAAAGTGAAAACTATTTCTTTTATAATAGAAATGTTCCAAAAGCTATGGAATGCGTTCTTCATCGTTCTGAATTGAAAAGTTAATGAACACGTTCCACATTCTTAGAAAATTTTTTTTAAGAAAAAAAAAGTACTTTCAAAAACTGGAACGTGTTCTTCATCGTTCCAAAATGGAACGGTTTCCATCTTTCGAAAAAACTTTTTTTTTCTTAAAAAAAGTTTTCTAAAAATGTGGAACGCGTTCTCTTCCGTTTTTCTCCATGATTATTTTTCACTGGGTAAGATATGATTCATGAATATTTAGTGTTTTACAATATGATATGGTATTTGCTTATCACGAATATGTAGTATCACAATACATGATATAAGATGAATGACGGTTAGATGAAAATCACGATATGCCCAAAGATGTTCCTTTATGACGATATATAGAAGGTAGGGTGCCTAATTTTTGATAGTGAACAACGATATATTTTGGGAAATATTACAGGTCTTTTAAATTTTGTGGAAAGAGGCGTTAATCTAACATTGTGAATGACTGATCAATATATCTTGTGACTTCAAACGAAAGAACTAACCAGTAGTCTTAAAATGGGTGTGTGGGTGTGGGTATGCGCGTTTGTGGACTTGGGTATGGTTGTGGGTTCAAAAAGTCTATATCTATGCTAACAACCACAGCCACACCAAAACCACTTAAATATTCATTTAGTTGTGGCAGCATTCATACAGAGAAGAAAATGAGAAAAAATTCTAATTTTCCTATGAATAGCACACCTCACTTAAAAAAATACACTCATGAGTCATTTCTCCCATGTAGATGCGTGAAAATCCACGAAAACCCTTCAAAAACTCTCTAGAAATCACCTGGAGATTTCCGTAGTGTCTCCATCGAATTCCCCACCGTTTTTAACCTACTAGGTGTTGTCTCCATTGTATTATTGGCGAAACTTCCAAAAATCCTGAAAACGGATTATTAGGTTTTCGTATAGTTTTAGGTAAAACCCAATTGTTTCCACGAAGGAAAGCAATTTCGAAAAACTACTCGTATAATTTTGAAGAGGAGCGTCTGACGAATCGAACTGTGCACAGAAATCAATTCAAGCACATCAGAAAAAGTTTTTGAAAGGTTTTAAAAAAAGAATTTTTGGGCTTTGAAAATCGCGCATCTAGAGATGTTTACGGGCAACGCTTTCTGTCAAAAACAAATTCTTAAGATATTTTCTAATTCAGTTTTTAAAGCTGAACAAGAGTATGTCCTTTTCGAGTATCTAACTAGATTCTAAAGCCCACAAATTCAATTTTACAAAAACCATGGAAAAAACAAGTTTTTTGAAAACCTGAAGTTTTTTGATTTTTTGAACTGAAGGAAGCTTTGAAATAATTTGAAAAACATATATTCGTGATCACCGTAAAATTCTGTAGCAAATGATGTGTAAAACACGAAAATTCTTAATTTCACTTGAAGTTCGTCTTGCGCGAACCTTAGTTTGTCATTCTTGATTTCTAGTGGTTTCTAGTGGTTTCCAGTGATTTCTAGTGATTTCTAGTATCAGAAATAGGAAGGAAAAAGTTGATTTCTCATATCAGAAATTACTAGAAATCACTGGAAATCACTAGAACTGACTAGAAATCAAGAAATCATTTTTTCCCGCTTGTATAGATTCGAATTCCTCGACTCCAAAAATTGTTAGTTTAGTTTATAAAAAAAAACTATTATTTTATCAGAATAGCCTTGTCTTAACAGAAAATTTTCAAAACTCTATGATCACTACAACACTTGTTCAGCGGGTTTTAATATTATTGAATGGATATTACTTGCACTTATCTCCTTGCAATACACATTTCTCATCAATCATACAGAAAATGTTTTAATATTTCGTTTTTATCTCTCTTGTAGAAATCCACTGATCATTTAGATATGATGGATGGTTTAATTGTGCAATTATTAAATGAAAAATGGCGTACATTCATCAAATTCAAGTAAAGTTATTTACTCTATTTTCCATTGAAAGTGAATTTACTCATTCAATAGATTTTTTTCAACATATGGCTATATTTACAATTTATTTTGGTATATGTTTATTTGGATTATTGATTCGTGATTATTATCGTGTACCATCATCATATATTATACATGAAGTAATTAATAAAGAAGAAAATATAATGAAATCAATAATTCCTAATCGAATCGAATGTAAATGTCATTATATAAATTTTTTATGGCATAAACCATTTCATGATAATGATGATGAAAATCAGATAATAATCATTAATCATAATTTGAGAATAATAATGATGAAGAAAACAGAAAACAAATATTTGAACCTATGGTTTTAGTAAGAAAAATCAGAATGATGGAAAAAATACAATAAGAAATATTTGTTTTTTAGATTCTTAATATTTTTGATGGTTTATATATTCTTAGTGCATTGATCTATTCAATCATTACACTAGAAGAGTTTTCTTATCAAAATTTTAAATTAGATTCATTCATTTCTGTTAATGATCCAATCAGAGTATTATTTCTTTTTTCTTGTATATTAACAATGCCAATGTTATCAGCTCGATTTACTTGTTTAATTATTACTGATGATGTTCTTTATGTATTTGCAACATTCCTTCGTACACCTTAGTTTTTCTTTTTTTTTGCCGATAAAAATGAGAAAATGTTTTGTCTATTAATGATAATTAATTCTTTCCTATTTTTCTTTTTTGATTTTCAAAGTGGCTTTCGTTCAACAGGTCCATTTGTGATAATGATATATACAATGATTCGTAGGGATTTATTACGTTTTTGTTTAATATTTCTTGTTTTTATGTTTGGTTCTACACAAACATTGCATATTTTATTTGTTCGAATTGATCGCGATAATGATTTTTCTACTGTTACAGAAACATTTTTTTCATATGTTTTGTGTGACACTTCAACAAGTTACCGATGCTTATGAAAATCTTCATCGACATCCAATATCTGCTATTCAAATTATTAGAAAAGTAAATAGAGAGAGAGAGAGAGAGAGAGAGAGAGAGTTTCAATGTAGAATATGCAAAGTGTAACGCTTTAGAGTTTAAATCAGATATATCTATTGCGGCTGAGAATCCACCGCTGCCACGCCGTGGTCCTAGAAAATAGAAGGCTCCTACACTGCGATCCTAGTGAAAGAAGACTTCCGCGTGCTGGTTCTGGAAAAGAAAAACCTTCCATGCAGTGTTTCTAGGAGAAAGAAAGCTTTTCTGTTGCGATTCTAGAAGAGAGAAGGCCCCAAGCCGTAGTCCTGGATGAAAGAAGGCTCCTCCGCTGTGGCTAAAATCTGAGCCTATCGTGTCGCTGCCGTAATTCAGTGAACTATACAGAAAGTTGATGCTGTCGTGATTGTTTTCAAAAAGTTCTTCGGAAATCCTTGTCATCATTGTACTTCGCTACAGTTGTTAGTATAAATCTATGAGGTCATCAAGTCTCTGCGTGTTACACTTATTGATACCTAAATTCTGAACAAATTCATGAAGTTTGCAATGTCTTATAAAAAGAAGCTGCCACTACTATGACAGTATATTTTTAAACATCTTTCGCATCACGATAATTTCTAAAGAAAAATGTTGCAGACGTACCACCATGACCATCACTATTTTGAACATATGAAAGTGTTTCAAAATCCAAAGGTATGACCTCGGATGGTGCAACTAGGAGGGTATTCTTCTCCTGCTTTGGCAAGATCGGCGACAACGTTCTCCGAATTTAGGGAAAAGTGCGCTCAGATTTGATAGAAAATGACCTTGAACTCAAATTGTCTGCGAATTTCGGAGAAAATGACCAAATTCTAAGAAATTTTTATCTTCTCCCATTTTCGGAATTACAGCTTGCTTTGGCTCCTTTACGCTGTCCCTGAATACGATCTAACTTTACTAGGAATTGTTAGTTTAAAAAGGAAAATATTTCACAACAACTTCATCTTCTTCAATATTTGATGGTACTTTAGATGTGGTTTGTTACTTATATCGTCACAACTCCAGTACTTCTTGTTAATATGTTTATTGCTAGTATGTTAAAAATATTTGTTTTGTGTTTTTCTTTCTTTGATTAATTAATGTTATTTAGTGATGGGTAATAGATATGCTATGGTAAATGAACGAAAAAAAGAATGGCTTCGACAATAGGTAAAAATAAATGCGGAAACCTCGGATTTAAATCCGAGAGCTATGTGTACTTCAAAAAGTGAATGAAACAGATGAGTCATCCTAGAATGTGTGGATATCAAAATTATTCTGGCAAATCTTTTCTATAAAAGACTTGATTTCTATTGGCTACTCTCAACCAATAGGATTTGGAGATGAATACAGCTCAGATTTGAACTCTTCGCCTTGATTTACCCTAAGAAAGTCGTTTTCCCTATAACTTGATTTCTATTGGCCCCTGCTCAACCAATGGTATTTCAAGACAAATGGATGACAGATTCGAGTTCTCCGGCCCAAAAACCTCGAAGTATCATGTCCGTGATCGGAAGGTAGAGCTCCATTTTCGGATCAACTAGAGCGTCGACGAAAACAGAACCTATTTCCGTCTGATTATATTGGCAATAGGTGAGTTAGCCTTCGTGTTTATTTATGTTTCATATACCATTTTGTAGCTCGTGAAATTTTCTATCGAATGGTATATAATAGTTGGAGTTTTATTTGATTATGATAGTAAAAGCTTTTTTACGAAAGTGGGAATAGGTCGATTTTCCTATAGGAAGTCATAGGGGAAAATGACTATTTTTGCAATAACTCAGGAACGGCTCGGCCAATCATGCTGATCTTTGAACTCGACCGAGATATTGTTAAGACTGAACTGTGTAGAAAATTTCATCGCAATCGAACTCTCTTTTCAAAAGTTATCGTGTAAATGGACGGACGCCGGACACTGACCGATTCTAGTGTACTCACTTTTTGAGTACACAGTAAATCACCAATATTAATAGCTATCGAGTTCGGGTTTCTACCTTTCGATAGTCCTTTTGACTAGCTACAAAACCAGGCATTTTAGAAACCCCCAAACTGCTGGTCATCTGAGACATATCTAGGTAATTTGGTTTCTAGATGCAGTTTTTTGTGTCTTTTGAGACCTTTTTTTTCAGTCAATGTTTCGTTAGAAAGCTATGATTTAGTTCAAAACCAATATCAAATTGGGAATCAGCGTTAAAAACTGAGTCGATTAATATATGTTGTGAATAATTCTGAGAAAATGATATTTTGAAAAAAACCTGTACTTCCCCTCAGGGATGGTCTGATCAAAAATGACAATTTTTTCGATAACTCAGCCATTTCTTGACGGATCCTTCTCATCTTCGAACTCGACCTAGATATTGATAAGACAATTCTGTGCACAAAATTTCAGCTCAATCGAATGTAATTGTGAAGAGTTATCGAATAAACGAACGGAAGGCCGGACACACTGACCGATTCTATAGTGTACTCTCTTTTTTCGAGTACACAAAAATAATAGTCTTATATACGAAACCTTTTTTGTACGAAACTAAAAAATGGTCCAGAATTCGTTTCAAATCTGAAAACCCTTTTTTTAGTTTCGTATGATACCTTTTTTTTCAGTGTATGCTGTAATGTCGGCAGTTCGATGAGGAAAATGGGTCGTAAATGAGTTTGTCTCGTTCTGTCTACTGCCTACTTATTCGCCGTTTTGTTTTGCACATACAGTTCCAAATGAACAACTCAACTGAAGATAAGAAAAGTACTAATTGCCTGCCCTTCGGAAATTTGATATTTATACTGTTGTAATTTTTCGCTAGAAAAAATTCAATAATTTGAAAATAAACACAAACGAAAAATAAATGTGCGATTTCTAATAGCATGCCATAAAATTTATAAAATCAAGGAAGTGATTTATAATATCACTAAAATTAATTTGAGCCGTTGATAAAGTAACATACATGCTAGAAATCAAAACAGAAATTGTACTAGCTGAATCGGAAGATGGTATGAGAGCGATGAGATATACAATAGAAACTCATCTACAACTTGCTTTTAGTTCAATGAACACTCTACACTATCAGGTATAACACGAATCTGGTTCACGTATTCAATAATGAAAAGGAAAATATTCTACACATCTGTTCAAAGCATCCTACAGAAGCAGACCTTCAAGAATTAATATGCAGACGAACAGAAAAATTCGATCTTCACACGAAAAAAGATACAAGTAGAAATTTGCCTGTTCATATTGCTGCTCGGACAAATCTAGATATGTGCAAACACCTTCTATCTATTAAAAGAATGGATGAATTACTTAGTGAGTACAATAAAAAGCGCCAAACACCAATACACGTTGCTACTGAAGCAATACCAATGGATACTATAGGTGAAAAATCAAAATCTTACAATAAAGATAAAGAAAATATAGACAATGCAACCGATTTCCATTTGTTGACATTTAAAACAATATGGGGTGAAGGAAAAAATGAACATATAAAGAAAGCATTTGCATGTCTAGATGGAAATCGACGAACTTGTTTGCATTTGGCTGCTACCAAAGGTAACTCATTCAGCATGCTTGATCAAAGTTGTCGTTCTAATAATTTAGGTTATCAGGAAATTGTTAAATTTTTGGTCGAAGTAGTTGACTTAGAAATCGATGCTGTATGTGATCGTCATCTGACTCCTCTTCATCTTGCGTGTTTCTCAGGTCACACTGACACAATTAAATATCTAATCAAACATGGCGCCTCACCAATATTACGCAATGCTGCATTGCACAATTGTTTAGAAATTGCTATCGTGAAGCAACATAAAGAAACTGTCAAGATGCTTCTCGCACAACCAAACATATGAATTCTAATAAATAGCATTGATTTCATATTGTTTTAGTAGGGAAAAAGCACTTTCTGAGTCACAACAAGATATTCTTGATGGTGTGGGTGTCGGTGTGTGGGTGTGGGTGTGGGTTATGGGGTGGCGATGTTCTCTAATTATATTCACACCCACACCCACACCCACACCCAATCCCACTCCCACACCCTCGTTCTTTTCTTTTTCTTTAAAATCCTACTATTTAAATGAAATCAAGTTATGTAGCAACACTATCTCGTCCACGTAAAAATAATTCAAGCAAAACTGGTTCATACCGCGGCTTTCTGTACGTGCGGCCACAGAACAGAAAGCCATGGTGTTTGCATTATCAACCACGGTCTGCGAAACATAAGACAATCAGTCATTCGATAAACCGCGTTGTAAGTGTCATTGATCGCGGTGTACGGATCAAATCTATACCATTGATGTAATAAACCGCGATGTTAACAAGATGCATCGCTAGCGGCGAAACTTATGCAAACCCTTCATGTGCTAAGCCCCTCTCTAGGCACCATCGACAACAGTATCATACGTGAATATGAGTTCAGAAGTAGTCTTTATATTGGGTAACTATGGCTAGATAGAAATTTTTCTTTTCATTTGCTGATGTTCTTCATACATATTTTCAATACGGCTATCACAGATGCTGCTGATTTTGTATGAAGCTATTTCAATAACAGATTGAAAATTTTTAACGCGAAAGAGCATATGGTGGCTGTTTTAATGATTGAAATTGATTTGCTGTTAGAGGTGGCTTGCATTCTAAGAGATTCATTTCACAGACATATGCAACTGATTCATGAAATTTATAAAAAAAAAAAACTATCAGACATATCCTAATACGACTAATATTTTAGAGTCAACAATCACACAATAACGCAAAGAGAAAGTTCGAAAAATTGCTTCACTGTACCGCGGTGCATCAGATACAATCAAAACCGCAGTTCTATCTTCCTGTACCGTTCTTTGTTACTATATATGCAAAGACAAAAATGATATCGTGCGCTAAGATTATCGCTCAAGTTCAACAAAATAATCACCAGTACAACCTTGTGAACTATAAGTGTGTGCTTTGTGGAAGACTTAAGAGGCGATCTGGAAGAACAGATCATATATGTAACATGTGTTATGACCCCATCTGAGGGTATTTTTAGCACGTTGCCTGTTACTTCCACGAAATAGCAACTGAACACCCGCGCGAACGGCGGTTTCGGTCGCCATGTGTGCTAGGAAATCTTATAGTGGAGGATGAAAATGGAAGATTGCTATTAGGTTGCAATTGCTTTAAAATTTTGATAAATATTAACCGGCAAACACCCCATTTTGTAAGAAGTCGTGACTCTCAGCAGTTTCATTTCACCGCGAAAGTCAGACCGTTTATTCGGTTTTTGGAAACCGCGGCTATCGACGTTTTTAAAAAACCTAACAAAAGGTCTGACTTTCGCGGTTTTCAATGAAAATGTTTTCCGTGGGAGAACGAAAGAAGTCGATTGACGTATATAAGCATTTAATTAAAAAAATTGATTATTATCAATGAAATGGCTTATTTTCTTCATTTTTCTACACACACACACATCTCGAATTAACTGGGCTTCTATTCTGTGGTAGTGAGGGGGGGGGGGGGTAATAATTTTTAATCCCCCCCCCCCCCCCCCCCCCCCGCCCCCCCCCCCCCCCCCCCCCCCCCCCCCCCCCCAAATAAATGTGTCTACCTAATTGTGACACGCAAATCATACATAACTTGAAAATAATCTCTTCGTTGAAGCACCAAACTATTAAACCTCATTATAAATAAATGAATAAATAGCACGCGAACGTTTGCATACTGACAAAAGTATTCAAGTCAAGTAATTACTAAAAATAGAATGTGCCAAACGAAAAGAATTTCAAGAAATGTTCAACATTTTTTCATAAACTTGAGACAACTTTGTTTTTCTAAACTTCAAGAATTAAAAATACTCTTATTACAAAAATTTGAATACATACCAACAACCTGTTCTGTACTCAAATCTACTCGAGTTGTCTAGAACATGTCAGAGTCTTTCTTGAAGTTTCAACATTCGGAATATATTCGCGAGTGGTTTAATTAGCTCCTATACACAATATCTGACAGAGCATTCCCTTCCGAATGAAATACGATCTTACCGATCGCATGGAGATTATTTTACAGTATGTGCTGTTAGAAAAACAGTACTTTATCACTCTTTTTATTAATTCAATACGTCATAGATAATGACAAGATGTCACTTTTATAGTGTGTAACGCATAAGAAAAATTACTACGAATGTCTTTCGTAAGATGTGTGAGGGGAATTTTCTTACTGGTATGCTTTAACACTTGTATTAGTTTATTTTTTACGAAAATTGATGTTATTTGTCAAAAAATGATTTGTCATGGTCACCATCTAATTAGCATAAAATCGATTAATTGATCAAACTACTATGTTTGATAATCTTAAAGCCTTCTTTCCTAGAAATAATCAGCATTATCATAAGACTTCTTCTTCAGCTAAATCAATAGTTGACATAATAATGATGCTAAATTAAGAATAACAGAACACATAAAAAGAAAAATGCGAGGAGTGAATAGCATCAAGAGGTAGCAATAAAACAGACTGTCATTAAAAGGAAAAGGAAAGATCTCGTCAAACTAAATGCAAAAAGCTTTCTTAAGATATCCACCAATATTTATTATTTATCTTAAGATTTGTCGATTTACCACATTTTTAGATTTCAACCAGTTCTATGCACGATTTATTTCCCCCCTTCAAGCATTTTCATGTCACATATTCATAATATATCGATTGGTTTTATTTCGAACAACACATCATAATGTCAAGGTAAGCAAACTTTACGTTTTTTTTTCTCCTTCGTCTTCTTCTATTCCTTCTCTTTCTTCAGTTCTTTTTTTTTCATGAATAGTTTTATTCTCTGTGTGTTTATATATGCTGCAAATGCTCGATTCCACTAACCTGTTCGCTTCCTTTTTCATCCAGTATCGCAAGCAAGACATATTCTTTTATGTGCATATCGTATAAGAAGCCATTGAAAGTTCACAACTGGTGCATACTCATTCAATAGTTTTCGATTGGTTGACTCTGTGTATTTGTCGTATCGACGATAACTAGCTTCATCGAAGCACCTTCGACTACGTTAAAAACAGTAAGTAGGCAATGATCTGAATTAACATTATCGTCGATGCTGATATTCAAAATTTTTCTTTCAACGAAATAGACCACATGTATTTGTGTATCAGATAAGAACAACATTCTAATGGTTGTGTAGAAAAAATTCAAAGGACACATTATCTTTATTCTTTTTCATTTTTCACATCTGTCACCATTCGAGTACTAAAACTCAGAATTTAATTATCGGTACCCAATCAACGTTAAGTACATATGATTGCTTCTAAATTGTATATTATTTATTTTCAGATCATGTTGATAAGCTATTTATGCAATTGAGACAACCTTTGAATAGGAAACGGTCTGATAATAGAATTCCAATAGCTGATTATTTTCAATAGGAATGTTGATTTACAAACTCCAGTACGTAAACTAACAGCATCGATTTCACAAGTTTAAAAAAGTTAATTTCGATGTTATTATCTCCTTCTACTGGGGATGGGCTAATTCTAGGTTTGGAATTGACCACATGTACATTGTGTTGTTCTTATCGTTAAAAGACAAATTTTAAATATCAGTTTCGAGGATGGTGATGATCGTCATCTATTTAGTATTTAACTTAAACGAAAAAGAAAAAAGTTTGCTTAGTTGAGTTCCATCTAATTTTTTTTATAAGCTGTAAAAGAAAACTACCGATTGAAGGTTAAGTATATTATTTAGTTTCTTTTCAATTATGAATAGAAGAAGGAGGTAAAATAAAAATAAAAAATAAAGGTTTCCATCCCTCTCAACATGCCATTTTATAATAGGACTTTTTTTCTTTTCTGTTCTTTTTTAGTTATTCAAAGCAATAAAAGAATGTGACCGTTCTGGTTTCGTCATAATAGCCCATGAATGTCTTTGTCTTCGTTATAAAAATGTGCAGTACACGCTTCTTCCCTAATAGCTTTAGTCATATATCTTCCTCTCCGTCAATCCGCTCGTGTTTACTGCGTGTCCTTTTTTTGGTTCAAATTACACATTCGCTCTTATATTGTTGTTTGTTCTGTATGCTCAGCTTGTTAGTTACTTAAACAATCCGAAGACACATTAACATAACAATTTTCTCGTCGGTAAACCTATGATACTTTCTCTTGAGAAAGAAAAAATGAGTAAAGAGCCATGCATTTTTCTTTCTTTTTATGCTTCTGTTACCATGGATTAGTACTAAAGGGGAAGAAAAAAAGCAAGTAAAGCAGCATAGTAGACGGTTTCTTCAAAATGAATCAATATTTATTATTAATACTTATTTTGTTGCTTCAGATAAATCATATTGACACAATGACATCATTAGCATTTTTCTTTTATTGTTATGCATCGTAAGAATAAATGGAATTTGACTTTGTTAACTCTAAATCTCATATATGTTTGAATCGAAAACGTTGTTTTTCAATACTTTTATTAGTGAATTGTATTCTCGCTTTTCTCTATTATACATATGTACAAAATCAATCCGAAGGAACAAAAGGTAATTCGAACAGTGCAAAAGGAATTCGTATTAATTTTAATCCGGATCGAAATTCGACCAAACCAAGTAAACCGATCGAATACATTCGAACTATACTCGAAAACGAGTATAATTACGATGATTTAGTTAAATTTTATAGTCTTAATGAAAAAGAATTTTCATTGGGCTTACGATGTACAAGAAAGCCTAAGCGCATTGAAACAACGACAAAAGTCAATTATACGGGTGATACAACAATCGAAGATAACAGTACTACGATCAGGTACAGAGAAAAATATTTATATCTTATCAAATAGAATCTAAGAGGAACGTGAGAGTATTAGAATAAACTTTACACGTTAAGACACGTTTGTAATAATATTATTTGAACTATTTTCTTATTGTATTTCTAGAGCATTGAATTAAAAGGAAGCATGTCCTAAAATATCTTCTACTTATTTTAGTTTTCATCACTAGTTAATTTAACAAGATTTTGGATTATATAAGAATATTTTTTAATTTTTTATAAACAAAATCTTATCTTTATAGTTTTAACATAAAAACGACTCATTTATAAAACATTTCCTATATTCGATTTATTGCCATTGAATGAAAAAAAAGAAGAGGTTAAATATTATTCTGACGAACATTTTTTTTTCTGCGATGTCAACAAAAATGTGATCGAGACAACATTTCAGTCGTATAAAACGATTGATCGCGTGCGAAAACGATATAAATTATTTATTATTAGTCGTTTCATTTCTAGGTTTAGTTGATTTCATGTGCATCATTCAGGAGAATAATACAAATATTAGACTTACATTCATATATAAAACATTCTGGACTACAGTTGCGGTTGTTGCTATTTCTCTTCTTAAATTCATTCTAACATCTGTTACAGTATGAAAATGAGGTTGCATTGCATTGTGATTGTGCCGCATATATTTTCTATCGTCGTTAGAATCGGTCGTAAAGCACGGGTGTATTCTTTAAAAGAGTAAGTATCATGTAATTCGATTCGTGTAGATTTCGTTCTTTTTAATAAAGAAAAAAGCGATTCGAGGCGTCGGTAGCAAAATATTTATTTGGTAGTGTTTCTAAACGTGCTCCGGTAGGAATAAAGATAACAGAGTGTGAATTGTATCGGCTCATTTTTGTATTGAATATTTAGTATTGACAAAAATATTAGGTTTAATTGTCTGATTAATATCAACTTTTGAACATAAAATCGTCGTGTTTTAAAACTGTAAACTAACCATCAAAGTATTAGTTATGATTCGAGTGAATATTCTTTTTTTTTGAAATTGAGATGGCAGATTTATCTAGACCATTGATATTCGAAACGTGAGTAGAGACAAAGCAAGATAAGAATTGATTATCTATAATATAAGTCAGTTATGATTATTATCGACTTTCGAAGACAATTTTAACAAAAAAAGAAAACAAATGATTCGATTTCAGAGTGTCTATTGATCAAATTTATCAACCGCATATGCTCTAAGAATTTCAAAAACTATATATTTTACATACTTGAAACTTTCAAAATTTTCACAAGTACATTCGTGTAGTGAAACGTTTCTTTGGATCGTACACAATAATAGTGTAGAATCTATAAGTATGGGAATCGAATTTCATCTTTGGTTATTTGATGAGAGGTTCATTTAAGATTTCGCCTCTTTTTCTATGTGTATTCATACATGTTATTATACAATTATCTCAATGGTTGCCAAGTAAACATTACAAGAATAGAAATAACATCAAAACGTAACAAACTATTGAATAAATCTTGAAAAAGGTTCGTTTTAGAAATTTACATAAAACCGTGTATTTACTTTTAATTTTAATCTGAAAATTCTCCAAAGGTAGTAGAATTTTCATAGCTCAAAAACGATTCTTTGCAGTTTTTTTTCTAAATCATTTTTAGTTCTACTATCTGATGATGATATTTCAAGTTAACTGCAATTAAAATCGTATAAATCTTGCTTTCTTGCATTGCGCTGCGAATAGTAGCCTATGATATTTCATCTGTCTATGAATCTGAAATAATTCCTAGATAGACATTTACTATTGGCTTCGATGTATATAAAGAAACGTTCTGATAATTATTTTCTTCAGATTCAATGAAACTACTACGATCATCGTTCTAGTTTTACTTGTTCATTGTAATACTCTGCTAGTAGAAAAAGTCAATCAAAAGATTACAAACATCTAATAAAATTTTCTTCATTTAGTTCATTACCTATTGCAGCAACTTCACAAGTCGATTCTTTGTCTGCATTACCATACTATCGTTATCAACGTAGGAGTCTTTTTACCTTCGTAATCGATCATGCTGATGCATGTTTAAATGATTCTATTGATTTATTGATACTGATCATATCGAAATCAGATAATTATAAAACTCGTGATGCTATTCGTCGAACATGGGGATCTGGTGAAAATCTTGGTAATTATTCGTCGATACGTATGAAACTGTTTTTTCTTACTGATTTCGATGAAAAACTAAGTACAAATATTCGACTTGAAGATAATCTTTTTCATGATATAATTCAAGTAGAATTGCCACCGCAATACACATTGGTTACATATCGTGTTTTATCTCTATTCGAATGGTCATTTCGTTTTTGTCGTCGAGCGAAATTTTTATTTAAAACCGACGATGACATATTTATAAATTTAATATTACTTCTGAAATTTATATCTTCGCGTCTTGATAAGCCAACGAACAATTCATTTCTCATACCGGATATGACTATGTATGGTTATAAACATTATCGTCCAGGAGTATTTCGTCAAGCCAATGATCCAGTTGGAGCTCGTTATGTTATTACACTGGATGAATTTCCATGCTCACATTATCCTGATTTTTTATCCGGCTTTGGTTATGTAATGCCCAAGAAAGGACGCGACGCCATAATCTATGCTGCTTATCGAAATACTGATAAACCATTTCGAATATCAGATGTTTATCTAACGTAAGTTTTTTTTATTATTATTTCATGATAGGAATATTTTCCTAAACGAAAATGCGTATTTTCTTTAGCGGTATTCTACCCGATTATCTATCTATTGAACGGCAACCATTGCCTAACTATAATATTCGTTATCAAGGTAGTTGTGAGAATTTCTTTGAAAATCCAACATCGTTTGCATGTGCTGTTGGTTTGCATCATGGAGATTCAACTGATGTTTTTGATAAATTTAATCGTTATTGGCAATATGTGAAAAAGTCTCTCTGACTTTTCTTTCTTTCTTTTGTTATTTAAACTAATTTTTGTTAAATTATTCTCCTTTTTGTTTTTATTATGATGAAGAAAAGAAAAAAAAATAATTATAAAAAGAGAAGAAAAAGACAAAAGTATTTAATCATATATAACCACAAGGTTAGTCTAATACTTTAATTCATTGACTAGGCTAATTTTTTCATTGTATTTGCTGTCTTCGTGGTAATGAGGCTTCAACAATTTACACACACACACACACACATCAAAGAACACGATTTTCTTGTAAATAGAGAGCGAGTAAAGAAAGGTCAGGCGTTTGATTTGCTAAATGGGAGAAAAACACGGACAAAATAGTCAAAAACATAGGTTGAGTGGCAAAGGTATTCAAAAAAAAATACAAATAGAAGAAAATCAGTAAACAGTTGTGTTCATGGTTCATAGCGTTGTGATAAAAATAAATACTCAATAAAATTTCTATTGAATTATTTATCGAATTTTTAAACTTGTTCAACATGTAGACTAAATGCAGCTGTGATTTCTCCTTTGTCATTTGAAGCAGTAACATGATATTGACCTTGATCTGTTGCCAAAACAACAGGAATTTCGAATGAGAATTCTTTTTCACCATTTGTAAATGCAAATCGACTTGAATTTTGATCCAATGGGTTACCATTGAAGTTCCATTCAGCTATTGAAAATAAAATTCGATGTTTTTGTTTTCTTGAAAAAAAAACAAAGATAAGGAAACTACTCGACACGGTATAAAGCACCATTTAGAACTCGAATATTAGCTATTCTACTGAATTGTAGTACATAGATGAACTAAGTCTGGTGTTTTACATGTTTCGTTGTCTGCTTCTAATCCAACGGGTAGACCTATCTTTTAAACTAACAATGTGTGGTAGATGTGTTACTTACCGTTCATTGGTGTTGACCCGGAAAGTTTGCAACTGAATTTAGCTTTACCACCTTCTTCTAAACTAAGACCGTGTGGAAATTGAACAAAGTTAGGATCGAGTGGTTCTTCGTCACGTGCTAAATAGAATCAATAGCAAACAAGTTAGGTGTATTTTTTGTAAATACATATTGTTTTTGTTTTACCTTGTATAATGACCGAACAAGAAGAAAGTAGTTGGTCACTTGTTGATTTACTCTTTAGTAAAGCTGAGAATACACCTGAATCTTCAGGAAATCTATTCAAATCAAAATGATAAGACAGTGAATAAATACTTTTTTGTTCATCTAATACTTACACTTCAGCAACAACTAATTTAAATGCATTTGCAACTCGTTCGCGACGAAAATCTGGATTATCAGGAATTTCTTTGTTATTTCGTAACCAGACCACATCGATGTCGTCAGCAACTCCTTTATAAATGAAAACAAAAACATCATTTAGTGATACTCTTTTAGAGAAAAATATCAAATTCAATACTCACCCTCACAAGAACATTCAAGTGTAAGTGAATCACCTTCCAACATATTTTGTGATTTAACATATCGAGAAAATTTTAATTTAGGCTCAGCTGGTTTTTCTTCGACTTCTTCTTTTTCCTCTTTAACTTCAACTGGTGCTGGCTCTTCAACAGGAGCAGGAGCATCAACAACTGGCTCTGGTACAGCTTCTTCAACCACAGGAGCAGGAGCAGCAACAACTGGCTCTGGTACAGCTTCTTCAACCACAGGAGCAGGAGCAGCAACAACTGGCTCTGCTACAGCTTCTTCAACCACAGGAGCAGGAGCAGCAACAACTGGTTCTGCTACAGCTTCTTCAACAGCAGGAGCAGGTTTTGGTGTTTCTACGGGTGCTGCTTCCACAACGGGAGCAGGCTTTGGTACAGCTTCTTCGGTCTACATATATTAAACGAATAGAAATATAATTTAATAAATTCTATTCATCAAACCTTTTTCTTCTCTTCTACAGCTGATTTCTTTGTTTTATCGTCAGCAGCTTTCTTTGCTGGTTCCTTCTTTTCTTCTGGTTTCTTAGCTGCTTCTTTCTTTTCTTCGACTTTTTTAGCTGGTTCTGGTTTTTTCAAAGCAGCAGCTCCAACTAGTTTCTTTTCAGGTACAGCTGCTTTCTTTTCTGGTACAGCTGCTTTCTTAGTAGCTGCAGCTTTTCCAGTAGCTGGTGCTGGCTCAGGAACTGGAGCAGGTACTGGCTCAGCAACAACTGATACTGGTTCTTCTACAACAGCAGCAACTGGTACAGATTCTGCTACAAGAGCAACTGGTTCAGGTACTGGAGCAGAAGAAGCAAGTTCAGGAACTGCAGCAGCAGTTTCAACACTTGCTGCTTGTGATTCAGCTGGAACAGAAGTTTGATCTTCTTGAGCTGTTGACGTAGTGTCGACCTCTTCATCTGCAGTACGTACGTGAGCTATAGAACAGTGAAAATAGATGATAAATTAATATATGAACACAATTTTGAATACCTCTAATGGTAACTTGTGCGCTTGATGTATCCGAGCCTTCATCGTTTGTAGCTCGGCAAATATATTCTCCACCATCATCTAATTTAACACTCTTAATAATTAATGTTGCTACATCATCTTCATATGTTTGTTCGATTCGGGAGTCAACAGTCAAGGACTAACATACAATTTTCCATTGAATAAATGAAAGACAAAAACACAAAAAGAAATTCTTACCTCGCCATTCTTCAACCATTCAACTTTTGGTGTTGGTCTGCCCTTGACTTCACCGCTTAATTTCGCTGTTGAACCTATGGAAAGGAAAATTGTTAACGTACTCCATGCGAAGTTAGAATGTGAAACATGATATATCTATTGGCAGTGGGAGAATTTTGCTGCAGATGTTTTACTCTGCTACTCAAAACATGTTTAATTGTGATAAAAGATAATATCCGTAATATGATACAACCAATAGAGCTGCTATGGTAAACATCTTTTCTTTTCCTAAATTTCCTTTCTTTACAATTTAACAGAAGATTCTCATGCACTGAAATATTTTTCGTTGCCTTTTTTTTCTATATAGAACTGAAGAACATAATATAATATCCGAATGTAATATGAACTATTTCAAATCTATATTTTCGTTTGTGTTTCATGAGAAAATTTTCTAGAAAACAATTAAGCTAATTATTCCTACCTTCGAAGACGCCAATATCAATAAGTTGTTCAATAAATTTTGGTGGATCTCGACGTTCCTTACGTTCTAAACAAGATAATTCCAGCGTAATTGAATGCTTTTAAAAAGAACTAAAGTGAAATACTTGGTTTTTCAACGTCGAGTATATCACGTTGGGCAGGCTTTTCACCGGCACCTAATTTATCGCGCCAGCTTGAATCTCTGCCTGATACACGTGAAGATGATGATGAATATGTTCGACTTTCATATTTTACTACTGTCTCATCATCTACTTGACGAGATGAATGAGTTTGTCGTGATCGACTTGCATATTGTACTATTTCCTCATCATCTACTGGACGAGTTGAATGAGCTCGTCGTATTCGGCGTATTTCTAAACACAAATGTAAAACTCTTATTTCTACAAAACAAAAATTCTTTTTCTTATTTACCGTCGACATGTACTAGACAACATGTTTCATCAGTGCCTAATGGATTTGTCGCAGAACAACGATACATCGCACTATCCGATGTTTCACATGCTGTGATTTCTAATGTACATACACCATGTACATAAGTTGTCAAATAATGAGGATCTGTATCGCTTAACTGCGTTCGTTCTTTAAACCATTGTACCTACAAAAAGACAAAATAAAAAACATTTTCGAATAGAAATCATATTGTAAATTCAAAGCAAAACAAAAATAATAACTTACTTTTGGTGTAGGTTTACCGTTAATACAACATATTAATTTACATCCAATGCCTTCTTGAATAAAACGTGGTCGAAGTGTAAATGAAAACACCGGTTTCGAGTCAGGTTCTTGCCATATATCAATTTGATTATATATATGACGTCGTGCTGGACTAAGTTCACGATGTTCGACAATAGGTGTTGCAGGTAAGGCTAATAGAATAGTTTTGAAAGAAAAAAAAACTTTTTTAATATTTGTATTCATTTAGAATTTCTTCTAAATTATTATCATAATAGAAAATAATTCTACATGCTTACAATATGAAAGAAATGTATGATCGGATCGAGGAAAGAATCTTGCATAGAGTGAACGAAATATCGCGGTTGCTTTAAGATCACGATAGCGTGTAGCACGACGCGGATATTTGAAATAGTTTGTAGGCGAAGCACAATAATCGTGACCCATCTTTTTTGTTCTCTCTCGTAAAGCAAAGCAAAGGATCAATGCTTAACTGACAACAAACCGCGTACAATAAATACGATAAATAAGACTATCTGAATCGTATGAAACACGAGAGAATTATTAGGCATCACATATGTCAGCTTCGCATTTCTTCCTACTGATTCTTTTAGAATAAACACGTAAAAAAATATATCAAAAGATCATATCGGATTTTTCTCTTCGGTATTGGTCTAAATCGAATAACATCATCAGTATATAGACATAAGCGTCTACAACCAAAGCTGAAACAACAATTCCATACATTTTCTTCTTGACAAACAGTCTATAATGATAGAATATTGCTGGCAGTTATCGCCGAACGATAAGGCGACAAATATATATTAATATCCTTAATTATTCTTGCTTTCTGTATCCGTACTGTGACGAAACAAACAAGGCAAAGAAACGTAAATGTAGCTCATATTACATTAGTTTCTCCTAAAACATCACGGACTGTCTTTGTCGTGTCGCTCTCTCTCTCTCTCGGTTTGCTGTTGTTCTACTCATCTCATGCGATAAATAACACCGGTACCAGATTGTTGTTTGCAATGTGTGTATTTGTCTGCTGTATGTCAAATAGATCAAGGATATTTTTACAATAATTAAAATATCTTCCAGACGAACTCGTCTAATAAATAATTAATTAATAGACATGATAAAACAACAAAACAATGCGAGCGACTCAAATAAACAGCATACACTCATCTAAATAAGTCAAGGGCATGGACGTTTTCTTAATAAAAATTACTATGACAGAAATCTATACAAGACGACAAATAATTGACAATAAATAACAACACAAAAAACTAGACCTGCCACAAAACATTTCATTTCTAACCACATAAACAACATGTGTTGACATATCTAGGTACTCTACATATGACCTACATTTGTCAAATGATGACGTAATTAACTATATTATTCTCACATAGAATGAATACTTACATTCTATTGTCAAGAAGACTGCATATTCTTTGTCGCCATAACTATTTGATGCTTTTACAACATATTCGCCTTTATCATCTGGTACACAACGTTTTATTTCAAGTTTATAATTATTTCGATCGTATTTCTTAAGGTGTTTTGTTGATTGACGAAGTTCAACATTATCACGAAACCTGAATGAAAAATTTTGTTTTTACGTTGAAAATAAAAATTTTCATTTTAAATTAATAAAATTACCAAGAGACTACAGGTGGTGAAACAGCAATAATGCGACAATCGAATTCAGCGCTGTTACCCTCCAATACATGAGCATTGTGAGGACGGATGATAAATCGAGGAGCAGCTTCCCGACGATCTAAACTTTTTTAATTAGATTTCATTTATTACAAAAATCAGAAGAAATTTACCCCAGAAACTACTGTAAATATAATATTCTTGTGGTCTATTTTTACGAAGTGAACTCCAATTAGCCATACGTCCAAGACCAATAACAGGATCTGGATATCCAGCCTATGTCAACAATCAACATATTTTCGTTCAATTCAAAATAACGCCTTTAACATACATATCGTTGTCGGATACGACCACGAGCAATATCCCATCGGCTTGATGGTATACGTGAGTCAAGTTCAGGACGATCTTCACGTAACCATGGGTGATCAAGTGCTTCATGAATTGTCATTCGAGCACTTAAAAACATATAATAAGTATAATAAAGCTTAATGTATATATAACAATTAAATTACTTTCGATTTTTCAATAAAAGTTTTGAAATAAAATCTTTTCCTTCATCAGAAATACCGCCAAATACTTCCGACGGAAAACGTACATTACATTTACGTATATTTTCCATTGTTTCATTATCATCTTGACCACCGAATGGTGATAGACCGCTTAAACTAAAATCGAAAAACAAAAGAGATTTTTTTTTCTTCTTCATTCGATCTTCCCTTACATAACATAAGAAAGGACACCAGCCGCCCACATGTCTGTATAAAATCCCACTGCATCATGTTCAACGATTTCTGGTGCAGCAAATTCGACTGTAGCTGCACTCACTTTAACAACATCGTTTGGATCGAGTTTTGTTGCTAAACCAAAATCGCAAATTTTAACATTTGTACTATTTTTGGTTTCACACATAATATTTTCCGGCTAAAATTATTTTTTTTATGTCAAATAATAAATTCATTTTCTTTTTATCTTACTTTCAAATCTAAATGAACAATATGATTTTCATGCATATGTTGAAGACCTTGACATATTTGTCGCATATATTTAATAGCTTCGGCTTCTGTCATTTTATAATTTGGATCGGCAATTCGGTCGAATAATTCACCGCCAGCAATAAATTCAGTAACCATAGCCATTTCAACGTCGTCTTCAAATGCATCATGTAAATGAAGTAATTTACAATGATTTAAGTCCATCATAACTTCCATTTCACGACGAACTGTTGCTTTATCAGCTGGACTTAATGTTGGAATAAATTTAACGGCATACGTTTTGCCTGTTGCTCGTTCAATACAACGATGAACAACACCAAAAGCACCGCTGAAAAAAAAACAATTTCTTTTGATATTAGAGAATAGATGAAGACAACTTACCGTCCGATTTCTTCGAGAATGTCGTAGTAATCATAGATACTTCCATGCTTAAGTGTTGCGCGTTGTGGTTGACGGCCTTTATCCCAAATGTCCCAGACTAAAATGAAAGAAAATTTCAGATGTGAAAAATATCCTACTGATCTAGATAATATTCAAAGCGTGACACAGATTTATGGATAATCATGGAAACATTCTAAGAGTTAGTTTTTCGTATTGAATTTCATTAAGATGCTTTCGATTGTTGAATAATTTATTATTCGATCATATACGAGTCAGGAAGCCTCTCTGTTCAAGTATCAGTATTTACATTAGTGTTTTAATTTGATGAAGTTATTAAATGTGTAACAAGCCTATAACCAAAATGACTCTAGTTCTCAGACTAATCACACTTCACGATTTCGCATAGAATAGTTTACTCATTTCAGGACCGAGTCCACATGAAAGTCTCTTGAAAATAGACATCCTTTGAACGGTAACATATGAATTTATTCGAATTACATCCAGTAGAATCATTAATTCCATTAAAGAAAGACATCTTTTGCTTTTTCTCTCTGATTGGTTTCTATGACTAAATAAATTACTGGCAAATAAAAAAAATGAACCTGATAGTTCTATTTCGACCTCGCTAATTCATATTATTTTACTTACAACATCGATCATAATTGTCTAATTTTGGTAAATCTTTATTTCTTCGTCGCGAATCATCATCTTTGCCTAAACGTCGTCTACGATTTTCATCGGAGTCTAAATGAAAATATTAGATTAAAATGATTTTCCTATTGATCTATGGAATTATTTTACCAGAAGTTTGAACTGTTTTTGTTGGCTCGGATGGTTCACCGTATCCAAAAACGTTCTCAGCAAGAACACGAAATTGATATTGTTTATTGGGTATTAAATTTTCAACAGTACAACGAGGTGATCGGCTTGTTGCTGCTTTTACCCATTTGCCAGTATCGGGATCAAGTTTTTCGATAATATAATTAGTTATATAACTACCACCATCATCGTCTGGTGCATGCCATGATAATGCAACAGATTCGTCCGAAACTGAATCAGCTTGTACATGACGTGGAACACCCGGCACATCTATTTCATGAGAACCAACAGAATAATTTTCAAAGAAAAAAACAATAAATTAAATTCCTACCTGACACATGAATGCGTAAAGTAGCTTCATCTTCACCTAAATTATTATTTAGTTTTATGTTATAGGGTCCACTTGTATTTTTATCGGAATTTCGAATAGTTATTGTAATAGCGCGATCACTAACATCAATGGATACATTTTTATCTTTCGATAAATCAACACCATCTTTTGTTAATGTTACATTTGGTAATGGACTTCCAGTATAAGGTATTTTAATAACAATTGGTTCGCCTTTGTCATAGTTAAGTACATCTTGATATTTCGCTGGTAAGCGAAATCGTGGTGGTGCTAGTCAAAGAAAAAAAGAAACGATTATGGATAAAATTCTTGCAAAATTAAAATATCAGACAGACTATTGATTTAAACTTACATCGAACATTGACATTACAGCGGCACATTCTTGAGCCACCCTTGTTTCGAGCTTTGACACTGAATTCATCAACATCGTCGGGTGCAGCATTATTAATAATTAATATGCATACATCACCTTCACGTTTCATACTATATTTTGGACTTTCAGTTAGTTCTTTAGTACCTTTGTACCTAATTATAAATCGAGAAAATAAAATGATTGCGATAAATTAAACAACAAACCATTCAACATCTGGTTTTGGTGTGCCAATAACTTCAGCTTCTAAACGTATTGTTTTTCCTTCATTGCCTTCGGTATCTTTTAATTTTTTAAGAAATTCCGGAGGAACTGATGCATTTGGATCTTTCACCTTCAATGAAAAATAGCATTGGTAGATATGCAGAAATATCACTTTAAAAAAATGATATACTTTTGTTGATTTTGATGATTCCGATGGTGTTCCACGTCCTGCTTCATTTTCAGCAATAACACGGAATTCATAAACATGATCTTCAAGTAATGATGGAACTGTAAAATGTGTTTGTTGACATGGCGACATATTAACTGGAACCCATTTATCAGTATTTTCTTCACGTTTTTCAATATAATAACCAGTAATTGGGCCACCTAACAAACATATAATAAATTCATTCATTGCAATGAAATTATCCTTCATTTTAGGCTCTCTTACCTCCATCCGAAGTTGGTTTATCCCAAGTAAGTGCTACACTGTTATTTGTTATTTCAGTGGATTGTGGCTGTCCTGGTGCACCCGGTTGTTCTATTCAAACGAAGAATAAAAAAAAATGAACTTGAATTTTTTATATTTCAACAAAATGAGAAACATACTAAATGGGAGTTTAGCAACGACAGGTGCTGATGAACGTAATGGTTCACTAGTACCATTTTCATTAATAGCCAAAACACGAAATTCATATTCATGTCCATCGAGTAATGATGGCACTGTGAACGTTGTTTCTCTACAAGATTGTGTAACAGGTATCCAAGCATCAGCACCTTTCGATGTATCACGTCGTTCAACAATATAGCCGGTTACTCGACTACCACCATCATCTTTAGGTGGTTTCCATGAAAGTGTTGCATGATCTTTTGATATATTCGATATTTCGAGTGGACCCGTCGGCGGTAGTGGTGGTGCTATTTTAGTGCAAAGGATATTTTATAAAAAAAAATTCTTCTAAAATTATATCTACCAGAAACTCTGACTTTTAATGGTACGTTACATGAACCGGATTCATTAGCAACGTTAATTACATATTTGCCAGTGTCATCTCGTTCGGTTTCTAAATAGATATTCATATATATATATATATATATATGGATATAGATATGAAGTTGTCATGATAAATATAAAAAAACGAACCAGGAATAGTCACAACAATGAAATCATCATATTCTTGAACACGTATTCGATCACTATCAGCTAATGGTTCATCATTTTTCTTGATTTTGAATGTAAATGGACCTTTTCCTAGAATAGGAATTTTAACTTTTAACGTCTCGCCCAATGGAATACGTTGATCGTCTGGTTCACGAGGAAGTTTTGGTGGTACTAAAAACAAATATATTTAGTCATAGTGAGAATATGTTTTTTCTTCTAAAACAATCAGAGCTATCTTCTATATCACGAATAGAAAGTTCTGCATTTGCTCGATTTTGATTTGCAACTTACTTTTGATAGTTAAATTAGCTTCGCAGCTTTCTTTTCCTAGTGGATTAACAACTTCGCATGAAATTTTCGAATTATTATCACTATCCCAAACTTCATTAAATGTAAATGATGATTTCAATTCATTTGGTTTTGCCACAATACGATAGCGGCCACCTGATGCGAGCTCTAAACCATTACGGAACCATTTAGCTTCCGGTGCAGGACTACCATCGAATTCAACTGTAAATGTTACTTCACCATTCAATGGTGAACCTGTATCAGTGATTTTTTTAACAAATGTTGGTGCACGTCCATCTAATGAAAATAAAGATAAGAATGCAAAAATAACTATTTTTTGTTTTCTAAAATAGTTTTACTTGGATATTCAGTTATTTTCACTCGGCCAGTTGTTGAACTTGGTTCACTTTCACCTGCTTTGTTAACTGCTTTAACGCGAAATTCGAATTCACCATTTTCTGGCAAATCATTGATCAAAATATTATCATCAAGTGCTAAATATGGTGTAGCTTTTGTCCATTGATCGGTTCCAATTGGTTTCTTTTCAACAATATAACCAAGTATTTTTGAACCGCCATCATTGGTTGGTGACGTCCAAGCTAATTCAACATAGTTTTTGCTGACTTTTTTCACTTCAGGCATACCTGGTGATGAAGGTGGAACTAGATTTTAGAAGAAAACAAAATCAGCTAATCAGTGTTCAAGAACAAAAAACACAATTCACATACCACAATCAGGCTTAAGTGTAATTGAACTATCAAGTTGAGAATAATCCCCCCAACCGGCACCATTTTTAGCTTTAACACGGAATTGATATTGTTTACCTGTTTGAAGATTATCAACGGTAAATTCGTTTCCTTTGATTGGATAATCATTGGCAATTTCCCATATATCACTATCTGGTTTTTTAATTTCAATTTGATAAGCAGTTACCTTTGAACCACCATCATTTTTGGGTTTGTCCCATTTTAATGTAACAGAACTTTCTGTTTGACTACCAATGTCAAGATTCGCTGGACCTTGTGGTGCACCTAAATAAGCAACATTTTTGTTTAATGAATTTTTTCTCCATAATAAAACATACTGAATGGATTTTTGGCAATAATTGATTTTTCACATTCTAATGGTACACTTTGTCCGTAAATATTTTCAGCTGAAACACGGAATTTATATTCCGAGCCTTCATTTAATCCAGTGACTTCATAAAATGGTACACGACAGAAACTTGATACTTTTTGCCATTCACCTTTCTTTGTATCGAATTTCTCGATGACATAATTGCTTATTGGTGAGCCACCATCATTTTTCGGTGGTTTCCATGTTAAAACGCATGAATCGGGTCGTACATCACTTACCGATAAGGGTCCTTCTGGCACATCTGAAATTTAAATCGTAATAAAAAATAATATTTAGTTTTCTATTGAACGAATTGCAAAAATAAGATTTTTCTTCTCGTGTGTCCATAAAGAATAGTTCGGTCTTGAGTTAGACTCGAGGCAAACAAATTTACTACTAAAATATTCTAAGAAAATTTTTTTCTATATTTTAAGCAGCAAACCTATCAATTAGTTGTGAATGACAAGAAAAGTTATTTCCAATTCATTAGAGCTTATCGATTAGAATTGCAAACGAACCTGGCTTATCAACAACGATAACTTTGAATGGTACAGTTTCTTGTCCAAGAGCATTTTTCAATGTACATGTATAAAGACCAGTACTACCACTTTTTACTTTAGGCACAATTAATTCAGCAACACCATCTTTAACGGTTACACGGCTATTGTCATCGGGCTTAATATCGTCGCCATCTTTTGCAAATGTAACTTGTGGTTCTGGTGAACCAATAAATGGCACCGAAATTTTAAGATCTTCACCAGCACGTACAATAATTTCTTTTGGAGTAAATGTACTGAAACCAACAGCATGTGGTGCTACATCAGGTGGACGAGCTTGGATGAATCCATCAGTTTTAGCTAAAAAAACAAAACAATAGATGAACAATATAAGATTTTCTCGTTGCATATTGTTTGCTGTTTTTTACCGAACTCTCCTGGACCAGCTCTATTAACAGCAGCAACACGAAATTCATATTCTTTTCCATCGACAAGACCAGGAACTGTATGTTCAACGCCTGATACTGGTTCACGATTAACACTACATCAAAAAGATGTTTGCTTTCTTTCTATTAAAATAATTTATTGTTTTTTCTCTTACGGAATCCATCGATCAGTTCCTTTTTCTCTCTTCTCAATAACATAGCCACGTATTGGATTTCCACCATCAATTTGTGGTCGTGTCCATTGTAATGTGATTGAATCGCTTGTATGACTAACACAAACAGGCGTGCCTGGTGCATCGGGTGTTTTAAATGGCCATTTAGCTTTAACTGGTGCAGCGACCACTAATGGTTCTGAAACACCATTTTCATTTGCAGCAGATACACGAAATTCATAATTTTTTCCTTCATCTAATCCTTTAACATCATATGATGTGCCTGCGACAGCTGGACCAACTTTGATCCATTTGTCTGTTCCTGCTTCACGACGCTCAACTACATAATGTTTGACATCACTGCCGCCATCATCTTTCTAGAAAAATAAAAATATATTATGTTCCATCAGTTCGTGTGATTAGCAAAAATTCGTATTTCAGGCAAAACTGTTATCCTTTAAACGACATACTGGTGGTTTCCAATTCAATGTGCATCCTTCAGCAGTAACATTGGTTGCTTCAAGTGGACCTTCTGGCTTCGATGGTGCAGAAAGGACATTGACACGAAATTGAACTTGACTTGTGCCTTCAGTATTTTTCAATACTAATTTATAGATACCCGAATCAGCTCGTTCGGCTTTACGATTAAGTAATGTAGCAACATTTTCAAGCGTCTAAAACAAAAAATTTATTTAATCGAAGATATAAACTATATTTTATCCTGACTTTAATATTAACACGATCATCATTAACTAATTCTTGATCGTTCAAAAACCACTGTGATTGTGCTTTTGGTGTAGCTTTATAAGGTATATGTACTTCAAAATCTTTGCCTGCATTAACAGTTATGTCTTTAATGCCATGTAAATCAAGAAACGATGGCTTATCTAAGAAAGCGAATGAATATAAATAAAATAAATGTAAACAAACAAAGAAATCAAAGCAAATAAACCTGGTTGATCTTGAACAATAATTGCTTCTGTTGGTCGACTTGGTTCACTACGACCAGCAGCATTGACAGCAACAATACGAAATAGAACTTCTTCACCTTCTTTTAAATTTGGTACTGTGTATGAATGATCACGAGCTGGCAATTCGACGACTTCCGTCCAGTCGCGACTAGAAAATAATCATCATAATTATTGAAAATATTCTTCAAAAAAGAAAGAAAAATCTACCTATTAGGTGATCGTTTTTCAAGAACATAGCTAGTTATTCGGCTTCCACCATCATTAATTGGTTTCTTCCATGAGAGTGTGACTGAATCTTTGGTAATGTTTTCAACTTTTGGTTGATCTGGTGCATCGGCTGGATTAATAGGTACTTCAGCTTTTTGTGCTGCTGTTGGTTTGGATGGCGCTCCTGGTCCGGCACCATTTACAGCAGCGACACGAAATTCATATATTTGACCTTCACGTAAACCTGATGCAGTATATTCGGTACCTTTTGTTGGTACACTATTGCATGGTACCCAATTCGTGTTTCCCTTAGGACGCATTTCAACTATATAGCCACTAATTGGATTTCCACCATCTCGTTTTGGTTTTTCCCATTTAAGTTTCATATAAGTTGAATTATATTCAATGATTTCTGGTGTTTCAGGTGCATCCGGAGCATCTAAATAAATAAATAAATAATTAATTAATTAATTAGAAAATAAAAATCCTATATTATTTTGGTTTTCATACCATAGGGTGGTTTAACAGTGATAACTGATGTTGTTTCTAATGGTTCACCAACGCCATAGATATTTTCAGCTTTCACACGAAATTTAAACTTTTTATTTGTTTCTAAATCTTTAATTGTTCCTTTTGGTTGTGTAAATGTACCAGGAACTTTTTCCCATTTGTCAGAATTTTCAGGACATTTTTCAATAATATAACCTAAGTAAAAACAAAGCAATAGAAGAAACAGCCGAGAAATTTTAAAACTATATAAATAATTCTACCTGTAATATCACCACCACCATTATCTTTAGGTGGTTTCCATTGAAGTGAAACACTATCTTTAGTTGTTTCAGTTGTTTCCAATGGGCCTTCAGGTGCTCCAGGTCGATCCAATACAATAACATCAATATCACATTCATCTTCACCAGAATCGTTCTTCAAATGAACTTTATATTTTCCAGTATCGAGTCGTTTCGATGATGGTTTATGTAATTTAGTCTGGACATCATTATTATCAAGTTGTGTATCTCGAGCAACTTGAACTGGTTCGCCATCTTTTGTCCAAGTAACTACCGGTGCAGGTGATCCACTTATTGGTATATCAATAGTCAATGGTTCACCAGCTTTGATACGTATTTCTTTTTTACCAAGTGGGCCAAATAATGAACTTAAATCGAACGATGGTTTTTCTATTACCAATTAGAAGCAAAACGAACATTGAATTGAAATGAAAGCTCAATTCTTACCTTTTTCAGGTTTAGCAGCAATGCTACCAGATGATTCACTTGGTTCACCTGGACCAGCTTCATTAACAGCTGATATACGATATTCATATTCTTTATTGGCTGTAACATTGTCATCGAGAAAGTTCGTATCCTGAGAGGAGACAAAACAAAAATATATATTTTACAAACATGTCGTAAATTTTCAACAGAAAATAAAAGAGAAATCGATGAACTCTACAAATTTTGTACAAACATGGCCAATATAAACATTTGTGATTGCTCCAGTAAAGTTAACTCTGATTCCGGAACAAACACAAGAAAATTTTTCGCCTTTTACTAAAGATTTCTGTTTCGGAATAATTCAATGAGTCTTATAGACTAACTTTTTTCTGCTCGTCTTTCGATGGGCTTCTAGTAAAATCAAAGAAAGTAGCTAACTTACTTTATGAAGATCACCACGATTGATCTTTGACCATTCTTTTCGTTTGCCACCTTTTTCTCGACGTTCAACAATATAACCTTTAACTGGATTACCACCGTCATTTCTTGGTGGTGTCCATTTAAGTTCAATATGATCACGATCACGTGATACACATGTAGGTGTACCTGGTTGACCGGGTTCAGCTGCAAAACATAAAACGATTTAGAGAAACACACCTCAACAATAATATGAAAAAACTTACTAAATGGATTTTTAACGAGAATAGGTTTGTCTATTAGCAATGGCTCAGAAACACCATTAGCATTTTCAGCCATAACACGAAATTCGTATTCGTGTCCTTCTTTTAGTTTTGATACGGTTATTTCTGTACCGTTAATAGGATCATTGCAACGCACCCAGTCACCACTCTTTTTATCACGTTTTTCAACAACATAACTTCTATAAAAAGGATTCATAAAAAGTTAATGGATAATTCAATTGCGATGTTCTCTTACGTAATTTCTTTGCCACCATTATCTTTAGGTGGTAACCAAGAGAGTGTTACACTTGATTTAGTAACACCTTTAACTTCTAATGGACCGCGTGGTTTCGATGGTGGACCGAGTACAATAACTTCACAATCAGCTGTATCACTTCCTGAATCGTTCACCAAACGAATCAAGTATTTGCCAGTATCGGCTCGAACAGCTTTTGTAATAACAAGTTTAGCTAATTTTTCAATTTGTGTCATTTGTGTACGATCATCTGGTTGAAGTTCCTGTAAGCGGGGAAAGAAAAGTTCGTGTTAAAAATAAAATTTCATAAAAAAAACAGAAATTTCATATACAGTAGTATCACGTTGCCAAGTCATTGTGGGCAATGGCTCGGCTGCATATGGAGCTTCTAATGTTATTGTTTGACCTTGTTTAATAGTTATTGATTTAAGATTAACTTTATTGATACGTGGTTTCACTAAAGAAAAGACGAATCTGTTATTAGTTCTGAGATAAGGGAAACGAGATAAAGTTGCATACAGAAACGTGGTTTAGCAATGAGTATTTTTGATGGTTCACTAGGTTCAGATGGACCAGCTTTGTTGACAGCAACAACACGAAATTCATATTCTTTTCCTTCGTTTAAGCCACCACAAGCACCTTTTGTTTGAACACCGTCAACTTCAGCACCCTTAGAAAAAAAGCAAACATCATTTGCTAAAATTTTTCATGATGCAAAATAAGAACAATACCTTTAGCCATTGATCACGTCCTTTCTCACGACGTTCAATAACGTATTTTTCAATGGCTGCACCACCATCTCTTTCCTAATATGAATAAAAATGATTTTTAATCACTAAAGCTGCTCGTAACAATCATTAACAATTCAATATATGAAACTGGGAGATAACAAGCAGAAGAAGAAATTGATCATAATACTGTCTATGATATTTTTCACTATCAAACTATATTCTCGAAGTTTAAATGATCGAAATGGAAGCACTCTTAGTTATAATGGACACTCGAAACTGATACTGGTCACTGAGAATTTTCCTTGCTATTATTTTAATTACCGGCGCTTGCCATTCGAGATCAACATGATTTTGATCCCAATCCAAAATGTTCGGTGTACCAGGAACTGTTGGTTCATCAAATGGATTTCTTGCTAATGTTGCAGCAGAAGTGTCCAATGGTTCGCTTTCACCTTCTTTATTAACGGCACGTACACGGAATAGATATTCTTTTCCTGCCACTAATTTAGTTACACGTAATGTTGTAGTTTCACCATTAACTTCGCCAGCTGGTGCCCAACCACCACGACCGACATCTTGTTTTTCAATTACATATCTCTCTATTGGGCATCCACCATTGTCCAATGGAGGTCTCCAAGATACAACACAAGTTTCTTTGGTTACATCAGAGACTTTCATTGGGCCTTCGGGCTTAGCAGGACGATCTTAAAAATATAAAATATAGTTATTAGTTATTCAGCTGATATTTTCATAACAATATCCGATATGTGTTAGTACAAAAAAATTGAATCTTACCAACGATAGTAACATCGATTGGAACTTTGATTTCGCCTTTTGCATTTCTCAAGGTTAATTCATATTTGCCTGAATCACCTCGTTTTGTCTTTTCACTAAAAAAAACAAAGGCACATTTAGAAAAGACAAAATTGCAAACAAAACATTTTCTTACATATTTAATTTGCATTTCTTAGGATCCATTGTTATTTGATATGGAGGACCTTCGCCGGATTGAACAATTTTTCCATCTTTTGACCACGACATAGCGGGTGCTGGAAAAGCATCATAAGCAATGTCAAGATCAAGTGGTCGACCTGCTTTAATGGTGACAGATTTCGGAACACGAGATAGATCAATTCGTGGTGGTTTGTCGCCTAAAGAATTTTCATAAAATAATTTTTTTTGTTAAAAATTCACATACATTCTTTAACAACAATCTTGCAACTATCTTTAACATCACCACATTGAAATGAAATATCGCCAGTATCTTTGAGGCCAACACTTTTTAGTTTCCATCGCCAAGTAGTACCTTCATTCGTAATAATATTTCTAATTACAACAAAAGCAACGTTATTTAAGATTTCGATAGAAATTTTTGTTCAAATACCTTTGATCTGGATAAACAATTTTTCCATCTTTCATCCATTTTCCTCGTAAATCAGGTTTAGATAAGACAACTTCAAATGTAATATCTTCTTCTTCAACTGTATCGACATCTTTCAATCCCTTTTCAATGCGAAGTGCCGCTAGATACGATCAACATTCATTTATTTTCAAAAACAAAATAACAAATCTTACGTCTAATAGATACTTCACAAAGTGTTGCCATAACACCTGTTTTACATTCATATTTTCCTTTGTCATCAACTGGATGTAATTTTTTAACGACTAATTTACGAACTTTGCCATATGAAATAATTTCATATTTATCAGGGTTTGATGCCGGTACAATTTTCTATGAGAGACAAAAATGTCGACTTTGTTTTCTATACAAGAAAATATTGTTAATCAAACTTACTTCACCAGCAAAGAACCATTCGCATTCAGCATCTTCATCTTGCACACTACATTCAAGTTCAATTTTATCATTTTCATCACCTTCCATTGCTGGAGGTAATTTTGTTTCAAAGCGCCACTGAGGCTCTTCACAGGAAGAAAAAAAATAAACAGATGATTTTATTTCAATACTATTTTATAATCAGTACCTTCAACGTAGAGATAGCAGGACGTTTTAATACCTCGTTCATCATCGATTTGACATGAATATTCACCTAAATGGATAACGATTAATTTTAATGGAAACTAAATCTTTACTCTTTAACCTTCATCGGCTTTAGTGGTTTTGGTTATACGAAAAATACATCGCGTCATATCTTGATTATATTTAATACGTTTATCTTTTTCAAGCTAAACATGAAAATAAAAAATAATATTTTACAAGTTTGAAATTCTGTCACTTATTAATCAATATAATGACTTCTTTTTTTTATAGCAGTGATGTAAACCAATGGATATGAAGTCTGAAATTTTCAGGATAATCTCGGTACGATTTTTCTCTATTGAACGTTTTTATTTAAAAGTTAGTTTTCATGAAAGTATAAAGGCATCCATTTACACACGAGAAGCTCAATGTATATATTTTGAAATGTTTGCAGCTGTTTTAGAAATCATTTGAGTTAATGATATGTCATTAATTTGATCGAGCTCAAGTTTTCGTATTAAAACTTAGCGAAATATAGATTTATTTTATATGAAACAATTGCAACATTGATGACTAAAGAAGAATCAGCAAACATTCTTGTTTATCATGGCTGCGTTGGGTTACAATTTTTGTTTTTGTTTTGTTTATATTCTTTAAATCGAATCGTTCTGATTGTATACATAACCAAGATAAATATAAGATTGTTAATCAAAAACATTGTATTCTGAATTCTCAAAATCATTTTTTTTGTCGCCTCATAATATTAGAGAACTATCAAGTGAAAGTTCAAAAACTAATCTGGCGTTAATTGTCTATCCCATACTCGTCCATATGTTATCAATTACAGAAAGAAAAAAAAACGAAACCATCAGTATAATGTCATGGTCTTTTCATTCTGTTGCCAGTTTTCATGCTTAAACTATTACTCTAACCACAGAATAATTTGGCTAAGCGGTTAGAATTATTTTCGAGACAAAAAACACTTTGGAGTTGAAAACAACATTTGTGGATAATTTATTCTCGTTTTCTATTCTATCATCATCGTTTGTACATGCTATTAAAACGCTTGATGAGTTCTAGTTATCACGTATGCTGTTTGCCTTGGGTCCAGAAGAACTGATGACATGTAATAAACATTTTTTCAGCAGACGCATGTAACAAGATTAATGAATTAACATCTGTGATAAACAAATTGATTTTTCTATTAGCACATGAGGTTTGCGATGCTACATTGTATGGCTTGTCTCAGATAGATAATGGGGCATGTTGACATTTGATCACTTCGTTTTCTCTCTCATCATTAAAGTAGACTCAATAACAATGAGCGAACTCGATTAGTCTTTTCCAATCGCCTATTTGTATATTTATTTTCAACTTATCATAGGAATAAAATAACAAGCATGATGTAATATTATAGCCCGGAGCATATATGGATGTCTACATCTTGCATGGCATAGAGCATATGTAGGAATGTAGAGATGGTATTAAATTTATCGGAATCAATGGCTTCAAGTCTGTCCTGTTATCAATAGAAAAATCAAGGAACTATTAGTATTAAAAGCTTCACGCTTTGAAAAGAAAAAAACCTTGTTGTGAAATATACACTTCTGATTAACTACACTATTTCGTAGACAAACATTTGGTAATGTTTCATTCGGCACACCATTAAAATTAGTTATCTTAATGGTTGAAAGTTTGGGAAATAAAATTTTAACTATGGAAAGTATCTGTCTATGAAATATACTTTTCTTCGTCATCGACGAAAATGAAGACGTAGGATTGAAATAGTTAATCATATTAACAATGGTCTATCTTGAACTAAAGATCAGCGGGTTATCAAGCAAATGTATAGTTCGTAGTACTTTTAAAGGGCTGGAAGGGGTGTGATAACGACAGGCGAATGAACCGTCCTTCTCCAGTAGACGGCCTGTCACTTTTGACACTCGTTATTCCTCTATTAAGACTCATTTAACTACGTAAATTAGTGTTTTCTGGTAGATAGTAATTTCCATTGACTTTCTGCGCGCAAATACAATGGAAAGTCTAGATTCTCTTTGCATCTATAGAAAGAGAATAATTCATGTCGATTTATCAGCTTACATCGATAGGAATTCCATTTTTACACCATTTAACGGGTGCATTAGGATCATTAACGTGACATTCGAGTGCAGTTTGTTTCGTTCGAAATACTTCCATTTTAGCTGGTAATTCTTTATAAAAGTCATATAATGGTTTAGCAGCTAAAAACAACGAGAATAAAAAAACTTGTAGTTTTAAACTAAATAAACTTCTTACGTGTTACTTCAAGCCAGGCGGATGTTTCAACATCATTAACACGACAGAAATATTTTCCTGAATCATCGGGATGTAATTTATAAATAGTTAATGTTTGTCTAAATAAGAAAACAAAGCATTTAGATCTTGTGAAAATCAAAAATATTCTACTTACTTAGCACCGTTTGTATCAAAATGATATTTTAAACCATGAAAAATTTCCATTTTATTTTTAAGCCTTCGTAAAAAAGAAATCATCGATATCTCCGACTTGACTAAACATGAGTCTTACCATCGTAAACGTGTACTTGGTTTGCAAAATGTACATGTAAATGTAATTTCTCCATCTTCTTCTATACATTTAATATCGTGTAATGGTTCAATAAATGCTTCTTTTTCCTATTTACGTAAACACACATAAATCAATTAGATATTTCCATATTTTTAAATTCCAATGCTATTGTTATTAAGCTCATGCATTAATCAAATCCAACAAAAACAAAAGCAAAAAGAAAACAAAGCCGTACATTCGGAAAACGTTCATGCATTAATGTAGAAGATGAATAATATCGATCCGTGGCCATTCCAAAGCAATTTACATATTGATATTGATAGATATAAATATGTGTGATTTCCATTATTATATTTATTGTTCACCTTCTCTGCGCGTTTAACTTTATGTAAAGCTGGCCAATCAGGTATAACATCAGCTAACGATGGTCGACGTGATTTGGAATCTCGTCTAACTTTAAGTAGACCTTCTTGATCAACACGACGAAGTGATGGTCGTCGATCGTCCATCACACTCGAACGACGTGAACCAAGTTCATTTTCATCACCACCCGTCTGAGATATATATATAAATATGCACAACAACAGAAAATAAAAAATTAAAGAATTAAGAATGCACTCATTTATCTGATACTAGTCACCACAAATTACTAGATCTTCTCTATAACTATCTAGCTAAGAACTTCATATTTTTTCAACCATCATTCGTCAATACATTACCTCTTCGGGTTGATCAGTACGAATTTGTGGAGCTAAAATAATTAGAAGAAAAAATTGAAAAAAAAAGAAGAATGAAATATAACAATCAATGAAAACATGCAATCCAAACTAGGAAAACACTCACACTTATATATCTATATTTATATCTAACTAATGATTTTTCTATATTTATTAATACGTTTTAAATTAATTTTTTCTCGTTCTTCTTCTTCTTTTTTTCTCTTTTGTTTGTCACGATGTTTAAGTACATCACGAAAATCTGCTGCATCGTCTTTCGCCGCTACACAAATATATATTCATAAGTACGTATTTATTTAATTAATTTGTCTATTCTAATATTTCTATACCTTTGATATAAAAATGAAATTCAGCATGAACTTCACCATGTTCATTCTGTATTGTAACACCGTAGGGTGCTTCATCTTTTTGACGACATTTTGCAATAAATAGTGTAGCAATACCTGTTGTTGGATTAAGTTCGAATTTAAACTTAACACCTTGAACTAGTTCAACATTTTCTTTATACCAAGTTACTTTAGGAAATGGATTTCCATCAATAACAACTTCCACAAATGTTGAACTTCCTGTATATGATTATTATTAATTATGTTAATAAGATAAAATATTACACTACGCTAGATGAAAACTAATTCTAATTATTTTTACCTTCTTTCGCACTAGTATTTTCTGGTTTTTCGATAAAAATAGGTGCAAGCGGTTCTGTATGTGTTTCAAGTGGATCACGTATTTTACGTTCGCGTGGTTTTGCTTTACCTGAGTAATCATGCATGATTATAATAAACATGCGTTTAGAAACTTACTTGATAAATTTTCTGATATAACATCGAGTTTAGCTTGTGATACACGTTTAGGTTTATCGTTTTCTTTTGCACGACGAGGGCCTTCATCTTCGTATCCAGATTCGTTAGCTTGAAAATGATTTATACATTTAAGAGTTGTAGTTATTTATGTCTTTTTTCAATTTATTTTACTTTGAATCGCCGGCACACGACGATCTTCATCTTCAGTATTACCAATTGTTGGTGTTTCGATTGTTGGCGCTGCGATTGTTGGCGCTTCAATCACAGGTGGAGCTTCAATGACGGGTGCTATAAGAAAAGTGAAACAAAGAAAAGCAGAAGAGAATGTATAGAAGCAGATATGATTTAGGAGAATTTACCAGCTTCCGGAACTTTCTTTGATTGTTCAAGTGCTTGTTTTCGTTGATCTTTTTTACTTGATTCTTCTTCGGGTTTAGGTGCGGTTTTTGGTGCTGGCTTTCTAACACGTTTTGCTTTACCACGTTTTTCTAATTAAATAAAAAAATGTTGGCTTTTCTCTGTTTGTTTGAAAATAAAAAGATCTATTGATGTCTAACCTTTAATAGATACACGAACATTTTGAGTTGCTTCACCGGCTTCATTCCATGCTTCACACATCCAATCACCACTATCATCAACGTAACCGTCAGGTATTGTCAATTTAGCTGTTACACCATCATAGTCTTGCACGTAGTCCTTTGACACAAAATAAGACAAATTATTCCTCGAAAATGATAGACATATATACGTATATGTGATAGCTCGAACATATTTTTATCCTTCTTTAACTGTCCGACTAACAACACACAAATGATTTATTGTGTTACGGAAGGAAACAGTTGGCTCTGTGGCTTTACAGTCACCTGGAATCAATTGAGTCATCGAATGTCTACTGTTTTTCTTACAGAGGGAAACAACTGGCTCTGTGACTTTACAATCGCCTAGAACCAATTGAGTCATCGAATGTCTACTGTTTTTCTTTCGGTAATTCCCTCAACACACATCAGATCAATCTTGATTTTCACTTGAATAATATACATTGATAATTCGAACTAATCATAATAGTCAATATTATCAGTACCAAGTTCAATTATATTACACATAGACAAGTAAACAAAAGGATATTTTCTTAATCTATGACAAATACGTTATTTTCTAAACATAACAAAATAGGCTTGTACATAAACTTTGTTGAGAGTAGCTGTGTTTACTCTATAGAATCTTTCGAAAATGGCAGATTGCGTTTCGTACGTTGTTTCCGATACTTTATAAAGTCTATTGCTATGAAATAAGCTGTTTTATTTTTCAATTTTGACCTTTTACTTCAAGTAGTTCAATATAAGCAAGATTTTATACTGCTATTGCACGAAAGAAAAAGTCATGGTATTGTTCGCGCTATATAAAAGTGATCTTCTTCGAAACGCCTGGTCAATGAGAACAATCGAATGTCTTTCCTTTTCATAGCCACAAAAGAAACCTAATCTCTCGTAGAATAGACAGAGAAAAGTTCTTCGCCTATAGAGCAAATACAATTTCAGCCGAAGGTTTTCTTTACTATTTTAAGCGCAGAACATCATATTGTGTTCACCGATCAAAGTTTAGATGAGTTATTTTATATACGGCATGACAAACAACATGTTTACGCGTACAATAGTAAAACAGTCTTTACTGTTATTTGATGGAATAGAAAATACTGTTTACAAGCAATGCTACATCATCAGGGGTTTTCTATTATCGATTCATCAGTCATCATCGTATCGCCTGAGAAAACAAAACATCTACAAGAATCTCATTGGTTCGTGAAATATCGCGGGAAGAACATTTTGCCACTCGAAGAAATTTTCTTGCCAAAACAATCGTAGTTACGTGTCACGCATTCTATTTCGTAAATTACTCAGATACTTACAGCTGATGGTTTAATTTCTTTTTTATTGAAAAACCATGTAATTTCAGGTGTCGGCGTACCAGCTACTTTTAATTGAACAAGTACTTTATCACCGTCAGTAGCAACCTATAAATCATAGTCATAAAATAGGTTCAAGCTGTTAAATGTAACTTGATACATACAATATCCTTTGGTTTGTCAGTAAATACGGGTGCGCTCATCTTATTGCCATCGGCTGCTTTTGCTTTAGGTTTCTGCTCTTCTTCATCTTTCCTATAGAACGAAAGTCAAAAGAATATTTTCGAATATCTATTGTTAACAATCATGATCTTACGGCTGTTCATAATCATCACCGACAGTTAAATTAACTAATGCTTGAGAATCACCACCATCGTTTTTAGCTACGATTTTATAAATACCAGAGTCAGTTGGAGTAACATTCTAAACATGAAATTAATCTATTCATTTGCCAAAGAAAAAAAGATGCGATAGTCACTCACTAAGATTTCAAGAACGAATACGTATGTATCATTAGCTTCTTTTGTTTTAGTAATTTTATATTTATTAGGTGTGTCTTTGAGTTCAGTTTTCCCTTTTTTCCATGTAAATTTTGGTTCTGGTTTTCCTTTACAACGGCATTCGATTTTAATTGATTTTTGTTTTGCATCTTGTGTTATTTTTGGTTTTTCAAATGCTGGTGCTATTCGATCTACTTGATCTAGACTGGCTTTCTCGGCTATTTCAACGAAACAAAAAAAAAGAAAACTTTCTATATAAAAACAAAAACTATTGAGTGACAATACGAACCAGCTACTTTCATAGAAATAATGGCTACAGCTGTACCAAGTTCATTGGATAAAGTACATTTATAAGCGCCAGCATCCGATGCAACTAAATTCTATAGGAATACAAAAGAGTTTAATTGAATTAGAAAACGCGACAAACTAAACATGATCAAACCTTAATATCTAGAGAAACAGTATATTTATTTGGCCCTGCTTGAACAATTCGTGAAATAATTTTATCAACATTAAGTAAATCTTTTCCATCTTTCGACCAATATAATGATGGAGTCGGATCAGCGCTAATGTCGAATTGGACCGTCACTGTTTTAGCATCTTGTTTAATTGATGGCTTACTAAGAAATGATGGTGCAAGGCCATCTGGCATTCTAAAAAGGCAATTATTAATATGCAAAAAAAATCCAGAACTATATATATCTTTTCATTTACTTGTAATCGATTCCTTCAATATTCAATTGAATAGTAGCTGAACCATCACCTTTAACATTTTTAGCCGTAAGTTTATAGACACCAGAATCTTTCTTAGTTATTTGAGCTATTTCAAGAAAGATTCGATGTATAGTGCCTTCGGATAAGATTCCTTGTCTATATTTAGTTCCGGCATTAATTGCTTTTCCATCAAGTGTCCATGTAAAACTCGGTACTGGATCAGCTGTGCACACGCCTTCCAAAAGTATGGATTCTTCAAACATTCGTACTGTCGGCGCTTGTGTAAATGAGGGTCGACCACCACCACCACCACCACTACCACCTGCACCTTGATTTTGATCTACACAATTAGTTTGAAAAACTCATGTCGAAATTCTATGCGACAAACACTCGAACACTTACTATCAAGATTTAATTGAATATGCGCATTGCTTTCGCCTAATTTATTTTTCGCTGAAATTTTATATTTTCCAGCATCGGTTGCATTGACATCATCGATTTCAAGGCAAGCTACATATGAATTGTTTGGTAATGGATCGCAATATAATAGATAGCGGCCTGAATCTTGTATTGGAACATCGTCACGTGACCAAAATAAATCTGGTTTAGGATCGGCAGCGATTTTGCATTCAAATATTAAACGTTTACCATCATTTTCTTGTTTAATGATGGGCCTTTGAATAAATGTTGGTGCTGTACCATCTGCCGAACTGCTAAAACAAAATTAGCATTCAATTGTTAAATGAAATCTGTATGGTCGTCGTTTTCAAAAGCAAAACAAAGAAAAATGTTTATAATTTACTTTCCGCTTGTTGTCGAAGATTCGTCTTCGTTCGAAAAATTAAGATTTACATTTGCTGTGACTTCTCCGGCTTTATTTTTAACCAAAATTTTATATGTTCCAGCATCGTTTGCGCCAAGATCAGAAATTTCAAGTACAACATCATAATTATTTCCTGTTGAAGCTGTAAGTGTTTGTTTATACTTTGTTGATGTTGCTGAAATTAAATTTTCGTTTTGAAACCAGGTTACATCAGGCTTCGGCGTTCCTTGAACTTGACATTCGAAATAGAGACGTGTGGGATCATCGGGTGATTGTCGAATAGCTGGCGGTTTAGTAAACCGTGGCGCGCTTGCTGCCATTTGTTTTTCGTCAATCAATCGATTTACTAGCTATTTATCTATTTTAACAATAAAAAATAAAGAGATACAATATTATCCATCCATTTTCAGTTATGTCTATGTCTATGTGTAGAAAAAAGTATCAAAGAAATAATCATAAAAAAGATTATAGATGATCGACGACAAGCAAAAACGCAAGAGAGAAGAAAAAAGGAGCAAAAAGAAGAAAATCATGTACTATTGTGTGTGGTATAAAATATGTCCTTTCCTGTATTTGTACAAATCGGTGTTGATCATCTAGTATTTCCTATTTACGCTAGAGGAGAGAAGGAGGAAGAAGAAGAAGAGGAAGAAGTAGAAAAAAAAGAGGAATGATGTACTAATGGTACAATCTAATATTAAGTAAAAGAGCAATACATGATGACAAAAGTTCTTTTCTATCTGTTCTTTTTCTTCTGTACAACGTATCCATTGCATAGTCTGGTGTGTATGTGTGCGCGCCCTGTTCGTTTTCCCTATGCATTGCTTGCTCTTCTAGAAAAAATAGCACCAAAATGTTAACTATTGATGGATAATTGTAAGGCAGCGGTAGACAACTAAAATATATGCATCTTAGTATCGGCATGATGTCGAAAAAAGGCACAAGGAAAGAAAGAAACGAAAGGTCTCCCCTAAAAATGAAGAGAACAACTATAAAAAGACAATTGACAAGATCAAAACAACAACAACTAAGGCATACAGAGAGAGAGAGAGAGAGAGAGAGAAAGAGAGAATCACAGACAGAAAAAGAGTCAAATCAGCATCACGTCTATTGCTAACAACAAGAAAATGAGAGACATAAGACATGAAAGGATATTGCAATCATTCTATATGGACAGAAAACGAGCTAAAAAGATAAGTAAATGCATTAAGATAAGCCGTCCAATATGATCGCCAACTACCATAACGAAGGAGAAGAAATAATGCTAATTGTCCCTGGACATACAAGAATACAATGAAGAGAATAGCTGTAATTGATATGATGATGACCAATATCAATATACATATCTATCAATCATTAGAAACTATTTAATAAAATATATAAGAACCTTCTGTCTTTTTTGTTTATCTAAAGCTTCATTTATACGCTCGATCTCAATCTTTATGCAATTCACGTTTCTACTATACAAATATATCTATTTATCTATCTATACAGATTTATATATATGTAGGGATAATTAACAAACCTTGTTGAAAAAGGTCGTTTGACTGATGAAAAAAACATCTTAATAGAACAAAGGAATTGCTGTTTAGTCATTTGGTTTCTAGACAAGACAAAACCGAAATGTAAGACGCTTCCGATAAGAGCACTATGTACAAATATACGTGTCGTATGCTGAGTGTTTTCTTGCCACACACATACACACATATTCCAAAAAGATGTGGGCGTGTACGACTGATGCTGATAATCGTATTAGTATAAGAAGAAAATATGGTTGCGCACACAATGTTCTCTTCATCTATAGGCGCCGATAAAGACAATATGACAATATCCTCAATGGATGGAAAATGTCGTTTATAGACACAATAAAAATGGAAAGAAAAACTAGAAAATAACAAACAACAATTTCATACGCGGCGATTCTTTCGATGCTATTTATATTGACTATATTACAGCTAAGACAATCAAGACAATGATAATGATGATGATGATGATGGCGAACAAAAGAAGTTTTCTCGAAGTAGACGAAGAAGGGAAAGGCTAGTTTGTGTGTCAATCTATCGAGAAAACGAGAGAGAGAGAGAGAAACAACAGTAAAGATCACGACCGTTAGAATAAGTATACAACTTCTCAATATCAATAATAAAAAACAAAACAAAAATATTGACTTATGTGTTTTTTTTTCTTTCTATACGGCACTCAAGAGACAAATATACCTACATTTTATGTATTTCTTGATTATCTGAAGTTTTTTTTTATATGCCAAGCTGCACGGATGTCATCGTACGTCGATCTTATGGAATTAATCTTTCAGCTTTTTTTTTCTTTCTTTATGTGGTACTGTCGTTGACAGACTACATGAATTCTATGTACAAATGGTAGCTGTACTTATTAGGTAATCGATCATTCGAAACACGAGAATGTTGCTCTAAAAACAACAAAAACAAATATGCATGTCATCGAATTATGTTTATATTTGATTACCTATTTTCAATTATGCATAATTATATCATGAATTTCAACAATGAAACGCACAAATCAATGGAATGTGTAACATTATCTTGTGTTTATCAAAAGGAATTTCTTTTCTGTTTTTTTCTATTGTTAACTATGAAATGGCAAAAAACAAAATTAGCATAATATGACAAATTCGAGAATAAGAGGCGTCTGAATGACGAAGCAAACAGACAACAAGAAACTAGTTATGATTTATTGTAGTCCATAATAATAGTTAAATCAGTGGCTTGATAAAAACAAACTGCTTTGATAATCTGACAAAAAGATATTTTTTCTTCATCAATGACAGATTGGCATCTGATGAAGATCAGATAATATAGACAAGGTTCTTTTTTGTTGTCTCCTCTCGATTCATCGTTCGTGGACTATAGACTCGGTCTCAATCGTTGGTTTCGAGAGATAAGAATGAGGGCGTGACAGACGGGATGGGGATATTCCATGTCTCTTTTAGCCACAGAACTCACAATAAAAAAGCATACACCTAAAAACCCGATACGGTGGTCGTAATCTTGCCCTACATACTTCTAAGATCCTGAGTGCTGAAGTTTCGTTTTGTTGTTGTAATACTATATATGCATATTTTTCTCTCACTATCTTATCATACAAATGAATATATGTTTATTTATTAATCGGATATGTCCATTAGGTTAGCCAGAAGATTTTAGATAATGTCCTAAATCGGACGTATTTATTTCATAGAAAAAAAACAGCAAAAAAAGTCAATGTAAATAACAACTAGGTTAAAAACGCTTCAAAGCAATCACAGTTTCATATATAGTTTTATTATAAAATTTTCCTTCACGTTTATTAATTAAATGTGAAAGCCATCGGTTTCGAATATTGATTTTATGAAAAATGCCTGAACCTTCGAGACCTGTTTGCGAAGATATTTGTTCTAATGGAACCGTAAATTTTCGTGCACTAGGCCATAATGCATAAGTAACAATGCCAATAGACGACCCATCCTTGAGTAAATAAAGACGACGTATACATCGAGCTGGATAGACTACGCAAGCACCAAATATAGCTCCACCTAAAATGACAATAAGTACAAATTTTCTTTTTCTTCTCCTATCCCATAGATCTGTCTAAGCAGAACCAAACTATATGAATATTAATCATTGCAACTAACGCTTTTTTCATAGTTCGCTATAAGTTGATGTCTCGATTTAGCCATTATTGTCCTGGCGCCCACGAATAACTATCTAAACCGCCAGTTATACTTTTAGAATGAATGAGGTTCTATACCATTTAGCAATATTCTATTTTTGTAGACTCTTATCGTTATATACAAAGTCACATTTGTATCTATGCTATATGTTAACATCTCAAGCCCATGGTTATCTATTGGCCCATGAAGAAAAGAGAAGACAAAAACATATTTTACTTCCTACTATCAATAGACTTCTACTACTGAATAAACTTACTAACTAAGACAATAACAATATTTGTTGTATATCGAAATCTATTTGTAGGCACAATAGTTGCCGCTCGATCGATGAATGTTGAACTTGATGTTAAATTTTCTTGTTTAGCTGTAACAGTTCCAAATAAATGAAAACTCCAATAAGCAACAACATCAAAGATAATAAATTGCATGAAACCAACTACACCTAATACTGGTAATATTCGATCTTTATATTCAAAAATAAGTAAATTTTTTGAAAGAGATTTTTGAATATTTGAGAAAACAGATTTTGATGTTTCCGTTCGAACAATCGGTTTTACTAAAGTATATCCGATACGTCGCCATGTTGGACAAAGAATTGAACGAAGTAGAATCATTCTCTTAATTTTCTACAAGTTAAAATATATTTTTTTTTGTTGTATTTTTTTAGATTAAGTTAAACAGACAATAATATAAGTTTAATAATAGTATGCTTTAAATACAATAAAGATTCATTTATCAGTCCAATCAAATATACGATTAGATTATGTATATCAAAACAAAATGTTTGATTTTAAATGCAAGCTGGTCGATAAATCTCAGTCGCGTCATACACAAACACTAAGCAGACAGAAACAAAAGAGAAAGAAACAATTTTAAATACAGAAGCATTGACAGAAAAAAATATTATGACTAGAAGAAAAAGAAAAGGAAGACTTTTAATGAGGACATAAAACTTTGAGAATATAATTGGTTAATAATTCTGTTACTTGGCCACTATCTTCATCAATAGCATGGAGAACTAAAAAATATATTTAACATATAAAATTAAGAAGCATATTTTAAATAACAAACTTTTATTTAAATTTTCTAAATGTTCAACTGATAAATAACCTGGATGATCACGATCGAATGGTATTATTGTTGTTAAATACTAGAGAGGGAAATAAGATTAGAATTTTTAATTGGATTATAAGATAAATATCATCTAAATTTAGAAGTATCCTTGAGAACACGATCTGTTTCATATGTTTTTCTTAATGGTTTTATTAAGTCAAGCGTAAATTCCTTTTTTTTTGTTTTATCCAAAATAAGATTAATTGTTATCTTTAAAGATTTGTTTTCCAATCAAATAACAATCTTGTTACCCTCTAATAAAATAGATATTATGAAAATTTTTTCTATCAGACATTACCAATGATTGTATCCGAGTGATAAAAAGAAACCTCATGGATATTTCAGCATATTTTCATATGTATGTCATCTCTTATTATATCATTATTCAGTCTTTTTTTGTCTCGAACTGCTAATAGAATCTTTCAAAGTTCTTAGGTCGACATTGACAGATAGTGTTATTATTTAATGCGAATTTGTTTTCAGTAGTATCCTTTTTTCTGCAGATTCGAGCCAATGAAGATAAAACTTCATCATCCTTATTTAATTTTTGTCTATTTTTATTTCCGATGAGGCAGAATTGTGTGATAATTAAAACACTCCTTTCAATCAACCATAATTTCTTTTCTTTTCTTTCTTCTGTCTAGCCCTTATCTAATTAACAATAACGCTAGACAGTAAGTGTATAGAAAAAGAAAAGAAAAAAAAGAAAGAGTTTGTTTAGCAGTTCATAGATATAATAAATATTCATATGGCGCATTTCATCTCTCATAGGGAAAGAATTCCCAATGCACACAGCTAGCACTAATCTCATACATTCACAGCAACCGCATCTACTGTGTGTATTAATAAATTAACGTCTTCCGATTAGAAAGAAAAATAAAATTTACCGTTCCCGGTTCAACATAATTGTTATTGCCAAATAAAGAACGATGTTTTTGACGTTTATCATTCTGATAAGGTCGGCGTTTATTCTAGAACCAAAAATAAAAATTTCTTTCTATCGAAATTTCTTTTCATTACTTGAATATTGAGTACAAGTGAAATAAATGTATTCTTCGTTTCTTTTTCATAATCAAGTTCTTCTCTCATCGCTAATTCCTGTATAAGTATACTTGATAAACTTTCAATCGATGCATTTAATTCATCATATAATTGATTTAATGAATTAATTGATTGAGTTTTTAAAAAGAATTCTTTATTTTTCATACAAGATGAATCTAAATCATCACAATAACCTGAATCTGGTGTCATATCTTGTAACATGAAATCGATTTCACTAATAACTTGTTCAGCAGTAACAAATGGTTCACGACTAGATGAAACAATAATTGAATGCATATCTAAATGTTCACGTAATTCTTCTTCTTCGTCTTCATTTAAATCATCAATTGATATAAATTCATCTTCCTGAAGATTTCTTTCATTAATACTATTCATAACCGATTGACAATTTTGTCTTATGTGTGGTAATTTTAAATCATTACGTAAAGATGTACGAAGATTTTCAATTAAATATGACCATGTACTATTAAAAACATATTCTTATAAAATTGCAAAATCGAACAACTTACTTTGATCTGGTAAGAAGATCTGATTCTATTGTTACACTAGGTTCGATGTCTTCTTGATCGGGAAAACACGTAGGAATTGTATCATCAAATGATTTAATGAGATCTTCAAGTGAAATTGCTTTGAATGAATGTTCTATTTAGAGTAAAAAATGACATAGATATATATTCCAATTGTTAATGAGAAAATGTCTGTTCTTTTTTTGCTTTACTAACCGAGAGAAGTATCTAATAAATTATCATGATTAATATTTGACGATGTCTGATCATCAGTCATATCTTCTTCATCATCATCATCGTCATCAAGATTAATTGAATCCGAAAATTTGACAATTGGTGCACATGGATTATCGTATAAAATTTCTTTTTCAGTTATACTTATCGACATAATTGCACGAAGATCAGGAATCGAATAAAGACTAACTCAGTCTTTTATTTGTTTTCTATCACATCATTCATTGATGTGCATTCTATCTATCATCTCTATATATTCTATCGATCGATCAACCGATTCATTTTGATTCAATTTATTTCTAACCAATCATTATTAACTATTTTCATTGAGAAGATTAATAAAAAATTTCCTGAAAATAATCCATAGTTTTTATATTATTTTGTTGAATTTGTTGGATTGCTCTTATTTCGAGGGCAACTATGTTCTATTATGGTGGGAGAAGAAACCAATCAAATCAGTTGTCAGCTGTCTGGAATGAGTCATTGTATGTTAGCTCGACTAGAAAGTAACAGAATATGATGAGATGGCTCCTAATCGTTCTCTTTCCAGTTGTACAATCATATCTATTTGGATGTTATTATGATTATAGTCAGCCATTAGTCTTACCAGAGCAATTGCCTATTGGCGTTTGCACGCATGTATTACTTATTGGTGCGATTAATGTTAAGAATCTCAATGTAAACATTATTCAACGTCCATACAATGGTTTGAATGCTCTCCAGAGTATGCGAGATTATCGTACACGTGATTCAAATAAATTAAAAATCATTCCCTCACTTGTTGGTGACGATGACGAATGGAAAACAGCTATGAAAGATTCAGAATCACGCTCGAAATTCATTACATCGCTTATAGATTTTGCTAAATCTCAAGTAATTAAGAAATTTTGTTTTTTTATTATACACGAAAATAAATTTCAATAGGATCTTGATGGTCTCGATTTTGATTGGGAATATCCATGTGGTGCATATAAATCATTGTTTAGTCAATTTATTGAAGAACTTCGTCTTGGTGTACGTAAAATATTTGGAAATGAATTTCTTTTAACGACGGCTGTTGGTGCCGGAAAAAATACCATTGATGATTGTTATGAAATCGGACGATTGGGTGAATCACTCGATCTAATTCATTTGATGACTTATGATTATCATAGTAAGATCTTCTTTTCCAAAATTGAAAAAAGAATTCTTTTAATTTGACTTCAGGTATCTATGATAAACAAACAGGTTATAGTTCGCCATTATATCCAAAAAGTATTGAGACCGATGAAGCTCGACAATATAATACTGAATGGAGTGCTGCATATCTAGTTGAACAAGGTGTTCCGAGAAATAAAATTCTGATTGGACTCGAAGGACTTGGTCATACATTTCAATTGAATGATTCAAATATTCATGATTTTGCAGCACCAGTCGTTGGTATTGGTTATGGTGGTGGATGGATGACGTTTATTGAATATTGTCTATTGGTTAAAACTGCTGGATCAAATTGGGATGATGAAGCTAAAGTTAACTATACCTATTATAATGACCAATGGACTAATGTTGGCGATGTAAGAGCAGCAGCAGAAAAAGCTTTATTTGTTAAAGCAAATAGTTATGGTGGTGCATTTACTTTTGTAAGTTTCACTCCGTATAAAGACACGTGAGCGAAGATGAGTCATAACTCTCAAACAATTCGTAAATTTCAAGTCAATTTGATCAGAATTCAGTCATATCGGTTTAGTATTCCCAATGATTTAAATACAGTCTTTACTTCTATAGCAACAATGTCTGTCGAATAGTCCAAATGTTTATCTGACAAGATTTTATTTTATATTTAGGGTCTTCATCTTGACGATCCAACAGATCTTTGTCATCATGGAGAAACTTTTCCAATTCATAAAACCGTCGCTCGACAATTGGATTTATTGTGATATTATTTTTATTTAATAAACAAACTTTTTTCTCTCTCTTTGCCTTGTGATAAAGTAATTTCTATGTGCGCTTGTAGCTTATTAAAATAATAAAAAAAAAACATTTGACTCTAATATCAGTAAACAATATAAGATGCTTATTATTCAGATCTTTCTTTTCTATATTAGTACTTCAAATATGTCGTCGACTTTTGGTTATCTATGTGCTTTAATTTATTTTTCTACTCTATACATAATAATAATTGATGCTCGATCAATAAATTCAATAGATAATGTCGAATCAATGGTTGGCAATCTTTCATATGATCATAATCAAGAAAGTTTTATAAAACTTGCAAATTATCGTCATAGTTTTGAGCATTCAACAAATTTTAAACGAATCCGTTGGTCGCTCAGACATCGATATAATAAAGCTTATTGTGAATTTTGCGATTTAGTTGTACCAGTGGTAAGAATTAAAATTTGATCTCAGTAAACACATTTCCTATGACTTATTTAGGTGCGACTGCTTATTGAAGCAAATCAAACTACTCATGCAGAGAATGTCGTTAATGGATTTTGCAGAGAATTTAAATTAATTGATGTAAACGTCTGTATTGGTGCTGTTCACGAATATAAAGTAAATTAGATCTAGAAAATAAAACTTTTTTCTTAAAACAAAATTATTTTATTTAAAACAAAAAGGATGCAGTAATAGAAGTTATATCGCTATCGAATTATAATAACAAACAACTGTGTGCATTAGCATTTAATTGTTATAAACAATTTGACTATCCAATTATAACATGGAATGTTACATTTCCTCATGACAAACCAAAGCCACCATCGCAACCACCACAACCACCACAAGTAAATTACCAATAGGCATTGTATCGTTTAGCGATAAGTCTTATGACATCACGTTCACTTTCAAGTACTTTACTTGTTCGTGCAATCTGATGCCATGTATAAGATGTTTTTTCGTTTGATGATAGAACAGGAAAAAGTCTGTTAAGATCAATAGCTGGATTCGATGAGATATTTTTGTTAAGATCAGTTTGAATATAACAACAAATTGAAGTTTCAAGCCAAGCATTGTCCGTATTTTTTCGATCATCTAATTAGAAGGAAATTAGAAGTATCGAATAACATATCATAGGAATAGAAAACAATTGTATTTATACAAACGGAGATGTTGTGACACCTCGTTAATTAAAAACCTATATATTTTATGTTGATGAAAATGTTAATGGAGCGGAAACTGTCATTTACACGGTCACTTCTCTTCAATAGCAGTTAGATAAATCTTACCGACATAAGCAGTACTAACAAATGTTAAGTGTTCGATAATTTCGTTGATTTTCATTTCATTTCTATTACTATCTAAGTTATTCCATGCTTGATAGATATTCAAAAGAAATGGTTTGAGCGTTTTTTCAATTGCGCTCATATTAGCTCCTGTTGTTGATGTCGATGGCAAACGATAATAATCATCATTTTTTGTTTTTTTCATTATATATTGAAATATTTCTTTTCCCGATTTGATTTCATTCGTACTACACATAATAACAAGATGAGTTTGATAATTAACTGCCCAACGTTTTAATTCTCCTCGTCCACATAAACCTGTGCGACCAAGAGGATTCAACGGATAACCTTTCGTATCAATGACATAAGAACCAACAGGATTTGCTGTACGTCGATCGATGTTATAATTTGTATCGAAAGTGTTCCACATAAATCTCGATGAAATGACTTCTGGATCTATTTCATTTGTGGTATTCGGCAGCGAAGAATTTGTATAATGCGGTGGATTGTAGCTTAAAGAAAATAAAATTTAAAATTTCGATGATTCTGGAAGATACAACTTTGGTAAATTGATTGTCCATGGTATTTGATCGTCGGCGATTTGTTGACGTTGAATTGATGTTTTGGGATAAATTCCTTCACGACAAAATCGATGAATAGGTAGAAGAGAATTCTAGAAAAATTATAATCTATGAAAATAAAATAATTCAAATGGAAAATCGTAATTTAGTACTTGCTGTCGATGACCAGATTTTCCGCACGAGTTAGCAATAATATGTTGATATGCAGATAAAATTTCTTCTTGATCAAAGAGAAATTTTTCTTGCGATGTTAATTTTGGTTGCCAGCGTTTAATTATTTTTTTCGTTGATTGAAATTTTAAGAATTGTTGACAAAATTGAAATTTATCAAATATGTTTATTTTAAATTGATTCGATGATTTCATGTTGATTTTATTCGTATTTTCATTTTTGAACACATGAGATGAACATTGCTGTACATCAACTATTGATGGTTTCTATATGAGATACATATTTTAAAATGTAAGAAAAACAACGAACTTGACCAGATAAAGTCATATTAATAGTATGAAGAATATAGAGTTATTAAATCTAGTGTAAAAAAATTTAAACAAAACAAAAACTATTAGGCGCTTTATGTCTCTCATTTTAGTCTGGTTCGCCTACATTCACTGTTTTACATTTATCTGATATTCATATTGATTTTTCTTATACACCTGGATCACAAACTGAGTGTACACAACCTTTATGTTGTCGTGAAGGTGAACCTGGTAAGTATATAGAAATGATCTAATGACTTTGGTTTTATGTTCGTTTGTTTTAGCTCCCGGTCGTGCAGGTGCTGGATTTTGGTAAGAAACTTTACTTGTTTTTAAATTTCAGTTCACGTAATGACTAGAGATTTTCTTATGTCTAGTCTAAAAGAAGCAAACGAGAGTTAGTTGCATGTTTGACAGGGAAAAGATTTCCAATTTAATCTCTACAACCTTCGATTTGCTTACGTACGATGCAGTCACATATGGCATCGCGTGAGGACGAAAGTGCCGTGCCTCTGTGGAAAGCGATGATTAAAATTATTTGATTTTCAGGAAAATATACAAAGTATTTTATAGTCATTATCGAATAGCAAAACGACACAATATAGAGAAACTCGATATAAAACAATTACTACTTATTTTCGTTTAAAACTTCATAGTCAATCAAAAACTTGCCTCGTGCTTGATGCATGCAGCTAGAGCAAGCAAAGAATTGTGCTTTAGAATGTCTATTGTTTATTTAGGGGTGATTTACATAGCTGTGATATTCCTTATTGGACAGCAGAAAAGATACTTCAATACGCTGCGGCATTAGAAAAAGTAATAGTAAATGTGTGTCGAAATCAAAAAAGAAACATAAAGTTTTATACAGGTTGATTTTATTTATTATACCGGTGATCTTCCACCTCACAATGTTTGGAATCAGTCACGTACACAACAACTCTATTCACTGAATAAGATCAATCAATTATTAGCTAAGACATTTCCGAATAAAACATTTTACTCAGCAGTTGGTAATCATGAAGCAGGTGGAGTTTTATTTAAAATTAAAAAATTAAATTAGATTGATTCGATTGTTTTTCTATTGCTCAGCTCCATGTAATTTATTTCCTACGCCGAATGTTCGCTCGGATAATATATCATGGTTATACGAAGTATTAGCAGAGAGTTGGATAAAACTCGGTTTACCACCTAATACACGTGAAAGCATTGAACGCGGTGGTTTTTATACAACAGTTATACGACCTGGTCTACGTTTAATATCATTGAATATGAATTATTGTTCGGCGGAAAATTTTTGGTTATTTATTAATTCAACTGATCCACTTGGTCAACTTCAATGGGTAAATTTCATTCGATAGAAGAAAGAGAAAGAAAATAATAGAATATCTTATGTTGACAGATGATAGACTGGCTACAATATGCCGAAGACAATGGAGAAAAAGTTCATATAATTGGTCATATTGCGCCAAAACAATGTTTAGCATCGTTTAGTTGGAATTTTAATAAAATTGTGAATCGGTAAAAATGTAAATTAAAAAAACAAGTTCTGCAATTCATGTTTCATGGTCATTTTAGATATGAAAATACAATTGCTGGCCAATTTTATGGACATACACATAATGATGAAATAGTAATTAATTATGATGAAGTCGACCTTCAACGACCCATTTCAATGGTTCAGTATTTTCATATATCTTGATTTCATTTTTGAAAAATTCTCAATTTTTTTGCCTTTAGGGATATATAACACCATCGTTGACAACGTTTTCTTACCTCAATCCTGGTTATCGTGTTTATAAAATGGATGGTTATTATCCAGGAAGTTCCTATTGGGTACTGGATCATCGTACCGTTATTATGAATTTGACAGCAACAAATATGTACAATCAAACAATTTTCATGGATGAATATGTTGCTCGAGACGCATATCAAATGGAAAATTTGTTTCCAAACGATTGGCACGAGCTAATTGAAAGACTAAAGAACGATATTGATGGTCCATTGATGGGCTTAGTATATCAATATTATACAAAATCCTATGCAAACGGTGCTCAATGTGATCATAATTGTCGTCGAGGACTTTTATGTGATTTTATAAGTTTTCGCTCAGAAGATCCTCATTCATGTGATTCAATTCCAAATTGATTTTGTCTTCCATCATGTTCCTTTTTAACATCGATTGTAATATAAACCGTATATTGTTTACTTTTGAAAAAGTATATAAACTATGCAAAGAATAAAACATTATATGTTCGATTATTTTTTATATCAAATATTTTTTCACGGCGTGGATGAGAGTATGAACACATCAATGGTTTTATTACAGTCACGGCTCTTTATTGAGTGCCATAAATTGTGCATCAAGGGAAAATATCCCAAGTGCATGATGATGATAGCAAAAAAACGAAGAACTAAATAAACTTCAGAGTCGATTTTAACAGTCTAAATACAGCGTCTGCATCATATATCATTTAATTCAATTTTTGTTTTTTCTTGCTTTTTGGATTCTTGTTTAACAGCAAACAGACACTTTATCAATCGTCCTCCAGTTGTTTTCTGCATAGAATCCATATAAACTGTTGATGGTAGTATATAAATAAAAAATGTTAAAGCCTGTGGAATAAAAATAAATAAATTCAGAGTGACATGTAAATGAAGATAGCCAAGATGTGATAATTCAATACAGTGATACATTAAATGGGCAAATATGAAATGTGGTAAACAACAAACAACAATCAGTACTGGTGGTATCAAGTATAATTCGTTCTTTTTAAGTCCAGTAAGTGATAATTTACAATAGGACCCGGTGCCCTTTTCATGACCTAGTCGCCAGAGTGTAGTTATGAAACAAACAGAATGAATGAAGCATGGTAAAGCTAAATGCAATGTGGAAAGCCAATCATCAATTGAATTCAACCATTTTTTGTCATAATCAAATGTACAGACGAAAGAACCAGGTTGTCCGGGGTCTGGTACCGCCTGCCGTCCAAATATTTCGTGAATATGGGTGATGAAAACAATAACAGGCATCAGGATCATGATTATTACAGTTCGCTTGTGTGCCTGTTTGCCTATGACTTCAATATAAATGATATCGAATAAGAGCCGTTCAACTGTGATCGCTGCACTTAGCCATAGTCCCAAATGAATTAGCATTGTGCTAACAACCGGTGCAATATTACATGAGTAAAATGTGTAACCAGCAGAAGAGTATCGATCAAATAACATCAATATTACACGGGTTTGTAATTCTAAGGCAACTATTATAGAGCACACAGAATACAATATCAAAAACAGAATATTATCACCTCGAATATTATCTTCTCGAATATTACCTCCTCGAATATTATCTCCGCGAATATTATTTTCTCGAATATTATCTTCTCGAATATTACCTCCTCGAATATTATCTCCGCGAATATTATTTTCTCGAATATTATCTCTTCGAATATTATCTCTGCGAATATTATCTCTGCGAATATTATCTCTGCGAATATTATCTCTGCGAATATTATTTTCTCGAATATTAGCTCCTTGAATAGAAGTCCGTTTCTTACGTCTTACGTCGCGTAATAAAAAGATTTCTAAACTAAGTAAATTATTAATAAGAGAAACTATAACTAGGACACTAACGACGACTACAAACACGACTTGTTTGGTAGTTCTCTCCGCTTCTTTTTCTGTACTTCGAATTTCGGCTAACATAGCTGATGTCAACGATAATGGTATCATGTTATCCTTGAGTTGGCATCGATCACCCTTGAAACATTTTCGGCATTGGCATCCAAATGTAATATTCGAATTCGTACTCTCAGTAGCATTGCGTATGTAGCATTCACCATTATAATGGCAAAAATCATTCCTGCAGATATCTTGTGTCGATATACATGTCAATAAAAGGAGAAACAAACACCAAACAATCATCATATCAGTTGCGTATATTTATTCTAGAAAGAAAAAAATTAAATCAAATATAATCATCCATACAGGTAAGATTCAACTTTTATTTACTTTCTTTTTTACTTCGTTGTGGGTGTGAATGTGAGATAGGATGAGTAACGGTGAGGGTCTTCTCTCAACTCTTTCTCACTGAGCAGTCATTCAATTCCGCAATGTTGAACATTCCGGAACCAGTTCCGCCCCCGGAATCAGTTCCGTCGATTCCGGAATTAGGTCAAATATGAACACCGTTCGATTCCGGAACTGGTTCATCTGATTCCGGAATTAGTTCCTCCAATTCCGGTACTGCTTCGCCCGATTCCGGAACTGCTTCGTTCGATTCCGGAACTGCTTCTTTCGATTCCGGAATTAGTTCGTCCGATTCCCGGAATTCCACGGAATTCAGTCCAATTCCGGAGTCAGGTCAATACGGAATCGGTGGGAATTAGACGGAATTACCAGGAATTCCTTGTGATTCCGTTCAATTCCTGTTCGACCTAATTCCCGGAATTCCGCACCGGAATTGCATGGTGTGGGTGTTGCCATAAGTGTGGGTNGCTGAATTCCGGAACCGTTGGGAATTAGGCGGAATCCGTTTGAATTCCGTGTAATTCCGGAATTGAATCGGAATTGATAAACGGAATTCCGGGAATTAGATGGAATTGGTCGGCAGTGATTCCGGGAATTCCGGAATTCTGTTGGAAGTGATAAATGGAATTTCGGGAATTAGATGGAATTGGTTCCGTGAGCGGAACTGGTTCCGGAATGTTCAACATTGCGGAATAGGATGTATTCTCTTCTCACTCATACCAAAGCACAGGCATGGATGCTTTTATTATAGTCCTTCAAAGTGCGGTAAGTAATTACCTGTCTTCAAATCATAGATTTAAACAAATTCATCTAGTCATTAAATATAGTGATTTGAGTCCCTCAAAATTAGCGGGAACACCATATTTAATTTTGATTGATAGAAATACGTTAAAACTTGGAACTATTAGAAGAACATAATACTCATGTGCATAAGAACTAAATACTGTTACAGTACCCAACTTTCGAGCTTAACTATCCGGACTTCAGCAAATTTCAAAATAATGTACTGCATAGCATTGCATGCAGGATTAAATCGACTGCGACAGGATGCTAGAATTTGCTTTTATGTTCATCACTTGTTAAAATGGATTTTTGGTCAAATTGCGAAAAAGATTAAGTTTTATGCGAAGTCAGAAAAAAAATTATTTGAACTGTTTCGATTCTACTTGAGATTATAATGTAATATTAGATGTGCAGTTTTGTGGAACTCACAATTATTTTCAAAGAGGAGAATAGTAAGTGTAATTTAAAGGCGACGTTTTCGCGATTTCTCAACCTTTCATGGCAGACATCAGACATCAAACATCGAAAATAAAAATCTATCTTCGCTAATTAGATATAATTAGAGTTAGGGTTCAATGTCTCTTCCTTTACCATTGCAGACCTCTGTAACCAGCTTAGACTATCACTATAGGCATAAGCAAATATTTGAAACCCTAGTTACAGATCTTAGAAGCTAGGCGGATTTTTATAAAATATTTTCACGCGATCTATTTTTGCATCAGCTTAGCGTATCAATAACATTTTCAGGAGAAAAATCCAAAAACATCTTAGTTGGAATCTTGAGGGGATATCTGGAGTTGCTCCATCCTATAGGGGACTCAAAGTAATTCTTTGGGTGGCGATGTTTTAGACTATTTTCTGGTAGAATAAAGTCTAAATTTCCATCGGATCACCTATTTTTACCATGTCTCATGTTCGGAACCTTTTTTTTAAGATTCTATGTCAACAGTCTAAAAATGTTTTGAGTGGTAGACGTTTCGCTAGAACTTACCAATTATACCGAGAAAAGTTTCAGTATGACACCTTTACTTTTTAGAGAGAGAGAGGTGAGTGTCGTTGTATAGGCATGATACTCTCATTCTTTTACTTGCTATTATATAAACGCTTTTTTCAACTGCTACCGTTATCATCTAATGGTTCGTTCTGTTTTACAAAAAAGGAAGTGATGATAGGTTTTTTCCCAAGTAGAAAAATATAAAATACTGACGAATAAACTCTGTCAAACTACTTTCTAGACAATTAATAATGGCCTTATCAAAAGTGAGTAAATTCTACTTGGCTTGTCGGAATAATGATATAAATGAGGTAAAACGAATGATTACTTCAATGAGTGCTGATGAAATAAACCGATTGGAAGAAACAAGTTTTGGAATGAGTACAGCGTTACATGCAGCAGCATATTATGGTTATCATGAAGTGGCCGATATATTGTTGACACATAAAGCTGATCCAACAATCAGAAATTTTACTGGACTGACACCTTACGAAGAAGCTACCACTAGAGATGTAGCATGTGTATTCAGAAGACATCTTACTAAGGATAATACTCCAAATAGCCGTTTTTCACAAGCGAACCCAAACCGTGAATGGATCTCATGTGATCCAGATATGATTAAACGCGCACCGCATTATGACACATGGCTTGAAACCGGTTGTCGTAACATGCCATTCATCGTTGCAGATAATCTACGTGATGATTCAGAACTAACAAAAGAATTAAAAAACGATCCTAATATAGATGAAGTTTGGAAATTATTTAAAGAAGCAATTGAAACACATGATCCAAAACGTATTGTGAAAGCTTACACATTGGAAACGCGTTTTTATGGATTGTTGAATATGCACCTAGCAGATACATCAGCTGAAATGTTAAATGAAACATTCATATTCGATCCAAAAATCCAACCATTTTGGCAAACCTACGGACGACTAGCTGCTATTATTGCTCGACATCCAGATTTGCAAAAATATCAGGCTGATGGTTTGTGTTTTCGTGGGATGATATTGAGTACGGACGAATTATTGCAATATAAAGTTGGTAAACGTATCTTAACTAAAACTTTTTCTTCATGTTCACGTCACTCTTCTGTTGCCGAAGACTTTGCCACGAAAGATCTAGACCTAGAAAGCGACCGTTATCCTATTATATGCGAATATAACATCATTAGTAAACGTTCTGCGTTGAAACTTGAAGATCTATCAGCATATCCAGCAGAAAAAGAAGTGTTGATCGTACCATTTTGTGTATTCGAAATTGTAAAAGTCAAAACAAAAACCAACTGGTCAGCCGAGGATGGAACAGTGAAGATAAAAGAAGGAAGAAAAATCACATTAAAAGAATGTGAAAAACAACACTCCATCTGTAGTATAATGTGAAATGCCGTTGGCACAATCGATTCGCATAGTATTTTCAAACACTTCAACTTTTTTTCAGAGCTTCACTAGTAAGTACTATTCAAGCCATGTTTTATAAATATAATTTCTAATAACACAACTGTTCTCGTGTAAATTTTAAAATAAAATTTTGAGAAGTAATATTAACAAATATTCATTTAACGGATTTTAGTATTGAGCACGTTTTTAAGGTTAAACAAAACTGGTTGAAAAGATAAGATATTAAAGCGATATGAAGCATCTTCGTTTTTGACTTTCTTATCGTGCCAGTTAGTTTTCAGTTTAATGATGAAGGTGGCAAGTTCTTTGCTTGTTGTTTTGTGTCCCCTAACTATTCATATAACAAAAATTTATGCTCGCTCAGTTCTGCAAAAATCTATTGATTTATCACCGGGATATTCATTAGAAGATGACGAATCAAGCTTCATACATAATAGTATTAGTAGTTGTCGTCATCGTTTGGAACATTCAACTAATTTTCAAGCACTTCGTTGGTCTCTTCGAAAAGTGCAACAAACTGAATTATGTGAATTTTGCGAATTAATCATTCCAGTGGTAAGTAGAACTGCTTTTTACAAATTCATGTCTTCATCGTATAACGTAAGATGTAAATGTAATTTGACCAAGATGGGCTCGTATTTCTCGACGATAGAACGGTACTGACAGAATAATCTTTCATCAAAAACTACTCGTGTTGCTCATTTCTTCATACTATTGGAAGTATTCGGTCGGTTTGAATTTCATAGAAAGTTACGTAAGATGGATTCTCGTAGTTGTATCACTATGTAAGGTGGTGGGAAAATATTTGACTTTTCCATGAAATTATTCTTGTTTTGCAAAATCATTATTTCTAGTCTATTGCTATTAACACAACTTTTGTTAAGATTTAATTTGAAAACAAATAAAATTCAAAGGAAACAAAGAATTTCTTTCATCGAAGAAAATTAACAGCCGATATTTTGTGAACCTCACAAATATGAGTAGCCCGAAGTTCGCCAATATACGTCCTGGACTCCTGCCAATTGATGAAAGTCATGTGGACATCCGCCAATACTGGCGAAACTTCCTCACATTCTCAATTATTAGAGCAGATGATATTTATATATAATATGGACTCTTCCCTATTCTAATACAGTTTCTATTATGTTCTTGCCGACTTGCCGAACATACACCAACTTTTGATTCATCGTTGAATGGTTCAACGCCTGTCGTTATTATAGTGGATGTCCCTCATACATTCGCCAATATTGACGAATGTCCACCTAACTTTCATCACTATACCTCATGGGCATTCGCCAGTACACTACCTGGACTCCCGCCAATAATTGGCGAAAGTTATATTGGCGAAGTTCGGCGATCCCACATATATTTTCGAAGAAAATAATGAGTGTAAGTTGAATTGTTAGATTTTTACGGCTTACCTGTACCTCACCCCCCACCCTTCCTGTTACAGACATAAAACATAAAAAAATTAACACTTATATGCACTAATTAGAAACTTTTTTGGTACAGGTCGATTGCCTATGTTCAGCACTACTCACATCAGTAATACAAATTTAGTTTCACTAATTAGAAGTCATTATAATTAGAATTTAATCTATAATTAATCATAAAAATCTGTCGTTTTTAGTATTATAGCCTATAGTTACGACATATATAGGGTAGAAATTTGGACCCATCCCCCACCCCGCAGGTCGTTACAGAGAAATTAATTATTTATTTATTTCTCTGTAACGGTCTGTGATGGTTTCTAGAGACTCCATATATCATAATACAGACCGTAACAAAGAAGCTCCACTGACCATCCGTGACAGTGATAGACGAATTCCAGAAAAGAAGTTTTTATTTTTATGGGTATCAATAATGAAAAGGTATCTGTAAGGTTGTGTTCACCTGAGTATAACTTTAATGATGATGCAATTCCATTTAATGTCGCCTATTGGATATGTCTTGTCCAAAAAGAACTCAATGATTGACTCTATCTTTTGTTTTGGATGTGGGTGTGAGTCTTCTTTTTTCGATGATACTGTTTGTTTCACCGAAAGTAAGGCGTTTGAAGATCACCCCTTGTTCGAATGCCTCCTTAACCGTTCAATATGCCCTCCATTAAATATTATATTTATTGATCTCGCTTTCTTTTTGCTGAGTTGAGTCGATATACAGATGTGCCGTTTGTATTTACTTCATGGTAAGATATTCTGTTTTCGTCATTCTTTCAAACGCCAAAACCCATGTAAAACTTTTTACCCAAAAAAGTGACTATTAATACTATAAAAAGTTAAACATAGTAAGAGAAATTACTTTATTACTATTAAAAGTGATTAAAAGTAACTTTTGGTTCACTTTTTTTTACATGGGAAACCGTCACGCTTATTTTATCGATCAATCATGACAACATGTACATTTTGTTTTTCTTTTAAATTTTCCTCGTTCTAATCGTTTTTTCTTAGCATTACTAATCAGACGATGTATTGAGCCGATCTGAATAATCGATATTCGTCATCTGTACGAAAGCACAATTGAGAGAAAGCTGACATAAATATATTTTCCGCAAGGTACATAACTGATTCGAAGACTAGACTTGTTAAAGCAACGATCGAAATGAGTCCCGTTACTTTTCATCTGCTAGAGAGAAATATGTCAAATGCAAGTATTGAAAGAGTTCTGATTCTGTAGAAACGACGTGATTATTGATGTACAGAGCATGTAATAGTCTTTAGAAAAGCTCAACAGTACAACTGACATTTATATCTGCACACTTTTGGACTTGCTTTGTCATAGATGTGTAGACACTTGTTCCTGCCTAATGTTATCTATTATTTGTTGTTAATACACAAACAAAGGTACCTCTACATTTTTTTTTCTTTTACCAACTTCGTGGTCTCCATCAATGTTTATATGTATACGTGTGCGTGAAGATGTTAGCAGAGAAATGATGAGTTATCATGAAGTATCATATTCCAACCGAGCAAAATTCTAAGCGAATAGCAACACTTAGAATATGTTTATGTAATTAGTATACATTTTTGGAATCGATACTTCATATTAGTGGTTTATGAAGCTTTATCTGCGCCAGTGAGGCAATTCTACCAATATCTAGTTGTTTGTTTTACGTTTTCTGCGCTGTAATAGGTTATTTCCGTTCTCATTTGTCCCACGATGATTCGCACTATTCAAAAAAAATTAAAAGCCAGAGTCATGATTCATTGGCATTATTTTACCGCTGTTGTGCTTTATGCTTTTATTATGAGTTTTTCTGTACGTGTGCACTCGGTAGAAAAATCAATTGCATTACTTATGTCATTTTATTTCACAAGTCGTTCGATAAAACCAACTGGAAGATGCATTCAATATTAAAATGTTTTTACTCGAAGATTATAGCAATTGACAACATAGAGATTGCCGTATAGATCGAACGATAAAGCAATAGGAGAATTCAGTTGGTTTTCTTGCTTTCCTTGACTATGATCACCTACAAGGGCACTTCCGTCTGTGGTTTCTTTGTGTCAGCGCACCACTCTATTATTTGCAGAGTCAGCTACATATACGGTTCCCAATTGATCAACGATCATTCCATGAGAACGAGAACATTGTATCTTATGACTACCTTTACCTCGACCACCAGAAACTACAATTCCTTCGTTAGAGTCCCGCAGCCAAAGCATCACATGATGATTACTACAGTCCGGTATACATATAGAGTGATCTTGATCGGCAAAGATGTGGAAAAGACTATCAAGTTGGTTAAGACGATCGCCCTCTTCATTTCTACCCGCGACGATCGTTCCAATATCATTTCCCCCTACTGGAAATCGTCTTACAACATTCTTTGAAGAAGAAAAGATGTAAATAAATGTTTGATCATCCATCATTAAACTCAAGCAGTCACTGGATGACGCAAATTAATTTTTAAAAAGTCAATTGTATAGTAATTTAGTTATCATTATTTTCTATCAAGAAAGAACACCTATGCATCATTTCTCTCAATACGGGTGCCACGAAACGACATATAACGAGAGAGAGGTAGTTTTTCTCAAACTTCAAAGTTGTAGAGTAGTCTTGTAATCGAATTCACCTTTCCTGTTGGATACTACTGATACTTGACCCTGGTAGAAACTGTCTTATTTTGTGAGAGAAAATAATGAAAACTGAATTACTATACAATTGGCTTTTTTGAATTACTTTGTAATTCATTTGTGTCATAAGCTCTTTAACGGGTATCTCTTCTTCTCAAGTGATCTTCTGGTACAGATGAATTTTTGGTTATCATCAACAGATTTAGATGATAGTCGTTTGGATTAAGATGAATTCTAGTTTTTTGGGTTTAGTTTAAATTTCGAAAAATCCAAACCGATCCCATTTCGGTTAAAAACTATGTTGTACTTAGTTTCAGACAGGAAATTTTATTCGTGATGTTGTTTTTTCATTTGACACACTTCTTGTCTATGAATCGAAATTGCAATCGAACTGAAACGAGTGCATAATTAAAATCGATCTATTTTCGATGTGATTTACACATGTAAGCAAGATCTTGAGCATTCACTGTCCGAAAAAAATAATTAGATATTTTGAGAATGCAATTGAATGTATATTTGTCGTTTACACGTATCCTTAAATTGTAAACGCTTTACAATTTGAATACCTTGCTTCATATACAAAAATAGCAACTCTCTTTCAAGTAAAAATAGTAGTGAGTTTAATACATGAATATCATCGAATATAATTTTTTCCTCTATTGTGTAATATAAGTATCAAAACATTTTCCAGATCTTCGATCTTGATATATCAAAATTGTACTGTGTTATACAACAAAGAGCTATGGCCTCTGCCAGGCCACATGTAAAGTCGACTTATGAGTCTCAGTTTGAAAACTTAGCAAGAATAAAATTCTTATTGAGATTAGTGGATTATACAAGTTTTAGCTTTTCTACTACTTTTTCTTTGGAGATATACATATAGGAACAAAATTAATCTTTACATAGAAGAGTTTCAAATATTCAATATCTCAGCATGGACTATACTAGAGACGTTACAATTTGAAGGACAGAAAAGTGACGTGCATAAATTTATATTAGCAATTCACAAAATAAATTCATATGCAACTGTTGTTATACGAAGCTTTACAACTTGTTACAGTATGTTATAGTAGCCACGGTCATCCAGCTTCATTCTTTTTTTTTGAACGGAGTAGAATATCTGTTTGCTATTGTTTCAAATACATAATCATTGGTAGACATTCGCACTGGCAACTTCTGGAGAGATTAAGAAACTGAATAAGTAATTTCTTTTATTTTTCGAAGTAAATGGGAGAAATTAGCAAATCTGAATTTCTTGTAACACATTGGGATATTGATAGAGACTTGGCTGATATTCAATAGTATTATCAGATGACTACTATGGTATTGAAGAAAAGCTAAATCAACATGTATGCTTCGGGATAATCTGATGAATAATTATCTAACCATAATGGAATCGCAGTCTTTTGTTGTGCTTGCTTTTGGTTCCATACATAGTGTATTCTTTGTTTGATTAGTTGTTGTTTTTCTGCTGTAATTTTAAAATTCGTATGATTTACGTCTAAATCTAAACTTAAATGATTTCTCATTCCATGCACTCTTGCTCGATTATGCTTTGGCCCTAGCTTTAATTGTCGACTATTAAATATACCAGCAGCCATACTAAATGTGCTTAATGAACCAATTAAAATATCATCGCGTAGGAAACGATTAAAAGTTTCAGATGTTCGACCATTTAAGAAAAATGAGATTCGACAACGTGATTCGGGAAAAGCTTTTTTTAAACTAATGAGTATATCATGAAAATCATTTATTACGCCCTCACTATAAATTGTGATCAAATACTTGTTTCGTATCTGAGTAGGTAATGCATTGATAATATAAATTAGTAGTGGTGTATAAGCTGAATTTGACATGTAACGATATAGATCACCCGATATTATACGGCTTTGATTATCTCGTTTTACAACATCACCATGACGTATATGTACTCCAATCAAGAAAACATCGCGTGCATAAATGGGTGCACATTGAATAGATTTAAAAACATCAATATTGATATTCTTATCTGTTTCAGAAATAGCAATACTATTATTAGTAAGGATCGTACTTGGTGCAATATATTGAAAATAATCAGTTGGCAGATAATTAGACAAAATAGAAACACCTGACCAAACACCAGTATGTTTATTGTATAATTTACGATGCTGACACCACCATCGAATTTCAAAAACGACACCTACTTCCATTAGTGATGATATTATAGTAAAAGTTCGACTAGAATAAAATGTAAAACCAATATTATTATTAATATTATTATTCGAACTGCTACTATTGTTCTGAAGAGTAGCTATGAATTGATCGAATCTTGTTTTGAAATAAGATTTAATTGTAAACGGTTGTTTGCCGTTATGATGTTGATCGAATGTTTGATTTGCTATTAAATCATATCGAAATATATTTCGTTTAACAGATGAGTTTTGTGGACATGCATGATAAGCTGAATAAGGTATTTCCCAATCAAAAAACTGCCAATATTTTTCTCTATCTACATTTGTTTCATCACCACTATGTTCTGCAACCCAATCTAGATGTACTCATGTCAAATTCAATTTATATGCTACATTGAGAACACCTAAATACCACATTAACTTTGATCCAGTACCATGAAAAACATGAGACCCTGATGCATTATTTAATAATAAATAACGACCATGTTCACAGTCGATTGTTGGATGATATGTTAACAACATTGAAAATTTATTCTTTAATTCAGGAAAATAACGATTGATTACTTGTTCAATGTCCGGAAGACATGGTGTGTCATCCAACATGCATTTATCCAATAACTCGTGAAACGACGGGGAATGCAAAGCACTTGAGAGTGAAGTATGTGGTGGCGTTATTTTGAAAAAGAAAAACAACCAAATTGTACAGCTAACAGCGAATAGGAATATGCAGCAAATACGAGTACTTTGCTTGGTTATAAGTCGGAAACAAACGTACAACAGATATTTCACAGAATAGGTACGCATGTCTAAAATTGTATACATTAACAACACAATAAATATTTGAATAATATGATTTATAGTATTGCTAAACTAATCTTAATATGAATACTATCATCAAGTGTTTTTGATGCATCTACTATGTACATATAGATTCTTTTTGCACGATATATATATATACGTGGTAGGGATAACTAACCGATATCTATGCTACGAATTTTTGTAAAGTTTTTAATTGTGGAATTCGATGAAACTTTTTCTATTACTTGCGTTTGTCAATATATAATGAGATTGAACGAGCACCTCGTCACTCTGAAAGTTCTGTGTTTCATGCGAGCTAGCACTAGAAATCAGCGGAGTCGCACTTTTTGATTCCCAAACCCGACCCGATTGCGAAAAAAAATTTTTTTCGATTCCGATTCCAATTCCGACTCCGACGGGAAATTTTTCCGGAGTCCGATTCGGACTCGGGAAAAATCCGACTTTTTTTGCACCTGACTGAACCTAATTCATATCAAATGTTTGATATTCTGAAAGGATATATAAGTAAATGAACCAATAAGGAACGAACAGTGCACATTGTCATAGAATTCATTTCTTTACGTTTGTTTTCGAAAGCAAAAAATGTTATGAATAAAAAGCATTTAACTAAACAAGAACTTAAACAATTAATTAAAGATAATGATTCACCCATAAAATTTGTTGAGAAGAAAAAAACATCAACATCAAGTAAATGGTCGAAGTATTTTCATATTATTTTTGCTTAGGATTTATTTATAAAATTATAATTAGCATATCTTTGTGCATTATACAATATACTCATGAATAACTTTGTATCTAAGTGAAAGTCAGATGATGTGATTTTTGTAGTAACATAGCACAAACGTGAACTCATAAAAAATTTATTTTACTTTTGTGCTACTTCAGTTTCGTCAGAGTAGAAATCGAATTTCGGAGTCCTGTACCTAGAGATGCCAGCCGAAGGGTTGAACAGTGGCAGCGGGCAACAATTTTCAATTTTTGAAGATATCCAGCGGCTCGTTACTTGAATGAGTAATGTCTTCAGCGGCGGCTGCTACAAATTCTTAAATTTTTTTCACAGCGGCGGCGTCGGCTGATATTTGCAAGTCCTTATGTGACGGCGGCGGCTCAGTTAAAAATTTACTGATGAAAATTAAAAGAAAAATGTTCGATTCTATCGCATATGTATTGATGTCAGCGGCGGCGAATAACGCTATCAAAATTTTGTATCTCTTGCATCGGTGCTACGCCCAAGCTTGTTTTTTCGCAGCGGCGGCTTCCCCAAAATTCTTAAAATTACCAGTAATTTGGTGGCTGCGGCGGCCGATATTATTGAAAAATCGACTGCTGCGGTGGCTCAGCCGTACGGCTGGCACCTCTATCTGTGTCATTTTTACTCCGACTCCGACTCAGGCGGAGTCGGAGTCGGAATCGGGTTTTGGACTCCAATGCAGGACACTATCTAGCACGGCCGAAAAAAAACATTTCATTGACTAACAAAATAACCCAATAGAAAAAACCAAAACGAGAAAAACATCATTTTAAGGGTTTGACCCACTATTATGGCAGCAGCTAGCAACGCCTGAAAAGTAATCATCAAGGCGATCTTAACACTATAAGCGATCATGAATGGATGTGTAATAATCCAAACCCGAAAACCCGATCATCTACCATCACCCCGGTCGAAGAAAACGGTCGTATACGGTACAAATACGGCATGTAAAACGGGCCATATTTTCCCCGTATAACAGGGGCTGTAATATGACCGTATGTTCTATAGAATACGATAATATTACGTCGGCTTTACGAGGTTTCGCGGCTGATATGCGGTGTCCGTGTATGGCCGTAATACTGCCCCTGTTAAAACGCCTTAATTCGACTTAAAACGGCCGTTTTTACAACGGAATACGATGCAAAAACGACCGTTTACGGTAATGTTATGCCGGTTTACAGTGGCTCGTTTCGATCGACCCGGGCAGAGTTCCATCGGGAATACGACACATACAACCTCAGCAACGAAATATTTCCAAAGTTTATATTATCCAAACCTCACACTTCCATAAAAATAATCCCATAATCCCAACCGTACAGCTTAAAAACAACTTTCCACAAACTACAAATAGAAAAACGAACTTCAAAAACCTATAAAAACACACACCCATCACTACTCCATATAAAAATTCCTCCCAGATATCAACCCCTTCACAAACGACAAGAAACTAGTTTCTGAATCACTACATCTGTAAACCGATCGCATACAGCACCTTGCGCTCATGAAAATTTCTCACCATACATTAGAGAATTGGTAACTACGACTTAATGCCCAACAAGCTTCGCGTGCCGATAATACTTGCATTGCCCGGCCATGAGCTGTCCACCATTCGATAGAGAATTCATTTCTCTACACTGAAAAAATAAATAAGCACTCTACGAAACTTAAAAGGGTTCCGAGATTTGCAACGAATTCGAAACCATTTTTCTTTATCATACGGAACCTTCAAAGTTCTTCAAGGGTTTCATAAAGTCTCACAAAACCCTTAAAGATATCGGAGACTCCGACACAGGTTTCGTGAGACTATACGGAACTTTGAAGGTTCCGTACGACATCGCAAAAGGGTCTCGAATTCGTTGCAAATCTCGGAACCTTTTTAAGTTTCGTAGAGTGCTTATTTTTTTTTCAGTGTATCAGGTGATATACAAGAATCACCAACATGCCGTTTTGAACCGCCTCAGAAAAGCTCCACCAATATCAGACCCATGAAAAAAAGGCAGCTTTTTCTGAATATTCGGCCTGCCCTAACGACTCCTTCCATTGCTCGGAAATGAAGCGTCCTCCATTCGATAGAGAAAGGAATTTTCTATTCAATGGACGACAGCTTAGTTCCGGGCAATGGAAAGTATTATCTCCATGCGTGAGCCTTTTTGAAGGAATTGCGTTTTCATGGGCGCTACACTGAAAAAAAAAGGTACTTTACCGAACCTAAAAAAGTTTCAAATTTTGAAACGAATTCTAAACCTTTTTACGATACTGTACCGAACTTTAAAGGTTTCGTGTGACTTCACGAAACCTTCAAAGTTTTGGTAAAAACCTGAACATAGTTTCGCGTGACTTCACGAAACCTTTAAAGTTCGGTACAGTATCGTAAAAAGGTTTAGAATTCGTTTCAAAATTCGAAACTTTTTTAGGTTCGGTAAAGTACCTTTTTTTTTCAGTGTAATTTTCGGCGAGAGCTTTTCAGGCGAGTGGAGTTGGCATAGTTGGTGGGTGTGTAGGTGAAATGTGGTAGAAATGAATTTTGTTGAGGATGATGAAGAGGTTGATATCGAGCAATGATTTGTATGTTGGGTAGCGAGGAATTTGTGGATGGATAGGTATTCTTTTTCGTGCGTATGGTGTTTGGAAATCTATTTTCAGTGAATGTGGGTGGGATTACGGGTGAATTTGCTTGGAAGAATTACTTTTAAACGAAATAAAGTGCTGAAATATTCCGTTGCTAAGGTGGTGTGTATCGTATTTCATCGATTTTTAATGGTAAATAATGCTCGATTCCTGATTGGTTTATTATGGATACGTTTCTGATTGGTCGTCGTGCTAGCTTCACATCGATGAACAAAATTAAAATCAATTCATTAACATTGAGTGACTAATAATAAACCTTTTAAATAATATTGCATCATGATAAGAAAAATTGAGTCACCACTTGTTTGTCTATACTATCTCATACAATATAGAAAGTATACTTCTTTAGAGAAATAACAACTGATAGTTGGGTAGATGGCGTACTGGAGAATACGAGGAGATGTGCAAATATGATGCAAACTTTTGAAGTCCACTTTTATTTAATGTGAAATAGAATGATTATTATTTTGTACAGAAAGTTGTTTTCTACTGTATTACGGAAAGCTCGGTATTTTCGTCATATATATGTACAACTTGTTGTAACCCAACCGGCAAAAAGATAGGCATTTCGAAGCGTCAATTTTGGCGTCCGGTAGACATCAATTTTTTACATCAATCCTTCAGATTCTCACTTTTTGATAAGTCAAGGCTGGATGAAATCTATCGAATATGGGAGGAGCAGGAGATTAAAACATGAGCACGTACGACTACTTTTTCTCAGACTTGTAAACTAAATATGAACCATTATTTTTCTATGAAAGCCATCGTTTAAACTTATAAAAGGATAGTAATTTGAAAGTTCATCGTAAAAGAATTGTTAACAATGTTTAAAAATAAAAATAACATATTTTCATTTAAGAGAAACATCTTTTGTACGTCTCTAGCTAATGGAATTATCTTTGTTAGGAACGATCACAGATGCCAGCCTTCATGTAACGTTTTTTCGAGTCGTAACGCGTCTTTGAGCGTTTGTGAATGATGGCACTTCACACATCAGGGCGCATCTAGAATGCAACATTTTCGGGACTGCACACGCGTCCAGGGTAACCTGGCGCGTCTACACTCGTTCAGTATCTAAACGTATCATAAGTCGTTTCAATTTGAACACGCGTTAGTACCCGTCCAAAATGCAACATTTTCAAGCGTGGGAACGCATCCAAAAGTAAACGCGTCTAAACGCGTCTGGGTACAAGATGCGTTAGAACGCGTTTACCTTTTTCCCCCAAAAACATTAAAAATTATCATCACTCTGTCTCGGAATTGAGCCGACGCATCATATTAAGCTATGATATAACACCCAAATATCATGAGCAACAGAGTGGTAATTTTTCCAACGATAGCGTGAACCAAGATTTGCACCCATGAACAGTTGATTACAAGTCGAACATAACTTGCGCTGAGCCATACATTGCTTGGTATTGTTATTATCTTCATGAATCACATAAATTAATCGTTTTACAGTGTTTTTGACTTATCTTGCTCTTTAAAATAAATATAGTTAGGATATTTATTTTAATGAAGTCAAGATAAGGCATTCTTTTTATCCACGAAATAACAGTGGGATCGAACTCAAAATTTTGGTTACTGAAAAAATTAAGAAAAACAAATATATCTGTCTTTGAAGGGTCTAAATGTACATATATGCAGTACAATAATATTAATTAACATTTTTTCCATTAGTAACTTATAAGGACACTATAACAAGTAGGGGTGGGCCATTAACATTAACATTAATTTAATATTAATGGTTAATGTTTTGATGAAAGCATTATAACTGTCCATATTAAGTAATTAACACTTTCGGAAAAAAACATTAGCTATTAAGGCCAGTTAATTGATTAATAATTGTAGATAATGTTTCCTTAGAAAAACCTAATTCAGTAATATGGAAAAATTAATGTTTTCATGAAAACATTGACATTAATATTAATGATTAATGAAAATATAATCCCTAATATTAACCAAAACATTACCATTCATACTAATGGTGAATGTTTCCGTTAACCGTTAATATCATTCAAGAACATTGACATTAATATTAACGATTAATGAAAACATTAATTTTAAAATTAATGTTAATGTTTTTCATTAATCATTAATATTAATGAATTAAGTTTTTCTCAGAAAACATTAACGATTAAGATTAATGGCTAATGGAAGNTATCATTCAAGAACATTGACATTAATATTAATGATTAATGAAAACATTAATTTTAAAATTAATGTTAATGTTTTTCATTAATCATTAATATTAATGAATTAAGTTTTTCTCAGAAAACATTAACGATTAAGATTAATGGCTAATGGAAGTCATTAATTAAGTTCCGTTTAAAAAAATGGTCCACCCCTAATTCCTCAACTTATAAATATATAGTTACATAAAAGTGGTTACCCTGGGAGTAATACACCGAATGTTTATAAATTATGTTTAGCTGGAGAAAAAAATCGTTACCGAGTGTAACGGGATTATGACATCAATCTTTCAAGTGAAAAATACGCCACACAAAAAATAAGTTTACTATTACAAAAAGAAGCGATAAAAAACAAGAGAATAGGCATGCCCTTTTTTATTTTATTTAAATACTGCAGCGTAGCCGGTTGAGTGAGCAAGTGTGCATATGGGTGACGTATTTCAGCGCTTTTCTTTTCTTTGTTCTATTACGATGACTGAAAGCATGAATATGAAAGAAACTGGATGAACCACACTTAATCAAATATAATATCCGTAGTATCCATAAACAGCAGTGAATTTAGAGAAAAAAAATATGCAGATGGAATACTCATTCTCTTACACCATTATTTCACAATGATTTGCAGTGTGCGATAGGATCGAAACAAATGGTAAGTTTGTTACAATCTGTAAGTTGGCTTCACTTTTATCATTACATACTTTAATGTTCATTGGTAATCGTGTAGGAAAAGCAGATTTGTGATGATATAAATTACAGCTAACAAAAACGATAACATTAGAAGATGATCAGAAAAATGTGACTGGCGACAACTCTAATATTGAATCCTGAGAAAGCGAATAAATTCAACCATCTCTATCATAGACAGCAACACCAGAGCCACGTAGGTGAAAACCAACAATGAAACATGATATATATATATATGCCAGTATATATACATATCGCTTTCCATCTTGAAATTGAATCCAAGACTTGCTAAAGTTGTAAATACACTCAACATAGACGAAGAACGGAATAAAAAAAATTAAGTAGAAAAAAAGCATGCACCGAAAGCAAAGATCCCGTAGTAGCAACATCGAATAACAAGAAAAATGAAGCGCTGTAAAGCATACTCATGGCCATGTAATATGCTTAGAATACAAAAAGAGAGACATTTTCAAATGCGAATGCGTAAAGAAAAATGTGAAACCAGAAAAATGCAAGGGCAAAGAGGCAGACGTTATTGGTGAGGATATTTGTGATATTATTATAAAGATATATATGAAATCAAAGAGCTGAGAAAAACGATGATGATTTCAAGTGGTTAGCTTTTTATTTAAAACAGTAATGTGAAATCGCTATTTTTTATTCTGTCGTTCTATCATACGTTTAATCATACGTTTTATCTCCCTTAATGATTTATCGTCGATATTTATGCATAAATTTGCACCCTCAAGTTATCACTTTTTTTACAATCATCGTTAGCAGTATAGGTATTATTGACAAAGTATTCAAGCTTAATCTTCAATATAAAAGATTGAACCTAAATAATTGAAACTGTGATAAGCTCTCGGGTTTATAATGTCAGAGTGAATCGCTTGACGCGTAGAAGACTATTCGTTATGTAAAGCGAGTTTCTTTCAATATCATATTAATTTTACAAGTTTAGTTAGACGATACAGTTATCATTGTCTTTAAGTTGCAGCTTCTCGTATAGTCGATTAGTACCATTATAACAGTATAATATTTGGAATATATTGCTTGTATGAAACGACTCAAGTCATCTGAAAATACCTATAGCAGACTCAAAATCTAGCTGGTGTCTCTTTTATCGCATATTGATGGTCTCTCTTAGATAATTGTAATATAATCTGATGAGATTTCTGAACAAAATCGGAACATCACGTCATTAAATCTTCACTAGCTTCGGATGACAATGGGAACCACTTTTCGAAGAATTCGTACGCTTGGTGTTCCTGTAGCTTTATTTTATAAAAATGATAATCAAACTAGAATGTGGGTCATTGCGTCATCCACATTTAGCTTATCAGTTGATTACGTTGTACTTAAACGAAAAATTGCCTAGTTCACTGAAATGGTGCATACATGTTCAGTTAAAACATTGACAACATCCTCGATCATCAATAACAGTTCGGTATTGAAACAAAAACATATTCATTTGTTATCCAACGTTCACTTGTTGCTCCTGTTGCTACTGTACCGACGACTGTTGAAAAAGTCGCATCGAAAAGAAAGAAAGAAAGAAAGAAAGAAAGAATAAAACAAAAACAGAACATTATTTCATTCAGTCATATTAAAAAGATGCTTTCTTATTCTTATTTGACAATCTTCTAGTTGTGCGTAGAGAAGGCAATGAAGTGTACGCATGCGAAGTGGATCGATATTTATAGGGAACAAATGTGGGAGAAATCGAGGCACTGCTTCAGGCAGCCAAAAACCGAATGTAATTTGCTGATGAAATGTTTTCATAAATGAGTGTTTATGATTCTGACTGAATAGTGAACGTTCGAGATGAGAATGAAAACGAAGATTTTTTGTCAGTGATAGGTTGAGATGATTACTAATGAGAAAGCCGAGATAAATATCATCGGGATAAAATTCTCGAATACATCCATTCATAAACTGTGAAGTAGTTCGTGTATGAGATTCAAGCAAATCAAGAGTACGTTTCGATAGACAAACCTCAGCACCAAATGTCGCAAACCAAAAGTGGCTTGGATAAGGATGTTTCGTTCTTTTGAATGTACTATTCCATGAATTACGTCCAATATAATACGGCCGATCAGGATCAAGTGTAGACAAATATTCGTAAAGATTATTGACATGAACATATTGATCATCGTCAAAATGGCAAAACCAATCGTAATGAAATGCATGACGACGATAGAGAATAAAATCATGAGTCGTTTGACAACATAGAGATCTTACTGAATGTGAACTTGGACCACATGCTGTTTCCGTAGGAATAATATGAGTGCGGGTAACATTTGGTAGAAGAATATCACTAACAAAAAAGACATCATCATGAACAAGTGGAATCCATGTTTGAAGAAGATATATAAGACGAGTTGAATAGTATTTTGAAACTGTTCGAACAACGTACATAATACGAACAGTAGACTGCGGTGATCGTCTCGGATGCACTTGTAAATAAGAATAATGGCAGTAATAGGCAATAGTAAACATTAAAAACATCATAGTAAGAGAAGTTTTAAACGTATGACGATTGAATAAGCGCATTTGTTGTATGAACACTGACAAACTTTAACTTTGATTGCTAAAGTAAATAATTTTCCCTCAGTCACAATTTGGAATAGGATAGATTTCTCTGTCGTGCCTATATCGATATTTTGAATCACCTGTTATTGTACTAGAAAAGACCATAACTTCCCGAATGATGTGGATAACCTTTATTGGTATCGTGGTGGATATATGTAAGAACGAAGCATGAAAAGACTAAATACTAAATAAAAAACAATCCCTCATTCTCTTATTTCTTGACGTTTTTGAAGCTTTTATTGATGCATTGAAGGATTTCTTTTCAATAGAAAAGAATGAAATATAAGTAGATCTCATATACACATACTATATGTATGCTAATACATTTCGAAAATATTTCGTTTTCAATGAAATTAATAAATATTGTGCAACTGATACGTTACATCGACCGACGCATTAGAAAGCTTGCCATTGAGAAAAGTTCCTGTGACCAAGTTATGTATCAAACATGTACTATTAATTGAGTAATCGGTATGGTGTCTAGGTTTCTTTATAAAATTGTCTTAGAACAAAGTTCATGTGTGAAAAAAAAATTAAAAAAACATGTAATTTGAACGTTGCATTTAGTTTTTCAAATTTGTTAGAAAAAGCAAAATATTTTTCATCAAATAGCAATATTTTTTTGAAAACTCTCACAAAGTGTATCGGTCGGCTATATTATCATCTGATTATTTTTTTCGGCGATCTTTTAATTGTATATTTGTAATTTTGGTTGAATAGAAACTCATATGAAAATGCTCTACTTTATTTTTCTATTGCAATCCAAAGAAAGTGAACCTTTTTGTATTTTGCCAGTTCTCTTGATTACAATGAAATCACGACACATGTTGAATATCTTAAACTGGTAATAATAGTTTCAGCGTGAGATCAACATGGATAGGGGTTTTTATTTACCGCGTTGCTTCGTTTCGATTTCTGATTCGTCTATTCGATATTGATACGATTAAATTGAATCTAAATCAGGGTGGCCAGATCAAAAATTGAAAAATCAGAAAATAATCAGAAAAAGGCAGTTGTTGGCAAATTAGTAGATCTTCCGTTAAAATACTGGCATCCAAAATTCTCCTGCATGTCGGTTCATTAACTGGATCTTTATTTTCAAAGATATTTAAATAAAACGAAAGAAACTATAGTGAACATGTCGTCTAGCTAATACCCAAACATCAATAAAAGATACTTAATGTTGAGCTTCTTTTTAAATTTAGAACTCGTTCACAGAAACGAGCAGAACTAAGTCGCATACATTTTGCGTAGATTAAGAAATCCAACGAGAAAAAAAAAACATTAAATTCCATAATCTTGGTATTGTTATTCATATTTCGTATCTTTTGGAATTTGCTCTAGGAAGTTTGTTTAATATAACATATGCTAATAAAAAACTTCTCAAGAATTATTACCAATCACTTTTATTTTAAGTTAAGCATTATCTGGTTTTATATAATTGGATTACGATAATCGGGCTATAAATGCTTCATATAATCGAAAATCAATTCTACTCCAGAATTCGAATTCGAATGCGGAATATAAAAGATGTTTAATACAGAAAATTGATGGAACACTATTGATTTATTATAGTAATGGGTTATAATCGTACCTAATTTCAGTGACAAAGCAACGATTTGAAAATATTCCAAATTCAGAAAAAATCAGAAACATGTTCAAAATTCAGAAATTTTCCCTAGCTTTCAGAAGATCTGGCCACCCTGATCTAAATGTGGTTGACGCTACACCAACTTTCAATTCATATCGATAAATTCATAGATGTACCATTGTTTCAGCGTTTCAAGCGAATCTTAATATTAAAAAATACAATATAATTGTTTAGAACTACACTATGTTGTTGTAACGGTACGACAAGTTTTATCGTGATATCGAACTGTTTTATTTCAATCATCCTTCTCCTTTTATAGTTACACTTTCTTTCTCTGGGTACGTCACTCAACCGGAGAGAACGAGAAAAAACACGACAAAAAGGAAGAGACAATACACATGACAATGAGGAGAAAGTCGCTATGTACATTGATTAGGATAGAACGAGTGCTTATATCGGCACAGTTGTTATATAAAGTTCTCTAGTAATACTTTGAATACTAATTTTAGCGACCCAACTCAGCCATGTCTGTCTCATCGATTATAAGAGATCGCTCGCACAAAGAAAACTATGCATATAGTTCTTATTGTATTCTATGGATGCAACCGAATGTTCACAACGAATTGTTAAATACCCCAGGAGATTCAAATCGACAGTAAGAACCGATGAGATCCGATAGGATCCTATCGAGTTCCCGTCGGTTTCTCATAGGATTTCAACAAAATCCTATAGGGTTATATCGGATTCCGGGTAACGGATCTACAGTCGGATCCTCGGTGTCGGATTCCCATGAGATCCTACAGACGGACTCCCTATAGGAACCCAGATCTGGAAATCATCGTATCCTGCAGTCGAAACCCGACAATAAAGCGACCATTTCCAACATGCGGATTCTATAGACTTACTACAGGAATCCATCGGCTCCAATGGGGTTCTACAGGATCCGACGAAAACCAACAATAGGAGTCCGAATAAATTTCATACACTCAGTTTTCATAGGGTCCAGTAAGTTCCTATAGGAAAATATTAAATCTGATGAAATTTCAACCAGAAGTTTGTCTTCGATGAAATTTACACCAGTATCAAGACCCACCAGCCACCACATCTCCGAAAAAAGTCATATCAAAGCTGCTAAACACTTCCATACTGCTCTTTTATCATCAGTCTTTATCAAAATCTATCCTATCTACATGACTCAGCTAATTTGCATACACCCAATCATTATTTAACAATCCAAAGCAACACGCCACACATTACAGAGCCTTCAAGAGTCTCTACAGATTACCACCACTCAACAACACCTAACCCTAAACCTATCGGCTCCATCTGCGTATTATTTCCAAGACCAGTTCCGCAACCGGTACCCCACCCCTACTCAATGTCACGCCTCCACACACACAATTTGAGCTTAATGAGGTAGCATTCAATTCCATAACAAATATTCAAAAACACACCACCCTCGCCACAGACAACATCACTTACACCATACCAAAAATGATCACAAACCCAACATCCAATTCCATAAACAATTATTTTCATAACATCTATATCGTTCATTGCCTTATGCCTCAATCAGTTCACCGTATCAACATTACTGTTAGATAATACATTTCATTATATTTCTTTCTATTGATATGTAAGTAAAGTTCGAACCAACAAAAAAATGACCTATCTTTATATTTTATCAAGAAACAAACTGAAACGGATTTTACATAAGCAGCATACCTCTTTACAAATAAAAAAACAAGAGAAGAAACGCAACATGACAAAATATTTTCTAACAGATGTCCTTCCCAATAAACACCATTTCATACTCGTCTACATCACATCTTATCAAAGCGCCATTACATCAATCGCACCTTCTCGAATTTTTCTTGCACTTTCCTATAATCGCTACTGAAAACAGCTACTTCCGAATGTCCATTACTATAATTGTCATAACAATACATCTCGCACTCTACAAAAACAAGTCCTCACAACCTCACAACCTCTAATTTCCATATTTTCAAATCCACTTTTCAAGCAACATACTCCAAACAACAACAAACAGGTGACGATTCGAATGCCGCAATATACCACAATTCAATAAAATCCGTCTCGACCCGTGACGATTTTCACCTTTCGCTGCTCACACATACTGATTTACAAAAAAACAAATGCTGACTCTTGATGAATTACATGACTTTGATCCCCATTCATATACCAATTCAAAATAACAATTATCTGCTTCTCCTGATTTTGATGATTTTGATGCAAGATGGTGAAGGAATCCAGAAAAAACAATTTTTCCAGTGGTGATTATTATGTTGATTTTAATGCCCGTTCGTGAACGAATTGAGAAAAACAATTTTCTACTCGTGATTATTTTGATGATTTTGATGCCCGGTGGTGAACGAAATCAGAACAAGTATTTTCGACTCGTGATGATTTAAATTTTTTTAATGCCCCCTCATACATCGATTCGGAAAAACAATTTTCTAGTCGTGATGATTTTGATGATTTTGATGCCGATTCATATTGCGATACAAAAAAAACAATTCTCTACTCGTGGTGATTTCGACGTTTTCGATGCCCACTCATATACCAATTCGAAAGAAGAATGTTCTACTTCTGCTGATTTTCATGATTTTGATACCCGATGGTGAACAAATTCCCAGAAAACCATTCTTCATTCATGATGATTTTGATGGTGTTTTTTATGCCCAGTCATATAACAATCCAGAAAAACAATTTTCTGCTAGTGATGACTTTCATGATTTTAATGCCCATTCATATATCGATACAGCAAAACAATTTTCTACTCGTGATTGTTTGAATGATTTTGATGGAAGGTAGCGAACGAATTCTGAACAACAATTTTCTACTGCTGATAATTTTAATAATGTTCATGCCCGTTCATATATCGATACGGAAAAATAATTTTTTACTTGTGCTAATTTTGATCATTTTGATGCAAGCTGGTGAACGAATTTACAAATACAATTTTCTACTTGTGATGATTTCGATGATTATGATGCCCAGTCATAAACAAATTTAAACCCCTCCCCGTAATAAAAGACCCCGGGTCTTCTATTACGTCCAAGCGTAAAAAGTTTTCAAAGGGGTCTTCTATTATGTCAGCTAATTTTTGTAATTTTTAATTAAAAAAGTTTTCCAAAAAAACCTTTTAGTTTTGAGCTTTTATGAAGAGATTTTTTGGGTTTCCAAAGTGCAGTAGTGATGTACACCTTGTTAGTACAACAGTTACAATCAAAAAATCCCGAAATTATGCTTATTTTTAAGGAAATTTACTAATTAAAATATTAATTATACAAGTTTATTAACTAATTAAAAGGGGTCTTGTAATACGCCTTTTAAACTTTTTGCTGAA